GATCTTGCTACTCATGCATTGTAATAACTCCACTGGTCCTGTTATTTAATTCCTCAGTAGCCTTGAGATATGTCCCAATTGCATGCACTTAAAAGACCTTCAAAGAAAAAAGTTACTTCCATGATTGAAATGTTAAAGATGAAAGAATATTATGTGACTATGAGTAAATGGTGCAAAATAAACATGTTAGAGCGAGAGAAGTATGGAAAGGGAATCAAAAGTTTGATGTTTCTGGTGATTTGTTTTTGACTGACTACTTAATGCTTATTATCTATTTGCTCTAAAAGCTTTCTACTTTATGTTTCTGTCCTCAATCTAAAAGACCGGTTATCAAAGCAAGAGATGAATTATATTTAAGTCAGAAAGGGAGAAAATGTGCAAAAAAGGAGTACCCACTTTTGTCTGTGTAGTATGGAATAGCATATGCTACAAATTGTTGATAGGCCTCGTGCTAATGCTTTAACACACTTTAGGTGCAACTTTATACTCTTTAATAGGTCCATGATCTCTTACTAATATTTGTCTCTACTTCTTTGGCAATGCTGCTATCAATTCGCAATTGCATTAGGCGACGTTTGAGGCATTTATTGGTATCCGAGATGACAAGGCAACTGCTCAATTAAAACTGTTTGGAGATAATCTTCAGGTACCCTTGTCAAATCTTCTTCCACAGAGACTCAACAAATGAAGTCCAACTTTACTGATGGAGTATACTTTCTTATTTTTTGTAACATCGCACTAGGTATTGGAACAAAATCTCCCACTGGACAGTGTATACAAATCACAAGATGTGATTGCTGCACCAATACGTGTCATTCAGCTTGTTTACAATGCAGGGGTGAGTTTTTGGTTACTCAGCAGAATGTGAATCATTACACTTGCCTCTGGACTTTTTTCCATGTAATGGTCTTAAACTACCGTTAATGATCACCTCTTTCTGGCGTAAGATTGTGAACACGTATTTTCCATTGCCAGTTCAATAGTAACAATTTTCTATTCATCATTTGACGATTAGACTAATAGTTATCTTATCATAGACACCCTGATGCTTTCATTTTCTGAAAACTGATTGATGGATTGATATCCAGGATGTCAAGGGCCCTCAAACTGTTGCTTTTAATTTACCAAATGACGAGCGTATCGTGAAGGATCGAGGAACATCAATGGTTATGCTCAAGAATGTTTCAGAAGCAAAGTACGACTTCCTTGTCATCTTTGTGATTGTTGAATTACAGCATGTGTCTGGATCTGATATTTTATGCCCTGAAATTGCTTGTTATGCTTCTCAACTCTCTTCTTATTAAACCAGGTTCAAGCATATTCTTCAGCCCATAGCGGCTGGATGCATTTCAAGGGAACAGAGTGGGCTAGTAGATTTTGATTCTTTCTTTACTCACACGATTTGCCATGAGTGCTGCCATGGAATTGGCCCCCATACCATAACTCTCCCAAATGGTCAGAAGTCTACAGTGAGACTAGTTAGTCCCCTCAACTTTACCTTGTCATGCTTTTTTTCCCATTTCCTTCTCATTGTTGTTAAATAGCAAGTTGTGTTTTTTGGCTAATGCATGTTAATAGACAATGAAGATTGTGCTTTTGATGCTAACACATTGCAATAGACAGTGAAGAGAATGCCATTACAGGGTACAGCACGGCAGCTCCAAAATGCCTAGGCAATTTTGAGAGGATTGATTTGATGAAACCTCTTTTATTCACAATGTACACCCATAAAAGTGAAAGTATATACTTCAAGAGCTACTTTACCCTCATTTCTTTTTCGCCAATATATCTTGAAACTCATATGATTCCATGTCTATATATACTGTGTCTGTTGTCCGGAGACCATTACTTGATCTGCTTGATAATAAAGGAACTAGTACTAAGATACTGCCAATGTTGAAAATATTGCTCATTTTGAGAAAAGTTACTGCATGGGATACTATCGTGTCCTTATTGACTTGGGAGTGTAGACAGACCTTCTGTGTAGGAAATTCATGTAAGAATTCCAGTGTTATTCTCTCTCGGCTTCGGTGACATTCTTCTATCTACCAATGCAGGAGCTTCAAGAACTTCACTCAGCTTTGGAAGAAGCAAAAGCTGATATAGTTGGTCTTTGGGCGCTAAAGTTTTTCATTGACCAGGTAATGATGTTTCAGGTTCTGGAAATATCTAAAATAAGGCTGATGTTCTTACTCTTATGATTTGCAATGGCATTCAGGACTTGCTTCCAAAGGATTTGGTTAAGTCGATGTATGTCTCTTTTTTGGCCGGATGCTTTCGCTCAGTTCGTTTTGGTTTAGAGGAAGCTCATGGGTAAGCTAGCTATTCATGGATCCTTGTTCCATCACACTGACTATACCCATTGAGCTGTTTATGGTCTTGTTATATCACCAGAAAAGGTCAGGCGTTGCAGTTCAACTGGTTATTTGAGAAAGGAGCATTCGTTTTGCATCATGATGAAACATTCAGCGTTGATTTTACAAAGGTAGTACCTTTGGCATTGCCAACATCCTTAATCTCATCTTCTGTTTAGAATAACCAATTGATTTCTATGAATCTTTTGTAAGGTTGAAGGTGCTGTAGAAAGCTTGAGCCGGGAGATACTCACCATACAAGCAAAAGGTGACAAGCCGGCTGCAAGGTCCCTCATGGATAGATATTGCAAAATGACAGATCCACTCAAAGCTGCTTTGCAGAGACTAGATAACATTCAGGTAGAATTCTATGACTTTTGCATCTACAAATTTCGTCATACTTTTCCTTGGGTTTAATACGGACATCCTAAGATGTTAATGAGCAGCACTAGATCAGCCAAATAAAGAGAGAGACACCCCGTGCAGAGCAGTAAAAAAACATGTCCCCGTGGAATCTACTGTGAAGCGAGACTATTTTTCAGTATGCTGGTGTATTTCTCACGTCTTTGCCTAATGGTTTCAGGTCCCAGTGGACATTGCTCCCATATTTCCAGTAGCTGATTTGGTATCGGAGTGAAAGGAAAGGAGTAATCCATGCTCGGCTTGTCTACGCAGCCGTCGTGGCATCTTCTATCAATCCATGAGAATCGTGCTTATTCCCCGCAACAATGAAGAAATAACTGGAAAGAGTCCTTCCAAATGACATTGTGGCGTCTTCCATCAGTCAATTGGCAAAACTCTTCATGTTTAATACAGTGATTCGTGATAAGTATTGGAGGGGGAATGTCTTTACATTACATGTTCAGTTAGATTAATGATCTGGTGTGTTTTTGAAGGATTTCATTAACGAGTTTTCTGGGACTCTTGTCGAGCAGTCAATTAAGGAAATTTTCCAGTTCCAAATGCATTAATCGTCCTTTGTCATACACAATCATTCCTTTGAAAAGTGAGTTATCTGAGATTAAGTACGCATAACAAGTACTTGGGATTATTGTCATGACCTGTTTTTGGATACTTGAAAAGTGAACATTAAACAAATATGGTGCAGACGTAGGCTTTTGATTGAGGCTATCATGAAATGCACCTGATGTATTTTGGGCTGATTAAGGTATTTCAATAGTAAAATGACCCGAACTATGAATGCTATGTCACTGAGAGGAATATAACAAGTACTAGTCATGATCTCCACTCGTGTTTCTTCCTAAAATATGTTGCAGCCTAGTAGTCACGGATAAAATGACTATAGAAAAGAATATGAACTTCCAATTCTTCATTCTTTTGGTGTTATAGAACATCCATTTCTTAGTTAATCTTATTCATGCAGAGGACTCGCCATCCCTTCCGCGAGGCAAGCAAATTCCGAAATTTAACCTCGACTAATTATTAGTAATTCCGTTAAATTTTTCAGATTGATCTCAGTAAACTTGAAATCTTTCTTGTAAGATTGAAGTTGAATTTGAAATTTCACACTTCACGGGATACAAACCCTATTAGCTCAACCTTTTTGTTGGCTAGACACATTGTAATAAAATTATCAAGCAAATCATACACGTATGCTTATCATCATCGTGTAACAAATAACAAGCACAATTTTTTTCACCGAGTCCAATGCATCATATTCATTTCAAGACAACATTACGAAAACAAGTAGGCGAGCTCATTCTTATCCTCATCTTTCAAAGTCTTGCGTTTAGGACGAGCGTAATAAGTACCGCTCGCGCGATATATTTATATGATACCATCAGCTAGTTAAGTATTTTCATTCGTTCTTACATCGAACGATAATAATTAATCATATCTTGAGCGACCCGAATAATTGCTCTTACAATAAAGTGCAACTATCAAACATTGTACAAAGCCTACATGTCATAAGTATCGCATCCCAATAATTGCTGCCACTTTTCGCATAGCTTTACTTCAATCAAGAGGCATCCACATTCAAACAGCACTCCCGCTTTTTCCCACCAGCAAACTTCGAAGAGATGCAACCACAAAGTCAAAAGACAGAAGAAGAGCCCCAGTCGTTTCGGTCTCCGAAAGCGCACGAAACGACGGCGAGTTCCGATGGCTACCGTTAAACCCCGCCCGCATCCGAAAAGCTGCATTCCAATTATCTATGCACAGTTCCCCGTGCATTTTCAAATTTAAACACCATAGAAATGCACCACCCCCCAAATCAATAAATAAAATAAAACACATCAGACCCCAAAACGCTTCAAGAGCGCCACGTCAGATTATCATGCGGGACCCACCCGATGGGCTCCCTACGTGGCAAAAGATGACTGGCCACAGATCTCTGCCTCCCCGATAGATACCATCGCACTTTGTAATTTCACTTCACCTAATGTATGAAGTGACTACCCGCATTAAATTCTTTTATAAGGATTTTAAATCATGCAATATTCTTTTTCTAATGAGAAAGATATTGTATGGTTTATAGATATTGCGATGAAATCTCCATAATTAATTATTGATACGATACTATTCTTATGTAAATCATAAATCATGAGCTTTTGCAGTAAAGTCACTTAGGATTTCACTTCATATATGAAGCGACTAGCTGCGGCAAAGTCTTCACAATCTTTTTTCTCGAAGTGCGTCTGCTTGCAACATTTCAAAAATGGCTTCTTGTTCTTGGGCGGAGGTCTGAAGACCCATCCAAAAATCTCCTCATTTCCAACGCAAAACATCACCCCAACCCCATCAGAGATCGCTCGTGACTGACCCTCTTTTCTTTCCCCCAGAACAAGCCAACACTCCAAGCGTTGATTGTCACCACACAGGCAGAGACACCCCGTTTCTTTCCTTCCTTTCCACCTTCCAACGCTCACCACACACGGACACAGATACTCTGTTTTCTGTAGTTCTCTTTCGAGAGGATGGCTGTCACCAAAGTTATCCCACGCCAAATCTCGTACAACACTCTCTACGTGAACCCCCTGAACGACACCAAGCACGTCCGGAGCTGCAGCGAAGGAGTCACCCTCGAAGGCCACTCGAATCACAGCCCTGTTAAGCTCGGCGGCAACAGGGAGAATGCCCGTCCCAGCCAGGAACAGGATGCGGCGTCTGGAGATGATAAAGAGAATGCGGCTCCGAGAACTTGGTCTTCGGCTGTTTCCAAGAATTCGTCGAATCTGAAGTCTTTGTCCACGGGGAAAGCTCTGAACTTGAAGCCGTCTTCTCTTCAGTTCTGCATGCAGATGCAAGAGAAAGACTCGGCTTTGGGGTCCAAATTAAGGGACCCAATTGGGTCAGAGAACTCGCATTCTATGAATATCTGGGATTACTCTGACTCGGAGGCAGCTCCAGCTTCGTCTTGGTCTACACTGCCAAATAGGTGAGTTTGGGCTCAGATCAAAGTACCATCTGTTATTCCTTGAAATCTGGAATTTGAGCGATGTGTTTGTTCACGAGTCAGAATTTGGGGGTTGATGTATATATGTGATGTTTGGTGTGGTTTCAGGACTCTGTTGTGCAGACCATTGCCTGTGGACATTGGGAGGTGCACTTGTGTTATTGTGAGGGAAACTTCTGTTGACGGAGTTCGTGGTGGTACTCTGTATTCTCTATATACCAACGTAAGTCAATTTTCTGGATGTACTTCAGTCTGTTTTATATCCCTGTTTCATTGATATTTTAAACTCAAGATTTACTTTCCCTTTTCTATTTTGCTTTTTATAGTCAGTTTGTTGCGCGAAGCTTGACATTTGGAATTAAAGACATGGTTAAATCATATTGAAAATCATGTTGGGACCAATGAAATACTGTTAAGACCATAGTGTACACAACCTATGAGAAGTATAAGGTAGCTTCAATGAAGTTAAACTCGTCGGATTCCTCATATACTTGGGTTCAATGTTCCCAGATGCCGCATGATAAGCTATCATTTTCTGATGGGTGATGGCTCTGAAACTTGGGTATTTTTCAAAAGCTTCCAAAAATTTCTTTACATAGGTTTGCCCTATTTACAATCGCAGATAGGGCACAATTGATCCATCACATGCATGAATGGATCTTTATTTTCTTTTTCAGGATAATCAGTTTATCCTTATGATATAGGTAAACCTTGTGCTTTTCTCATAATGACACTGCCGGATTGGCATGCATCTGCATTACCACGGGCTTCTGAATGCGGTACTGTGTTGCTTGTTTTTATTTTGTAGCTCAGATTCTGCTGAACTGAGCATACTTTCATCACGTCTAGGATGTTCCACTAATTTATAATTTCTTAGTTGTATTTTGAAAATTGCACTGATGACCAACGGAAGAACGTCCGAACAATGATTTCAAAAGGTAGCACTATTAATTGGTTATAACTTGTCAATTGGACAGATACCAATCCTTCTTGATAGAATCTGAAGATCTAATGCAAATGCAATTTTGGCTAAGTATCAGAACTGTGAATATTCATAGCTTCTCTTGAGGTGGATCATATGATTGTCTCATTGATGATGCACGTCCACCATTTGCTTCATTCTAGATTTTCACTATCAACTTCTCTTGCTAGCTATTAGTGGGTAGGTATATGTGTATGCTTCAGAATCTCTAGGTGTGAAAGACAAAGCAGTTTTTAGAGTTGGTATGATTTGCTGGGCATCTTACACTTGCAGGAAGGTAAGGGACGACAAGATCGAAAACTAGCTGTTGCCTTCTGCAAGCGACGCAATGGAAAATCCATCTTCACCATAGCTCAGTCTGTGAAAGGCTTATTATCCAATGGCGATGATAGTTACATCGGTGCAGTAACAGCCAATGTCATGGGTTCAAAGTACCATATATGGGATCAGGTTCATCTTCTTGAAACTTTAGCCAAGATAACACCGACAACCAAAACTCAGTGGAGTCCCTCATTGGTTGAAAGTATCTTATATGGTTGGAATTAATCGGACAATTCAGATTAATTCGGTCCTTTTTTCAGGGGGTCTCTTTGAACTCTGTAGCTAGACGAACTAAAGCTCTTTTAGCAGTTGTAACGTGAGCAATCTCTCTCTCTCACTCTCACACGCGCGCGCGCACACACACACACACACACACACATGCGCGCGCGCGCACTCAAAATGCAAAATTGAAAATTATGAGAGTTGGATTTCCTCTGGTTATGCAGATTTGTGCCTACCATAGCCACTTGGACAGGAAGCCACAGGACCATGAGAGCTTACATACCGAAGCACCAATCAATGCAGCTGAAGAACGCAACTCATGTGAGCTTCATGGAATTCTTTTGACAGAAATTCAGCCAATAACTTGCTGCTTGTTTCTACCTTCCTAAGTCTCCAATGAAAAAGCTGTTGATCTTTTTTCTGCTGTCAGGTTCCACATGTCAGTGGACTCCCGAACGACTGGGAGGAAAGAACAGATAGAGTCCATCAGCTAGTCTCAAGGGTTCCACAGTACAATAAGGTAATGTAGCATGTCCTCTTTTTTAAAAAAATAAATAAATTAAGGAACAGGGTTGCACGTGTAGGGGAAATGTTTTTTCGAAGCAATCTGCTTGGATCAAACTTTTCATTCTCTGCCTTGAGTTACGTAGCTAAGATTCTTCTGTTGCTTTTTGCAATCTCAGATCTCTAAGCAATACGAGTTAGATTTCAGAGACAGGGGAAGAGCTGGACTTAAAATCCAGCGATCGGTCAAGAATTTCCAGCTCAAGTTGGAGGTATTTTCAATTGTGAAAGTTTAATTCATATAAATTCAAAAGTGAGCGAGGAACAATAATAGATGTTATGCGTTACCTCCAGCAATGAATATACCCAACCCATGCTCATGGATTTTTATACAACTGCTCGCACTTCATCTGTGGTCTATAATGCAAGAGAATAGATGGTCCCAAACAGGTGATCATGATGGCTGACATTAACACATTTTCTTCAGGAGAATGGTAAGCAGACAATCCTGCAGCTCGGACGGGTGGGAAAATCTAAATATGTCATGGATTACAGGTATAAATTGCATTTTGAGGTGCTTTGACTTGAACCATGTTTTGCAACCAAGATATGAAAATTTTAGTAATTTATCTCTTGTCATGCAGGTACCCTTTGACAGGTTATCAAGCATTCTGCATTTGTTTGGCCTCCATGGATTCAAAGCTATGCTGCACAGTGTGATGACACTTGCTTGCCCTCCTGAATTTGTAGTTCAATCTCTGAATACAGATGTCAGATGTCGTATCTACTTCTTTTGGGTGCTATCCCACTACTTCATACAGAAGCAGAGTGGCACCATTTTTGTAGAGGCAAAACATGTCAAGACGACAACGATGGGCCGTTTTAGAGGCAAAGCACATGTATCTCTTGCCGTCCCATCTTCCAAATCAAAAAGGACATTTCCTTCTTTATGTCCTTTTCGTTGTCTACTATGCTTTCTCTGCATGTTTGTTGATGAAATGAGCCTACAATTTGCACTACTCGTTTGGAGTTAGATGCTATCAAAAATGAAAAAGCCTTTTAAGTGGACCAAGAGAGGCCTATGGATATGATGATATGCCGGTGAGACCGCTCGTTTGCGAGCCTAATTTTCAGTATTGGCCTTTGAACACTTCCATAAAAGGCTAAAGCATTCGGGTGAAGATGATCATTTTAACAATATCTGAACTTTGAATCTGAAACTTGCAGTTACACTGTATATTAATTTGTCTCTTAAATTAATTTGCAAGGTATTTTGTATCAAACCCTGACCGGTTTTAGCACTTTGAAATCTTTAGATAGTTCTTTTAGCAATTCGGGCCTTTATTTGGACTAATATGGCCACATCAGTCCCTTGTTTGAAACAAGATTTACTTTAAATTCTTATTTGAGAAAAAAAAGGCACTTCATGTACTTATTTAAAATAAAGTTCATTTTAAATTTTTATCTGGGAAAATGATAGCACTTATTTGAAATTTTCTTGTATCAAATGGCACAACCAATAGCGAAACTGTTGGTCCGGATCCCGGAAGTTGGACCTTTCTTTTGACTCGTGTCTGCGAGAGCAATGCAATATTGCTACGAAGTTGGGAGCTACGTCAATGGGCGATGGTGAGGAGCAGGTTGATACAGATGGTCTCAAAGCTTCAATCTTTGAAGGAAGCAGAACAAGCCCATGCTTCCATCATCAAAGCAGCCCTTTGGGACCACTCTGGCATCGTTCCCAAGCTCATATCCTTCGCTTGTCTCTCTCCAGCAGGTAGCCTCTCGCGTGCCCAAGAGATGTTTCAAGAAACCAGCATGGACAACCCCTTTGTCTGTAACACTATGATTCGAGCTTACTCAAAGAGCGTGTTCCCCATCAAAGCTGTACTCATTTACAACCACATGCATGGCGCGCACGTTGAGTGTGATCACTTCACCTACAATTTCGTGCTCAAGGCCTGTGGTAGAATACTCTGGTGCACCAAAGATGATGCGAGGGCGGTTGAGCGTATTGATATTGCTTCCAAGGGAGCTGAGATTCATTGCAGAGTCTGGAAGGTGGGGTTTGACCGGGATCAGTATATTCAGAATTCTCTGCTCCATGTGTATTCGCAGTGTGGGTCGGTGAGTCACGTCCGCCGCCTTTTTGATGAAATGACGCAAAGGACTGTCGCTTCGTGGAACATAATTATATTGGCCTATGATCGATCGGGTGACTTCGCATCCGCAGATCGTCTTCTCGAGTTGATGCCTGCAAAGAATGTGGTTTCTTGGAATACCTTGATGGGGCGGTACATCAGGATGGCCGATCTTGCAGCGGCAAAGAAGGTGTTCCTGGAGATGCCCGAGAGAGATACGGTTTCCTGGAACTCGATGATTGCAGGTTACGTTCAAGTTAAAGATTATAATGGCGCGTTAAGTCTGTTTCATGAAATGTTAAATGCAAATATTGAAGCAACAGAGATAACGCTTATTTCTGTTCTGGGTGCTTGTGCGGAGATGGGTGCTCTGAAAGTAGGCAGGATGATCCATGAGTCCTTAGAAGCCAAGGGATATAAAATTGAAGGTTACTTAGGTATTGCACTTGTTGACATGTACTCCAAATGCGGAAACTTGAGTCTTGCTTGGGAAGTATTCAGTCAAGTGAAAATGAAACCTGTTAGTTGCTGGAATGCAATGGTTGTGGGTTTGGCTGTCCATGGTTATTCTGACGAAGCTTTGGAGTTGTTTGCAGAGATGGAGAGGAGGATTGGTGAAGTTAGACCAAATCGGGTCAGCTTTATTGGAGTGCTCATTGCTTGTAGCCATAAGGGCTTGGTGGATAAGGGCCGTGAGTTCTTTGGTCGCATGAGAAAGGAGTACAAGATAGAGCCTGACATGAAACACTATGGGTGCATGGTTGATCTACTAAGCAGATGGGGGTTGTTAAGTGAAGCTTATGAGATGATCAAGAGCATGCCCTTCCAAGCAAACTGTGTCTTGTGGAGAACGTTACTTAGTGCTTGTAGGGTACATGGCAATGTTGAGTTGGCGGAGTTATCCTTCCAAGAGCTTACAGATTTGGAATCTACTCAGGATGGTGATTATGTACTCTTATCGAACATTTACTCTGAATCGCGAAGATGGGGCGATGTGGAATTTTTGAGAGGTGAAATGATTGACTTTAGGGTCCCAAAGAGACCTGGCTCTAGCAACATTGAGATGAAGTAATTCCATTTCACTTGTTTACTCACAGAAGTGATCAGGACTCGACCATCCTTTTCTGGGAGAACATCAAGGAATTTCAGTGGGGATGATTGGCTTAAAAGTGAAGTCATTGAAATGCCTTTTTAGTTTAATATTGTAATGTGCAATGTCAAGGAGGAGCTTTGGGAACAAAGAATGGTAGGATGGCTTCCCTGGTTCATTTTGTAATGTGCTATGTGTTGAATTGAGCTGATGATACTTAGAACGCAACTCCTGTTGAGTTAGGATCGAAATCTTTTCCTACAACCAGTGTTAGATTCAACACTATCTTCTGGGAGTAGGAAAGAAACACAGAAGTACTTTGTCAATTTACTCGTCTCCTCACTGAAAGAAACCCAGTAATGACTGGGCCATTTTCTGCATAATATGTGTAAAGAGGATGTCCCAATGCTTGTTTCTCAGTATTGGAGGATTGCTTCTTCACGTGATTGCTATTTTCCAAGAAGCTCTTAGCAGGTTAGCATACTCTTGATGTAAAAGCATTGCCAAAGAAATTTTTTTCCCTTTTTCCTTTTGCATATATATCTCTTAGCGATATGAAAAATTCCATATCCTGCATAATGATTGGTGATCTGCTAACAACATCAATTTATTTTTCCTTATTACCTTACAAAATGTGAACATCTGTCGGATTTTTATTTTATTTTATTTCAACTTGTTTGCTATACTATAGGTGTCGGAACCTTCTTATTTTCATGATCACAGATTATGCCTTTATTCTTTTTAGCTTTTACTATCTTTCTAAGCACCTCTGTAAAGCAGTTCATATGCAGAAGAAGAATTGCACCACCATTTTATATATTCCATGTAAATAACTTGCACTCTGCTTTGGAAAGTAATATTGCATGTCAAATACATCACACGGAAACCACACTTCACTCGAGTTTCTTATACTTTCTCAGGAGGTAATCAATACCACTTTAGTTTACTGTGGAATAAGAAAAAACCACTACCTGTTCTTTTTCGGCCAACAAGCTTCTTGGCTTTTCCTCTTGAATATATTCACAACCACAATCTTATTGCTTTCGAGGTCCTGTTATATGAAGCTACAAGTTTCCCCTGCAAATCCCAATTTAGATCCCGTGGTGTCATATACAACCCTTTGGTTCTTCTGCTGATAATTACCAATGATGCCGATCTCATCTTCGTATGTGAGGCTTGCAAGGGCCAGGCACACCTGAGATGCATCAGTTTTTGCAAAATAAAATATTCCATTCACATCAACTTTCAACTCGGTATCACCATCAAAGTGCATGTCTATTGTAGGGATCTCCACTTCTTGATATGCACTCAGATTAAAACACGTATCCAAGATCGAGAAGCCCGGCGCTGGAGGATACCCGGTAAATTTCTTTAAGAATTCTTCCTTCAGAGCCCTGTACATTGAGGGAGGAAGTCTTGAAATCACTGTACCGGAATCAATCAGAATTCCAGCTTTACCGAAACTCGGAGACTGTATCGCCTCTCCACCCACACTAATACCAGTAAGATTAAGGAAGTAGAAGGTTGGCAGCTGCGGGTTCGGGATCATAGCAGTGTAAGAAATGGGAGTGGAGTTCTTGTAGACTGAAAAGTCACCACCAAAAGCTAAAGACCCTGACGCTGCAACTTCTGCAGATGGCAAACAATATGAGAAAACACCACCAAAGAGGTTTGAAGTTTGAGAGACCATTGAGAGAGAGCTTCTCCCCAGACCCATAAGACCAGAAGCACCTCCAAAAAGGCCTTTGTTATTTCTCCCGCACCCAAATACAAAATTGTCCACAGGAGTCGCTCCAAGGTTTAGATGTTCCACACCAAGCTCGCCGCGAGTGTAGGAACCATCTCCATAGCTAACCAAATAGTTACATATCGGTGTTCTGGGATCACACACTCCTAAGTTCCCAGTGGCATATTCTAAGGACTGACAAGTCGATGAATTGCAGGGAATTGATTTGTAGGAAGGAGAAGCTGAAGGATTGAATAGAGGGTCTTGTTGGTTATAGCATACTCTGCAAGGTTGGCACTGGACCCATGTGAGATCACTCCCTGTGTCTAAAATCACGCTCATCTTTCGACCACCCAGTTCCACAGTGACTATGTAATTTAGAGTCTGAAGACGTACACCAGAAGTTATTGGAAGTTGAGTTTTTGCAACATCTTCTTTAATGTTGCCGGAGTGCGCGTTTTTGATACGATGTTGGAGCATTCGGACCTGGGCATCATCCAAGATTAAGCGCTTTTGCAGCTTCTGGTTCCAGTTCACGGTCTTCCCTGAGCAGTGATCCTGGTGTACTATTTCCAATATGGTTGCACCATTCTTTTGTACTACAATTCCAAACAATCAAACAAGAGTTTCTGAGAATGCTTCTTGATTGTGAGGAACTATGAGTTGCATGATGTGGAATATAGTAGCAAAACGTAGAACTACACATAGTTCTTCAATTTCTTACTTAAAACTATTGACATTGTATTACCAAACAGAGAACAGCCGGCACTTTGCTAAATAAATGGTAAAGCAAAGCAAAAACCAAAAATTGCTTTATGAAATGCAGCTGGTTCCTACTTCCCCCGCGCGCGCGCAAAGAGAGAGAGAGAGAGCGCATCGTGGTTACATGTCACCCACAAAAGCGAGCAATGATGAACAAAGCTCACATTCTAACAAAAAGAAGCAGCCCTAAGTTGCAAATCCCGAAGTGGAAGAATAAAATAAGAAAAAGAGAAAGAAAAGCCATGTCCATGAACACAGAATACCATTTCATCATGTTCAATTCTTGTTATAGCCTTCTTTTTTTAATTTGAACTCACTTGATTTCTGAGAGAAGCAGTTTGGAGTGCTGGTCATCTGATCCCAGAACAAGTTTCTCAAGCTGAGAGCTTTCTTGCCTTCAAGACTGTGAACCTCATGAGCAGTGCCAAGAAGGAGCACGAGAAGAAGGAGAGACAGTTCTAGCTGAGGTAGTTGTGTTGCTTGTGCCATTGTTCAGAACAGTGCAAGAGTTCACAGGTGCAGATATGCATTCAAAAGCAAAAGAAGAAATAGCACTTCCCTCTGTGTGTGTGTGTGTGTGTGTGTGTGAGAGAGAGAGAGAGAGAGAGAGAGAGAGAGAGAGAGAGAGAGAGAGTGAGGGAGAGAGAGAGGGAGATTCTTAGGAGTTGGAGTTTGGGACGAGAACAAAAGAAGAAGGGCTGGCTTGAGGACCCACGGGTGCATGAGAAATTATTGGGGTTTCACGTGCACGTTCTTTGCAAGAAAAAACGGAGGAAAATTTAGTATAAAAAACACTTAAAACAACCATTAATAATGACATTTGAGTTTACACATGCATGGTATAATTCTCATTTTGTTGTTTGTGACTAATTTTCTCTTTCAAATGTTACATCGTCATTAGAAATATTATTTTCTACCCTCGACGATCATGAACACGAGACTCGTAGCGGTCGTTGCTCTCTAACTCATAGATATACGCTAAAATTTATATAGTGCATTTGCATATTTTTCCAGGTGAATATCACCGAAAAGTTCTCTAGCTCCCCTCCTCCTAATTTTCCTGCCCCCTCTGCACCGTTGATCCAAAGATATAAAAAATTCGTACACTGCTTTTGGTGTTTTTCTTTGTTATTGTCAAGTGGGATAGAGAGCTTGTGATTTCAAGTAGATTTTTTATTGTGCTTGCTGAGCTTTCAAAAGATAAGGACTCTCTCTCTCTCTCTCTCTCTCTCTCTCTCTCTCTCTCTCTCTTCACAGAATCAACTGTCACAACTTCCTCTCTGCTAGAGCATTTAAGCTTGTCCCTTGCTTCAACTTGACTTGCATGTAGCTCTAGACCATGTTGGTCCTTATATTCCCTTGACAGACATGAGGAGAATATTGATAATTAATTAGTCCACACATGCACTGTTTGCTTGAGTTTAATATATCTGTATTTCATCGCAAGAATCCAATCAATACATTCAAATCTGACATTAGAATCTGGTTTACTATTAAAGATAAGATTAGGGAATGTGAGCTCATCCTTTTCTCTTTCCCATGCAATGAGTTTCTTGTCCTGTGTCGAATTTGTCTCTTCATAGGTCAGGTAGATAATTGCACCTTCATTTCGAATTAAGAGATCGATCTACTAGTAATTCACCCTGATAGGAACTTAAGAATTGGTCTTTTCATCCTCCATCAAGAGAGAAAAATTTGACCCTGTGCTGGCTTTTTTTTCTCATTTCTTCGTTGTAATGATGCGTTGACAATGATTTCTCTCTCCACCCGTCATGGAGGAAGTCATCTGTAACGATCTTTACAGTGTTCCTTGTCAATGATGTTTCTCCCTTACAAATTCTAGAAAGGTAACTCGTGAAATGAAATATGTAGCACAGCAAGCAGATTTCTCGTGATAGTGGGAAACAAGCAAATCTAGTTTGCATTTTATTCATGGGAGACGTGAGATGTCTGTTTCAATCACATGCTCTTCGTAGTACTTCTCTCCACATGACTATAATTGTGATGAGCTTAACACATGAAATCATTGTAAAGCATATTGGACACATCCACTATATCGGGAACATCGCATCGTTACCCTAACGACATCCCATTTTAACAATTGCGTGCAATCCTACGTATGACGGGTTGCGAAATCAAACTCCGTAGTCTCCGATTGTATATTTCTTGACGGTTCTACTTGAAGCAAATCTGCTTTTCTTACTGTTATTGCAGTCGCCATTGTTCCTCAAGTGGTCATCACTGCTGTTGCCAGGATTTGAAGCCAGTTAGACGGAGGAAGTGAACAGCACAGATTTTGTTCCCCCACAAAAGAACAAATTCACTAGAGAATATCAGGTGGTATGTTTTCTTTTCTTTTATGATGACTACACAGAACTTTTGGAGGTGCTGCATATGTTATCTTGTAATGGACCATATCTTGATGCGAAGGATAAACTAGGCACAACTTCTAGGGTTGCAGTTTCAGTGATAAAGATTAGCGAATAAGTTTGCCATTGATTTTTTGCTGGGGTTGGGAGTGCTATGATGGATTGGGGTTTCGATGGGTGGAAGTGGCACCACAACAAGTACCACCACTAAACAACAAGTGCAAGACAGCCTTAAACGAAATGAGGTTTTGCTTCGTCGGATAGGACAGGAGGTATGGCTCTTCTAACATAGCCAAAACTCTCCCGAATTTTAAAGGCAGTACATGCTTACCATGGTTACGTTAGAGTTAGAAAGCATTTTCATACCTTAGCAAAATTCAGAATTTAATTATACATTTAGCCAGGACATGAGGGCATCTGATGTGGTCACAAAGAGGACTAATTATCGAAGCAACTACCAATCTTTTTATCTGTGTCGTTTATAAGCGGATCTAATTTTCCTTTGTACAACATTGAATTGAATCACCATTTTTCCATAGAATTTGTTGCCCCTATATACATGAAGATACAATAGATGAACAATTCTTTGATTTAATGGTTTTAAGCCTCTCGCGATACCCCTAAAAGATAGGAAACTCCTGATTTTCCTGCTCAAACAGAGGCCTAAAGTACATATTCAAATTAGCATGAAAGTCCTACTTTGGATGATAGGCCTCGTAGAGCCTCTTGGGCTGTTAAAGCGGTGCAAAAGAAGTTGGTTGAGCTTCCCCGGTGACTGAGCCTGTGATTTTATTGTTTGTATTTGCTTCCATCTCGAAACGCTCTTTCTTGATTGTATGTAAAATAATTCTCAGACATAAGCATAGGCTTTTGATGATTAGAAAGCTTCGGAGGTGGGGAAAATCTATATAGATCTAGGAGCATATTGTCCACTCTTTTTTGTGTTCATTCAATGCTTTGCTTGTAATGTGATAAAGTCAGCCCCTACCTCTTGGATATCAGCGTAGCTTTGTAATGCAACTTCCTACACATCTGCTCTGAAAGTGATCTTTCCTGATCAAGATATAAAACATGGGAAACCTACTTCCCTAGCAAGAAAATTGATCTTATTACGAAATGATGTTCGGTCTTGATACACAACGAAGTGATATCCAACCCCGTAATAGAATCAGTTGAACGTGTATATAAGCAAAGAAGGGCATAGGTAAGCTCTCAGAGACTCAGATAATATCTCCAAATCAAAATAGAATTTGCTCTCTTTTTCTTGGGGTTTAACTTAAGCATCTTCCCAAAAAATTCCTCAGAAAGTGCCTGTGCAGGCTTTTGAGGATTCTTTGAAGAATCAAAGTTCAGTATTGAGCATTATCAGAGCCTGAGTGCAATCTATGGGATTAGTGATGTTCAAATTGTGAAGAATTAATTGAACCATCATGTAAAAAGTCATGAAATATTTCTCGGAACTTTCTCATATAATTATTTCCGTGCCATAATTTCATCATTATTATTCTGATAGAGAAAAGAAAGAGGAGAATCCATCCATTAGTACAGCTTTTGTCTAAGTAAAAGGAGCATCAAAAGAGACCGAAAGTAGCAGTTCATGGTTCTTATCTAAAAGCACAAGTGCTTGAGAGAGTGAGCTGCAATCTTGGATCTCCTAGGAAACAAATGCGGAGCGGTCGTTGAGATTCAAGAAAAAGGTAAAAAGAAGAGAAAAACTGCATTCATTTAACGCAAACAATAATGAGTGGGTTTATGTCATCCAGTAGAAAAGTTTCCCAAGCCTAATTTAGTATTTGCAATGGCAAAAGCTGGCTGATTTTAGCACTCACAGGGTGATGAAAAGTCCCTTTTCTTTTCCCTCTCGAGCAACATGAAAGCAATAAACAAGTTCCATCTGTAGGGTATAAACCATATCTAGTTGTGAATACCTTCTCCATTTGGTTCCGAAGTTTCACAGAAATTTACTTCTACTCACACATAGCTTTCTCGACTGAAACATTAGCAACTTCCATGCGTTTTATCGGCAATTCAGCCAAGCATGCAACACCTGTTCGTTCGCAAAACCAAAACCAACAACTCTGAAACCCACTAGAACTGTCATGGCTATCCAAAAGGGGACTCTTGCAAAATAACTTCACGTTGATGAAGCTAATTATGTGGGCATTCACCGTTACATGCATATTTTATGATGCCAAATGGTTGGAATGTGCACAAGTGATGGAATCTCAAACCAAGATTCTGGAACCATTGCGGTACCATACATTCTCTCTTTGCATGGAACATGAGGTCTCAAAACAAGAATCACCAGTCACGAGTAGCACAGATGAAGTCGAGGAAGGCATCAGAATAGTAACTCATATCACAGGCAGTCTCAGAAACCAAACAATGAAAGGTCTTCTCTCCTTAACTTTCTAATCTCAATGTAAGTCCTGAAGTGGAAGAAATTGCTATTTGATCTATCTTGCTTGTTGTTCGAGAGAAGTATGATCCATAGGAAACTAAAAACTTAACTTATGCTTTCAATATCTACAAGGATTCACTGAAACCAGGTACAGAATACACAAATTAACAGCTCGACAGATGTAGGTTGGACTACTACCAGAGTTAAGCATATTCGAGCTCGCTAGAGATATAATATGCACAAGGATCCATTGATGATATTACTAACATATATGCATGGTCGATTTTAGCTATATAAGATGAATACTGAACAAGATTTACCCAGAATTGAGAAAACTATTTATCAACAAAGACTCGGTGATCATGGCTCGCCTTGCCTTTCTTCGTCTATCTGGTCATTCTCCTGCATCATATTCATCAGCATTGATATTTGATCCTGCAGCATTGCATTTTCCCTCTCTACTTCCACGCGTTTCCTCTTTTCCTCCAGGAGCTGTAGCTGAAGATGTTCCAGTACCCTAGAGTCCTCTTCCAGCTGCTCATTTAGACCATCAATTTCCCGGTCCTGCACACAGAAATTGCAAGCACGAGATCCTTAGTTCTCTGTTTCTGACTTTCTAATATAATGAAGAAGCAAGACTGAGGATAACTTATGAGATAAGAGGAGTTGCACCTTTCTGTTCATCTCTTGAATGGCAATTCTTCTCATGCTTTCAACAACATCCACATTAACTAGTTTGCGTTTCTTTCCAACTAGCCAGCCACGTGGATAGCTTGCTGTGTCGAAATCTGGTGGCGGGAGCAGGGATTCAGCAGATGGTCTTCCACTGTTGATATCCTTTATCGGTTCTAATGGCTCAAAAAGAGCTTTGCGCTTCACAGACAGAACGGACAGTGGTGTCGAATCCTGCATCTTCTCGTCCATTGTCATCTCTTCTTGTTTAGTAGGTGTATTATCAGCAGCGTCTGCCATGGTCTTGTCAAAATTCCGGGCATTTGCTGTGAAAATCAAAATATAGCATTTATAGTCCCAAGTTATTGAGACTCAATTCTAACTAGAATCAAGCAACTTATAGAGTGCCCATAATATTTGTAACAGGTATAGTTCATGGAACCAAGTATCAACACCATATGTTCTTCTGTGTGCGGCAAAAGTAAGCAGAGATTTCATAAGAGGGACTAACTACAGATATGATGCTTGGGCAAACCATTCATTCCGTACCTAACAATTACAAAGAGTACCACTGAGAACATGTGAACGTCGATGAAAAGTGTCCTCCTTTCACTTTCAGATATTTGAAAACGAAAGGGCCTTTCTTGCTTTAGATTTCAAAGAATTTTCCGGAGATACTGAAGCTTACAATGGAAGATCCTGCTGCTCGGGTCATAATGACATGATGGGTCACGCTTCACTAAGACTCGCGAACAAATGAAATGGGTGGGATCCGTATTTCATTAGAAACACTAGAGCTTTAATTTTGAAAATGGACAAACTTTGCCCGATCATCAGATTCAGGAATCGCAAAAATGGAGAACAATAAAAAGTGCAAGCGATGAGTAGCCAATTCTGCAACTTGTCAATCTCATCCTGCAATCTGATAGCCTAAATTTAATAAAAGAACTCGGAGTAACATCATACTTAAGTCATCGCCAAGAAATTGGAGGGGCACCAATAATAAAGTATTCAACTCCTAGCATATCCATTGATCTTTCCATCAGAGAAAGGAATGAAGTAGAAGGGCAGCTGCAAGTGCAGAACTCTCATAATCTATTGACAAGACGGAAATTTGTTGCAGCACAAAGTTAAAGGCGAATTGCATCATATGTGAAATAGCACTTGAGTCGTTGGGATGACTTAAACGACTCCCGTTAGTGACTTAATGGTATCTGCTATTATACAGCAGATTGAATCAGAGAAATGCACTAGTGAAACATAAGTTGCACAGCATGACAGACAGAGTCCTAGACATTCATATTTTCAAGCACCAGCATTTCAGAGAGGAAGAATAAGAGGTGACCAAGAAGAAATTCAGCGAGAGGAGAAGTTCTTTTTTTTACCATTTTCCTGGTGGATGGAATTCCAGGTACTGAGTAAGATCATTACCCTCCATTGGGGAAGCAAATGAAGGTGCAACACAATGCACTATTCAAACGGTCTTAACATGATTCAGCTAATAGCGAGTAAGAAAAAACAAGTAAAACTATAATAGAATCCTTCACAGAACCCTATCTTCCGCAATCATGCATAGCCCCAATTGAAAACCCAGATGGGTTCTGCTACAGTTAGTTCCTAAATGACGTCCCCCCCCCCATCATCCATGCATCAATCAATCATCATCAGTTCTCTTCAACTCTAACCCATATTGAGAAACAGAGCAGAAACAGAGCTAAGCAATTGTACTGTTTAGGCAGTCGATACCTGATCTCTTTCGAGATTTCCAAAGAACTGGAGCATCGGTCACATGAGAGAAGCCTTGCAGAGTCCCATTCGGACTGTTGTTAGACGCTGGCTCCATTGGAAGAGATCAGAGCAAACAAAATCCCAAGACCCCCCCTCGTGCACCACGAAAGTGATCGTACAGAAGCGCTAAAAGAATGGATCTTTATGGTTGCAGCAGATTGCTTCCGCATCAGCTTTCTTGGAGTTTCAGCTGCTCCTACCAAAGAAACCCGAGAGAGAGAGAGAGAGAGGACGACGCTTTGACGATGATGTCGTGTCGGGTCCATTTCATGTCTCCAGAGTAGGAGGGGACCAGGCACAGCCACGTTGAATCAAACGGCCAAATTCCAAGAAGCCTGGGGGGCTTTCCACGGATTTTCACCCCGTGCCCATGCAAATCTTTATACTAAGCTGAGTTTTTCGTTTAGGATCTTTACTTCGTCGTTAAGATATTAAGTGATAGGCCGGGCCTAAAATAAATTTATATGTGAAGTAATTTTAGTATTTATATACTTCTAAAGCATTAGATCTATTACTGTATACAAAAATAATTACTCATAGATTATAAGTTGCCGAGTATAAGTAGTCATACATTTAATTATGGTATTATGGATCTCATGCTTGAATCACGTTTGTCATACTCATAGTAAACTCAAGAGCCACTCTCGTGAATCTATATGTTTATTATAATATTTTCATATTTGTAATACATGATCAATGTATACAATCTTAACCAATTATGGACTATAGATAATTGGTAATGCACTTAACTTTGGATTCGGCTAGTCTGGTAGAGTCTTCTGCTCGTAGTAATGTCAGGGGTTATGCCCATCGATTTGCCTTTGAGTAGATTCATCGACATATGTGAATGAAGCAGTTTGCATGCATATTTTGAGATTACTGGAGTCGAAAGTTTGATACTTATATAATAAAAAATGAATTTTCATACCGCGTAAGATTGCATTGCTGATCTCTCTTTTCTTTGTTTTCCTCACCCCATCCTCGAAAAAAACCTCTCTTGCTGTCTCTTTCCTGAATTCGTACGTTCCTTAAGCCCTCATCTCAAACCCTAGTCCTCTCTCTCTCTCTGTGTTTTTCATCGGAGCTGTTGCTATTTTGTATTTCCTTGCCGGTCGAGGTTGAGGGCTGGGTAAGGGTCCTCTCATTGGATCTGGCGAGGGTATCCTGACCCTTGTCTTCGTTGGCCATCATGGAGGTTGGCGATTGGCAAAGGGAAATAAGGAAAAAACAAAAGAAAAAAATTAATAAAAAATTCAAAAAAAATATTAAAAAATTAAATGAAATGTCCAAGTCAACGCCAACCGTACCATGTAGGACGGCCATCAACTGCGTGGGGCTTTCCATAGATTTTCACCTTGTGCCCATGCAAATCTTATACTAAGCTAATTTTTCACTTAGTGTGTATTTGTTTCGTAGAAAATGAACGATTTGAAAAACATTTTTCGAAAAATAATCGCTTGTATCGTTTACAAAAATAAATAAATAGAAAAAATTTTCATTATCCACGAAAATAATTAGGCATAGATTGTTATCGATGATAAAAATATTTTTCGTTGACTAATTTTTCTAAACGATATAAGCAATCATTTTTTGAAAAATATTTTCCAAATCACTTATTTTTTGCGAAACGAATGCATCATCTTTACTTCATCATCCAAGAAGTTAGTGATAGCCCGGGCCCAAAATCAATTTATATATGCTAATTTTAGTATTTATATATTTCTAGAGCATTAGATCTATCACTGTATACAAAAATAATCAATCATAGGTTATAAGTTACCGAGTATAAGTAGTCATACATTCGATTCCTAACCCCATCCTCGCCGAAACCTCTCCTGATTTCTCTTTCCTGAATCCGTACGTTCCTTATGTCCTGATCTCAAACCCTAGTCTTCCCTTAGCTGCTGCCTCTCTCTCTCTCTCTCTCTCTCTCGTCATCTCATCATTTTTCGTGTGTCACGATTTTGCATTTCCTCGTCGAGCGAGAGATAGAGGGCTAGGCAAGGATCCCCTCACCAGATTTTGCGAGGGCCAGCCTCATCCAACTCTTGCGAAAGGCCGGCCAAGGCGTCCTAGCCCTCGCCCTCCCCAGCAACCGACGGGTCGCCGGCCATCATGGAGGTTGGTGAAAAGAAAAAATTAATAAAAAAATCAAAAAAGTATTTAAAAATTAAATAAAAATGTTCACGTTAGCGCCAATCGTGGTACGGAGAACAGCCAGCATTCATGTCAACAATTTCCGGCCTAAATTGGCCGAATGGACTGAATCGGTACCAATAAATTGATCCAATTGATGGGTTTAGGACTGAATTAATACCAACACAATAGATTTAGAACTTTTTTCATACTTTTCCCCTTTTTTTTCATTTGGACACTATAAAACTCAACTTTACATCAGAAAATTATTGAAGTACATGACATTACTTTTTACTAATTTTAGTGAAGATGAGAGAGCACAGATTTGTAAGTGTATGACATTACTATTATTTATGAAATTGTTGCTCGCTTATTGTAACTATACTTAGGTATGACAAACCAATTGAAAGAAAGAAAAATGAAAAGAGATCCAACTTTTCTATTTATAAGAAAAAGGTCATTGAATTTCAAATGTGCTTATATGAACTGCTGAAAAAGTAGTTTATTCTAAAATGTCTGATTTTCTTTATTATCTCTTCAACCTAGTGTGGTGCAATAAAAAATTGCTATCTAACTCACGACTGATGTACTGCTTTTGACTTTGATAAATTACCGCAAACAATATGGAGTAATACGAATAATTTATAGATCTAAATATACTTCTTTGACGGTAAAATTTACTAAAATGTAGAGAAGACAAATAAAAAGGGGTTAGAGACCACTAAAAAAATCAAATGTCCAAGCGTTTTCTTTCGAGCTATTTCAGAGTTACTCAACTTGAATTATGAGAATACAACTGATTTTTTTTATAAAGAAAAAGAAGAATAAAAGTACTAAATTATCAAAAAATATTAAATAATCATTGTCTAATTTATTGGATATAATGCTTTTATAGATCTATTTGACATTATAATTGGGTTACTTCATAAGATGAAACTTAGCTTTCAAATTCAAAAGTATTAACTGAATTTGAAAGTCACTAAGAAGTTGCTTAAGAAGTAATCACGTTGCTTGTCCAATGGTTAATAATTTTGAATTTAAAAAATAAGTCTTCTTGTATTATAAAAATCAATTTTTAGTGACTTTCCAAAGTTTTTAGAATTTTGTCAATACAAGATGTAATTTCACGAATCACTTTTGGTTACTTTGAATGAAAATTTACGAGTTCGTCAAGAAACTCACTGAATGTGTCCTTTGAACATTCCTAAGTAAATTGTAGTACATCACATTTCGTAATCTTTCACATTGATTTGTAATTTCTTTGAAATGCAAGTTTTCGCCTTACAGTAATTAGTGATTTCGGTGAGTTCTTAATAACTTTTTCAATATCAAAGTAAGTTATTGTTGTTACTAGCAAAGTTCCAAAGCATTTATTAATTCCTCAATACTAGATGAAATTCAATTTTTGTTAATTTGGAAGCCAACTTATTCAAAGTAAGATTTGAAAGTTTCAAGTTAATTGGAATATCCCATTTCGGTCCATGCTGACTCCGTCGGCTTGCCACAAAACTGATCCAGAAGACCACAAATAGCAATCTTATAATCTTAAGACAGAAAATGAAAACCATAAATTTCACATTACTAGAAAAATCATACATGTAAAAATCATCATTTTCAATTTTTGCGCCTCCTTTGTCGGTGAGCGCAGGCCAAAAGATGAATGGTCGATCACACTTAATCCTTTCGTGAAATGAAGTATCTTTTTTCTTTGCTCTCTTTTATTGCTTTTGCTTACGGGGAGAAATTATGTACTGATACTATACCATGAACATTTCAAGTCTTGCTCAATCCATAGCTCAAAAAACTAGCTCTCCATGGACAAGATTCAGACAAACATTTGGTTGGAGATCAGTTAATGGGAATCTAGAGTATGTATATACGCCAAGTAGAACATTGAGATCAAGATGCAAACACGCGATTGTGTTTCAAAATACGAGTTTAGTTTATTGACAATATTCAATGAGAGCTCCCCAACTCCAAGTCCAAACTGCGAGCAAGTCAATATCTGGAAGACGGACTTTTTCTTGGTATAACCTAGAGAGCGAGAACTTATTCTAAATCCATGAAGCATGTTTCCAACTCCAAGTCCAAACTGCGAGCAAGTCAATATCTGGAAGACGGACTTTTTCTTGGTATAACCTAAAGAGCGAGAACTTATTCTAAATCTATGAAGCATGTTTTTCTTTTATAAATCCCAGTTATCTGAAAACATATATATAATGGCATGAGCCACGCAGCTTAGCTGGATACATACTCTTAGAATCTTAGTCAACTCCGAGATATGTACCCAACCAACTGTAGTTTGGAGCTTCATGCAGATTTGAACTGATCCAGCTAAACTTCCATCTAATTACAAAGTACACTAACTAGCCGCAACTTTACAACATTATACCTTGAAAACACTTCATATTCACATCACACTCGATACAAAAAAATTCAGCAGCTACAGAATCAAACGATCAACACACCCAAAATTAAAGGCAGCTCTTAGAACTAAGGACTATGAAGGGAATTAATAAGCTGAATGATATGACTCTGCAGAGGGCGGGGACCTTTCGAAATTACTCATAATAATTCGGCCAAATTCTTCGGTTAACTGGTGCGTCGAAGGCGATGAATTCTGAGATGGCGGTGGTGATTTGTATGTCCTCTTGGAATTGTTAATATGCTGGGATGGGGGTGATACTTTTGGGGGTGGAGGTGGTGATCTTGATGGCGCCTCAAAATCGTTGGTCCCTGGTTTCCACGGGGGCGCTACTTTTGGAGGTGGAGGTGGTGATCTTGATGGCGCCTCAAAATCGTCGGTCCCTGGTTTCCGTGGGGGTGCTACTTTTGGAGCTGGAGGTGGTGATCTTGATGGCCTCTCAAGATCATCCTTCGCTTGCTTCGATGGCGGTGATACTTTTGGAGGTGGTGATTTAGATGGTGCCTCAGAATCGAGATCAGTAGCCATTGATATGATTAAATCATCGTCCGAAGGAGGACAGTATAAGCACGTGATGTGGTGGATCGGTGGAGATACTTTTGGAGCAGGTGGTGGTGGTGGAGAGTATGGCCGTCCCACAACTTCGTCATAATGATCGTTATTTGTTGTCGTAGTCACCGCTGTTGCAGGCATCTCCTTGCGTGGCCTCGTTACAGGTGGCGACGCCGCATGTCGCAGAGTCAGTGGCCTCAATGACCTTCCATAGTCTTCAATTGTCATTGTCAAACTCTCTGCAGTTCACACGCAATATAATTCTTCAGTTACCAGTTTCAGCTTTCCAGTGAAAATCAAGATAGTCCTTGGAAACCAAAAGCGGTTTATTAGCGGCTGAGCCAGCTTTTGATCTTCTTTCTTGTCATTCATACATGAAAGTTGATCTTTTTATTTCGAAAAACTGCATGCAGCAAAAAATCTTATGCTAATACCAATTGAAATGACCAGATCATTAGCTAGAGTGTCATGATAGAACTTCTCATGTGATATACATGAAAAGAACTAGGGTCCAAAAACATTAAACGTGAACTGCGGCAAGGGGAAAATCATGTTGTAGCGAATGGGCAAAGTCGGAAGGGCTACCTGCAAGTAGAGGTCTTGCTCGAACTTGAGCAGCAATGGCCAGAAGGAGGAGGAGGAGGAGGAGATTAGACAGAGAGTGAGCAAAAGAATAATGAGAAGCCCCCATGATTGGAACCCTTGCGTCCCAACGGGGTTGCTTCTTATTAATGATACCCATTAAGGTTAACTCAAGTGGCTATATATAGAGGCGAGATCGCTTATCTGGAGTATGTAAATGTTGACGTCAAAGCTGTAACGCCACCGTTTCCTCAGTTTAATAAAGACTAGCCACAGGAGACAACCTTTTCTTGGTCTTCTTCCCCATTTTTCCGTGGCTCCCCTCCTGTATTGAACTGAGGATTGCATGTACTAGCGCGCGCGGTCCACGCAGAATTTAATTGGCAATACAAATACGAAATACCAGTTCTCTCTGTCTCTCTCATTGAATGAAGACAATCACTCGACAAACAAGACCTTGTCCTCTGTGCACGGTCTTCCTCCTTTCACATTTTAGGGTTTTCAGTTTTTTTAAGCGCTTTGGAAAATGAAGAGCCCCCCGGATGGTCGTGGTCAACGCTTGTGTTTTCTATGACTCTGTGTGTGTTTTCTGGGGGGAGAGTCTTCGAGCTGTGCGTGTTGATTTCCGTCACCATGCAGGAACGAGAACAAGTTGAGTCGGACGGAGTTGAGTCGAAGTTAGGTGTCGCAGCACGTGCAGAACTAGCAGCCGGTCGCAGCACGTGGTGCATTTCACTTTGTGTCGTCTTGTGATCTTGAATTATAACTCAATTACATGCTAAAGTTTCTGTTCAATTTTGACGGCACAAAATCACTATTACAGCGTCAAGAACTAACTAATTTAGGTAGTAATCCATTATCGATTTGTCGATATATCTCATGATCTGTATGTGATTTATAAGAAAATAGCTAATTATAGGTAGACTCGCTCTTATGATAACTTCTTTAGCAGATCGATTACAACATAGAAAATATGGGTGGTACATGTCGATTTGATTGTTCACAGATCTGCGGATTTTAATTAGGTTCAAATGTTTTCCTAACATATGATTTAACCGAATCGAAGTAATTATACATCTTTTCTTTGTTTTTTTCTTTTCGCCGTGATTTTTTTTTTTTTGTAGCTGTTAGATAGTCACTTTTCGATGTATTATCTTAACTTTTTGTCTAGCTATAAAATATTTACTAATCTATAATGATGGCTCAAGCACTTTTAATGATGCTCTTGACTAAGTATAGTATCTCAACCAATTATCATTACCTTTATTAATTGGAATATGCCATTCCCGTCGTCATCTGAACCATTTCTTTCTATAACAAGCATACACAAAAGACACATCAATCTATTAAGGATTTATATATAGTATGCCCCTCGCATAAAGCATTATTTAAGCAAACAGTAATGAAGTGACAACTCTCATCTGCAAATGCTATAAAGAAAATTATTTACTAGAATTCCTTTACCATGTGATTCTACAATGATATATATGTTGAAAGCCCAATCACTTTATTCATTCTCGCTTATTTAAATATTCAATAAATACGACCTCATAACGCTTAAATACTTTATCGTAATACCTTTTGCATATCTGTAGTCTCCCTTCGATTACTTGTTTAAATTTTCGAATTGGACATTCCAACAAATTCCTCAAAAGCCAAACCCTTATTTGATATTAATATATATGTTCTTTCGTGCCATGCGTCATGTTTTTCAAATAGAATTGAGATTGATTATTCAATTGAGAATGCTATTCATGTATATGGGTGGTACATCAGAATGGAATACAAAATGATACGGCGTGATATGAACGAGTGCATAAACAAGTCCAACATCCTGTAGTTCGAACTCACTTATCAAAAATACTTAAATTCGCATCAAGCAGACAATGTACAGTCTTATCAACCTTAGAGGACAATTATATATCCATCTTCTGCAAGTGTCAGAAGGTCCAAAACAGCAGAGCTCAGGGTTGATGAGGTCGACAGATAGTCGATGAATCTATAACCATATCTATCTACTACTCCTCAGCGATTAAAGTGGGATTTATGGACCACGCAGCAGTCACCTAATTAGCTAAGAAAATATTTTCTCTCGTTGTTTTTATCACAAATACTGATATTTTCTGTTAGGCATCTTCTCCCATTTACTCCTGGTTATATATGCATGAGGACATGGATGTGAAGTCTATGTTAATCTCTCAGTAGGTATCTTACTTACATAGACACTACAACAAAGAAGAACAAAGTAAAAGGAAAAAGAAGGAAGGAAGGAAGAAAAAAGGAATAAAACCCTAGATTTGATAAGGGTCCCAATTCTCATGTCACGGGGAAAAAACATATGTAAAAAGTATGTACGGATATTCCGTCTTTACTCTAAGGTGTATGGACATTTTCATAATCATTAGGTTTCTAGAAATATGAACATCGTGATTTTTAATGTTTGATTATACAAACATGCGTGTCCAATCAAACTTCTTCGCTACCGGTCGATCTTACTTAAGTTTAGACTATTTATTGTACTACATTTCTGTTTGTTTCGCGAAAAGCGAATGATTTGAAAAATATTTTCCAGAATATAATCGTTTGTATTGCTTGAAATGATTAGCTAATAAAAAATATTTCCATTATTGATAACAATTTATGTCTAAATAATTTCGTAGACGATAAAAATATTTTTTCGTTCGTTTTTTTTGTGTAAATGATTCAAGTGATTATTTTTTTGAAAAATATTGTTCAAATTATTCAAGCGATCATCTAGTTGAGTTGCCAATGAAGGAAAATCTGTTTGTGCATGGTGGCCGGTAAAGTCACTCCCGCACAAGCTCCAGCGGGAATTGTACATCACCAGAAAGTCACTTAGGTTACCAACCTTTCCTTAATCACATGTCGTAAATTTAATTAATCCATGTTTTGGTGAGAATTAAATAAGAAAATAGTACATCCCGATGCTCGTAAGGACAGCATTCCCTCTCTTTGTTTTTTTTGTTATGCTTGCGTGAGGTGCACATGCATTTTTGTAAGTGGGGGTAGGTCGTCAGTAGTGCATCCATCCACGTGCGATGTGACGCCGGAGAGTAAGGGTTTACTTTCTTTTGCTTAGCTTCTCTCAGCGAAAAGATACTTATCGATGAATTTGTCGCCAAAATTCAAATATTATCTATATATCCATATCTGTATATTTGAATAAAAAAAACATTAGGTTCTTCCCATTTAAATAAATATAACATTTTGAGAGCTGCAGTTGCCTGAGCTATATTGCCAAGCACATGAAATTTCTATAAAAGATGCTCAATGAAGAATGTTTTGCTGTAAAAGTTTAATAATAATTGATGAGACTAAGTCGGTATCACATTTGTCAAAATGGAAATTTATGAGTACCTTAATAAAAAAATTAGATAATTCGCAAGATTATTATTGTCTTCTTGGGATGTGACACTAAATTCAAGCGCTTACTTTTTTTTGGTTCGAAATTCAAGTGCTTACTTTACATAGTACTAATATAGATAATGCAAGTAAGGCAATTCAAACCATTACATTGAGCAGGAAGTGTGTATCTGCAGTGATTTGATATTAGTGAAAGGGAAACAAAAAAGCTAGGTAAAAATTTTAATTGTTTCAATATATTTGCATCCTGGATTTAGTAACTCTGAATGCATTATGTCTTTTTGGCTAAAGTAGTCATTCAATTGAGAAACTTTGCTCATATAGTCAGAATTTGCGGGCAGTGCATAATTTTACTTTCAGTAATGTCCGATGTATAGAGATCTTTTAGGCATATGACTGGGTACATCAGATCACAATGTTACCCTTATCCCACGTAGCCGAGCTATTACCATGCTTTCATGATCGATCCACTGTTGCTATATTGATTACTTAAACATAATCCAAAATATCTTTAGCACAATCTATACGTTGGACTCGAAGTGATCGACCCATAACACTTCGTGCAGTTAGGGGTACTTAGCTTATATGCGCGCACGATACATATGCTCGCGACTCTTATTTTGTTTGATTTCATTTGAGACTCTAGAAAATCGAATGGCCGTGATGGAGTAGGCTCACATAAATTCATTCGATGCGCCTCGTAAATGGACCCCAAATCTTGAGACTTGCGGATGAAAATGCAAGTAAGAACGTTTGCTGGCTAGTGGAGTGGGAACTAATCTAATCAAATGATTTTCCTAATGGGGTCAAACTGCTCTGCAAATAAGGATTCTCCTCTGCAAAGCTGTTCCCATGTTGGCTTTGGTTGCGCCCCCCCACCCCAATGCAGTCACATGCACATGAATAGTCCTTGTCTTCTGCCGCCACAGCATGGGAACATCAGTTGAATCAGGAGTTTAAACCTTTAATTATGACACCAAGAGGTGTAGAAAAAGCAGACTCCCTAGTTCATGAGTTAAAACCTTAAATTATGACACCAAGAGATGTAGAAAAAGTAGACTTTGGAGCTCATGAATGTGGACCATCAAATAGTTTCGTCCTAAATTTTTTTTTTATTTCATACCGATACGTGTTTGGAAGAGTCGATAAGTGTTAAAATATCGTTGTGAAAAAAGTTACCAACCACTTAATTTTCCGGTTACTCGTTGATAACATATTAATACCTTCATGAAATTACTAACTTTTATTTTTTATAATTTTAGGGGTTATGAAGTTTTCCTATAGTTTACTAAGTTTTATTTGTCTTTTTTTTTTAACACCTCAAATTTACCAATTCGTGTATAAAATTTCCGTTGAATTACTTAACAAATTTTTTCGACAAAATTACCAATCACTTTTGAGATGCTAACTTTCATTTGAGTTATTTACCAACTTTATTTTCACTTTTTCTAATTTACCAATTTTTGTTGTCATTTATCAACTCATATTTGTCTCGCTTATAGATGTCTCAAATTTATCAATTCTATATGAATATAGCCATCTTAATTTGTGCAACTTACTAGTACACTTGTGACACATTTACCCCAAACTATTTTTTTATCATAAAAAACCCCAAACTGGTACACCTGTGACAATTTTACCCCAAACATACCACAAAAAACCCTAAACTGGTACACATGTGACAATTTTACCCCGAACTAATTTTTAATATTATTTTTTTTATTTTTTTTGAATTTTTTCTTTTTTCTTTTTTTTTCCTTCACCTTCAACCTCTGGCCGGTCGCCGACGTCGGGCGAGGGCCGCCCTCACCAGATCCGGCAAGGGCGACCCTCGTCGGTATCGGGTGAGGGTTGCCCTCGCCGGCGTCAGGCGGCCCTCGCTCGACACCGGATCCAGCGAGGGCGACCCTCGCTGCGTCGGGCGAGGGCCGTCCTCACTGCCCGGGGCAAGGGCAAGCCCTCGCCCGAGCTCGGGCGAGGGCGGCCCTCGACCGACGCAGGCGAGGGTCGCCCTCGCCAGATCCGGCGTCCGGCGAGGGCAGCCCTCGCCCGATACCGGCGAGGGTCGCCCTCGCCTGAGTCGGGCGAGGACGGCCCTCGCCCGACGCCGGCGAGGGCCGCCCTCGCCGGCTTCCGCCTCTGGCCGGTCGCCGGACCGGCGACCGGCCAGAGTTTGAAGATGAAAAAAAAAAGAAAAGAAAAGAATAAAAAATAAATAAAATTCGAAAAAAAATAAAAAATAATATTAAAATTTTAATTCATGGTTAAATTGTCACATATGTACCAGTTTGAGGTTTTTTGTGGTAAGTTGAGGGTAAAATTGTCACAGGTGTACCGGTTTGGGGTTTTTGGTGGTCAAAAAAATAGTTCAGGGTAAAATTGTCACAGATGTACCAGTTTGGGGTTTTTTATTGTCAAAAAAATAGTTTTGAGTAAATGTGTCACAAGTGTACCAGTTTAGGGTTTTTCGTGGTATTAACTCTTTTTTTTTGTCATCAACTAGTTTTGGTTTGTCAAGTCTCATATGTATTGCTTATTAATGTTTATTTAGTTTTTTTTTTAAGTTTATCAAAATTTTCTATTAAGTTACCGACTTTTATACATCTTACTTACGAACTCGTTAAATTTACTAACTCGTTTTAAAATTATCAATTTTTATTTGCCTTACAGACCAACCGATAGGTTTTGCATGACCACCTCATCATTTGAGTTAGTGACTGCGATTTTATATACATATATTCAACTTCTCTTATCTCTAACAGAAGAGTTTCTTTTTCATTTACAATTTTTCTTTACCGTTTTTACTGATGCCTTGAAATTATCAACTATTGTATGAAATTACCAACCTTCATTTGAGTGAGTTATCACTTTTCTCTAATTAAGTTACTTGGGTTACCAGCTCTCGGTTGAGTTGCTTATTGCCAATTGTAATTATTTTATTTTCTTAATTTATCAACTTCTCTATTGAATTACCACTTTATTTGTCTTACTTGCCAACTTTTTAAATTTTTTTAACTCTTTTTAGAAATTTCCAAACTCAATTCGAGTGATTGCCGACTTCGCCAACTAAGTTACTAATTAATTTAGCATTACCAACTCATATTTGAGTTAGTTACCAATGTTATTTGGTTTTTATAAAATATAAATTTCTTTCATCTCTAACAAGGAAAAGACTTCTCTTATCATTTACCAATTTTGCCAAAGGCCATAAGATTACCAACTTTTATTTACCATTCTTAGGAACACCTTAAACTCACCAACTATAATGTGAAATTACCAACCCATTTTGTGTGAATTGCCACTTTTTCTCCTATTAAGTTAACCATTGGGTTTGTTCACAACTCTTATTTAAGTTACTTATTAACGTTCATTTTGTATTTATAATTTATCAAATTTTATATAGAGTTACAACTCTATTTACATTACTTTCAAACTCTTTTTATACATTAAATTGCCAATTAATTTTGCATTACTAACTCTTATTTGAGTTAGTTACCGGTTTTTTTAAAGTGTGTGTGTGTGTATAAAAGAGAATTCAGGGTAGATATAATTTTTTTCGGAGATTATTAGCAATTGATATATATAAGAGAAGTTTTTTGTCAGGGATATTTTCGTTCATTTGTTTTTGTAAGTAATTCAAACAATCATTTAAAAAAATGTTTTCTAAATATTTTCATTATCGACAACAATTTATATCTCAACAAAAACCTCTTGTATTATTTATCAAATTGTCTTATGTCAGAGATCATTAACCATTAATATTTTAAAATATATCTATTATCGCAAGTTGACACCCTTCCTACACCCTAGGTTCAGGGTAGATAGGTCGATAGACTTGACCTTCTTGCTCTCTAGGTTCAGGGTCGATGCGATTTTTAGGCCTTTGTAAAATCCTCATTAGTGGTGGGATCACTTGGCCTAAATATTTCTACCGTTCAAATTGATTAATAGTTGGAGGAACATACCTAGAAATTGTTGTGTTCGATTGGATTGGTATGGATTGATTGAATGTCCCGGGCCTAGAGATGATATCGTTAATCATATTGACGACCATCGACCTGATCACATTAGAAATGTGTCTTGCCATGTGATTCGTCATCTTATTCTGTTGTTCATTGAACAGCCTCTTCATGATAACCACCAAGGTAAGGTTTGGTGCCAACTCCCTAGTCTGCTCCTCCATAAATTGCTGCGGGATTTCAATGTTGCCTGTTGGCTTGGCTTTGTTGCTGGAGCCGTTGATGTCTCAGACTGAGTAGTTGCCCATAGCATAATCAAGCTCTCGATGATTCCTTGTTCTCGATATTGTACTTCCTCAAATCCACCAAGCATGCCAAAAAGATTTTTCACTCGAATTGGATTCGATGACGAAATATCTTTCACTGAAAGTCATTCTTCAGTTTTTATTATGGGAGACAAGTCATGTGGCGAATGTGGACAAGAACTATCATAGGTAGACAAGAAAATCGATAACCTTTCTTTAAATGAAACTGAACGTATACAAATTGTGCCGAAATTTAATCGACGATAAAGCCTGAGAACGCAACCACTTCAATAAAATCGAACATACACAAACTATGCTAAAATTTAATCAATGACAAAACTTGCGAACGTTAAAATGCAACACTAGCATTCAATCGGCGATGAGGCCCCCAGGATATACGGCAAACATACACACCGGAATTTAATTGACGACATGGATCTAGATTCTACAACTAAGAAATACACCAAAATTTAATCGACAAAGCAAGTCTGAAAACTTTAACTAATGTGCAGGAATTTAAAAATAATTAAAATATAACACGATCATTTGTTTGTGCACATGGAAGTCTCCAAAGTGTACGATGTGGCTCTTTAAAGTCTACAATCGACGGTTATCACCGGAAGTCAGATGTTATAAACGGTTACCGAATTGTTATATCGACGGTTACATTGACTCTACTACCTTGACGGTTTCTTCAACTCCACTATCTTCACGGTTGCTTTATTCTACTACGTTGATGGTTATTTCTATAACCGTTGCATCCAAGACTGTCGACTCCACTTTTTGTTGATTCATCAAGTTTTCAATAATTCTATTCATAAATTACCCAACTTTGCTCTCATTGACTAAGTCTATCATATGTCGATAACAATCAAAAGTTGGTCTTTTTTTTTTTGCAAACACTAACTAGCTAGTTACCTGAAGAAGAAAAAAAAAATCACCTGTCATTTTTTTTTTTTTTACCAATAGCTCATGATATCTACCAGCAATTCTAAAATTTACTGACATGGAAAAGGAATCTTTACATTTTTCACTTCAGTATTGTTGGTCGCAGTATGGTTCATTTGGTAAAAGTGTCTAAATTTGCCCAAATCACTGATGTTAAAGACAGGATCGATCACAACATATAAATATAAGTAGCACCAGAGATTCTTTTAAGGCGGATTTCATAACTTTCTCGAAGTAAAAAAAGGTCATAAATCTACCTGGTCGTGATCAATTGCCTAGGAATATAAACAGTGGCTTCTCACAATTTCCTCGGAACAGCAGGGAGGGTGACTTGTTTTGACAGAATACGCAAGCCATTGTTACACATTTTCATTGTCGTCGAGTTTTAAGAAACACCAGCGAGTACAGAGATGTTTTTTTCTGAGTATTATGTGTCTGGTTAATTGATAGACACATTTGCTTTTGTAGTTCCATATGTTTTCCAGATGAACTACTACAAACGAAGGATGCAAGACGAACAGTACTTTTCAGGACTAGTCTCTCTGTTACAATGCTCTTTCAGCATTCAGATATAACTATTCTGCTAAGGAAAAATACTGGAAACAACGCCGGTTTGGATTTCAACTTGTCTCATTCCTCCAAATAGTTATTTGCTGAGTCGCCATTCGCTTTGTAACTTTACAATTCCAGATGGGAGTGGTAGACAAGCTTCCGTTTTTTTAGCTAACGTGAACACACTGACTAGCAATCATGCACCATTGCAATCCGATGTTGAGATTTTCTACTCTTGATAGCATAAAATGATCAAGGAACCTATTTGCTTTTGTGTTGAGAAACTTGTACAGGCCAGACATAACAGAGAAATTTCTATTGTACTAGGATCCTATAATTGAGAACTAAGAATTTAAATCCGCTCCGAGAATGAAGAAACTAGACCCCACTAAATTCTCTGTTCGAGCAGTGTAACACTGTACTATTACCAATTTTGCAGATGGAAACATGTGTAGAATAAATGCTAATGGGACATCTCGTCGATCATGGGCGTGGTTCTTTCTTCTGTATGATTTGCCTCAACAGGGGAGCTCTGTAGTACGCCGGCATGAAGAATGGAAAGAACATCTGTCTAATGCCTTCAGCTTTGAGTATGGGAAAGATGATGCCAGACGCACCCTGATAATTTCATTACAAGCAACCAAAAACAGATAAGCGAGAAACTTTCTTACTTCCGACATGATTTGTAAAGGAAAATTCCTACTCAAAGTCTAAACAAGGATAAATGGATCACTCACTGAAATCAATCTTGCCCCGGTATAAATGCGGTCTGGGGAAGGAAAAGGCAGCATCAAGCACCAAAAGCCATACACAGCCACAGCAAAGAAGTGGAGAACCAAGCTCAGTGGTCGAGGATTGAGTCCAGAGAGTATTGCAATCGGTCCGAGTGAAAATATGCCTCCAAGGCTCAGGTAGTCGAAACATGCTTGGCGCATTTCCTTTCTTGCAGGATCAGGAGATGCACAGAAGACCTTGTATAGGGCACCTGCTAGTGTATTTATCGTTGATGCCATGGGCTGCAAAAACAAAATGCTTAGAGATTGATACAATCTTTCCATGACGTCATACAAGGTGGTTTAATGTTGCTTGACTGCGAACCCTATGCAGTCTTCAAAGACTATAACAATAGGAACAAAACTATTTCTATCATGTAGCTTTTATCCTAAAAAGCCTGCTGCTCATTGCTCACCTTACGAATTGTATAGAAAGATTCAAGATATCGGCACAGGGTTGATGCATCGTTGAAATCACTTAAAGGTCTGAGTAGATCTCGTAGAACAACAACGTCTGATAAAGCCACAGTCATTCCTCCACCAGTTAAAGGATGTCGCATGTTAAATGCGTCTCCCAATAAAACTGCCCCGGGAGTGGGACAAGGATCGGCCGGCATGCTTCTGTTGGCCATCGGTTTTACATTCCCCGAGTCAATTGCAGTCATGAAGGAATCGTGCAGCTCAGGAGGCACCTGAAGAACGAGATCTCTTTACTTATTCCATAAATGCATATAATATCAAGTGCTCAGAGACCATAGGAAGAAAAATTTGCCAACTCAATTGCTGATTAGGTCCAAATCTAAGTAATTGCCAATGAAATATGCTAGTGATCAGTAAGTACCTGTGGCGCCACGACAGTCTTCAAATGCTGCGCCAATTCACCATTTGTGATCGAAGGCACATTTTGGCCAGGTACATCAACTAAACAGCGAATCTCGTGACTACTTATTGGATAAAACAGGATGGGCGACGGATCCGCCAGAATGACATGCCCGTGATTTTCAAATGGAAGTTGACAGTTCTTTAGGACTAAACCAACAAAACACGAAGGGACATCTACCTGCATGAAGACAACGCCATTTTCAGGGGACAAACAAGCAAGTTGGCATATCCATGACCTTCATTTTCGAGAAAAAGATAAGTCATCCTTAAGAGATCAACCAAATTCTCTGACCTTAGGATTACAAAGTGAGCGTCGGAGATTTGAGTAACAACCGTCACACACAACCGTAAGGCAAGCATATGCAGTCGATGCTTCCCCAGTCCTTGTCTTGTAATTCACCCCTTTGATCATCCCATTTTCCTCAAGCAGGGATGTTACCGTACCTTGTTCTAGTCTCACACTGCAATGGGGACAGAATGATCAGACACTTGCCTGAAACAAGAAAAACCACATATTCCAATGCTAAAACCGTGTGCAAGAAAATAAAAACAGCCACTTGTGATGATCGCACATGACAGATATATTGAACAAGAGGAAGATCGAGTGAATGCACAATGAATGAATCGACGATTGAAAGTAGGTACTTTGATAAAGACGATGCTTTCTCCCTTAATCGCTGGATAAATCTTCCATGGTGGAAGCTTCTCCCGGCAACGTCTGAGCGAAAATTCTTTAAGGGATATGGAATTCTTGTCTTCTTTCCATCCTTGAAAAGAGCATACCCGAAAACTTCTTGTGCATCAATGTCTTTTACACAATCTGGAGTGAAACATTCGTGTCAGATAGAATCTCAAAGTAAAGATGAGAAGTTTCATAATTACTTCTTAAGGGTGCTTTAAATTTCCGGCTTACCCTCTAGACCCAACTCCACTAATTTCAAATAGCCTCCCGGTTGAAGAAGTTCGCCAACAATCCTGTCTGGTTCAGACAGGTCTCTTTCGATCACATGAACCCGACGCCCTTCCTGTAACCAGTAAAAATGCTCATTAAGTGGAATAGAAAATGCAGGAAATGTGCCTGCATATCAAATTGCCATTGCCATTCATATGTATCCGCAACCTTGCCTAACGAGAGAATTTGTGAAAATTGATATCTCACTCTGTTCGTATAAAATATTTTTACTACAAAATGTTCCATTTAGAATAATACCGTGTTCGGGTCATGATATTACCTTGCCAAGAGCATAAGCAAGAGCAGAGCCAACCACCCCGGCACCAACAATAACGACATCGTCACTTTCAGCAACGTCCCGATGTCCGTCTCCATTCCCATGTTTCTGAAACCCAATTGAGCCACCTTTGCTTCGCCTCTTTCTTCTCGACATTCGCAATGAAAAACCACATCCTAGTAACAGAAGAGCTACAATAGTTCCACTTACATACTGTAACTCCATCTCAAAATTAATCAAGATCAAGGAAGATTTGCACTTTGCACTGCAGAGAACGACAGAGTTTGAGTTTGAGTTTGTCTTTCAACTGAAGTTGGCGCCTTTTGTAGGCGCACGTACACCAGAAAATGGCTTGGTTTTGGGATATTCTAGTGATCAAGTTGTTCACTAACCTACCCATAATATTATTCTATAAGGGGACTTATCCAATACCAGCATTTACAGATAGACTAGGCCTTTTCCTTTTTCCCATTTTAAAATCACATACATATTATTATTTTTTAAGTGAAAATCTTGGACTGCTGTCTCACAAACCAGAAATTGGAATGATAAATTCCCCAAATTCATGATTTTTTAGTGCCTTTATAAAAAGTTTACTAACGAAATATGAACGATCATGACCAGCACAGAATCACAACTTTTAACAATGCTTTCTTGCCTGATGTTATATTATTGATAACCATGATTAGCAAAATGATCATACTGAACAACTCATTTTGGTCAAGTCTACAACGTGAAGAGAGGGAGAAGACATATGAATGTAGTTCGTGGTCAAGGAGTTTTGCTGGAGAAGCCCTCCAAGTAAGACTACTGTGGCCGTGAACAAATAAAAACAATTTGTTGACACGTGAGGAGGGGAAATGAATTGAATTTTTATCAAAAGTCAAAGTATGGCAAAACTCAGCTCAAAGTTTCTAAAAAACCAGGGGTGCTAAAACCGTGGGTGTCGACCAGTTGGGCTGGTGCCATTTGAACAAGAATAAGAACATAGCTTTTCAGATCAAATCTCTTAAGTAACAAACAAATTACAGCATAAATTACAGGATTTTCTGGATAAACTATTTGATGTATGATCCCAGAGTTACAGGTCAACACTCTCAATGCCATTGTTTTTGCAAGCTAATCGATTGTCAAACTTTCCAGCGCTGATCTTTGTGCTTATTCTTGTACTGCTGGACTAAGTCTCTCCGTCAGTTCTAAATCCGTCGCGTAGGAAGTTCCTTATGCAAAGATAAAGCAAATTCTCCTTCATCTTTGTTTGATTGCACTTCCCTTCACAAGAAATTCGAAAAAAACTCACGTATGGTGGAACGAGATTCCGTGTGAAAATACATTGGTTTTTTGCTCGTGCAAAGGAACTATTTCTTGGCAATTTGGACCACTTATAACGGTGTTTAGTGCTAGTTAAAAGTAAAGCAACGGTTCTTGTGCAATGTCGAAAGGGTCCTCATGTAGTGGTATCGTTCGGATTGTTACAACCTCTAGCAGACCTTTGGTTCGAAATTGATTATAAAAGAACCTTCGTATAATTCCTCCTTCAGAGATAACAGTACAATCAAGTTGATTCGAGTTGATACGGTTCTCAAACCCGACTCAACTCGAACATTTAAGGATCAAGAATGGACTCGACTCTAAATTGAGAGACTGGCAACTTCAAGTCTTTTTGATAGCACGGCATTTGCAACAATTGAAGTCCTGTAGAAACTTGACGGTGAATATATGCCTCTTCGTACATACTCGAGGGTTTATTAATTGAGACAAAAGTCGTTGATTTGCATGATTCATCATGGAGTTCTACATACACAGTGGTTGCATGTGAAGATAAAGAATTGTACAGTGAATGAAAGCGGGGCCGATTTCACTGCCATCCCCGTGGGAAGATGGCTGAGCTGCAATCTTGGATTTTTTTTTTATAGATAAAAGTACACTAAAAGTCCTAAAACTTATCTTGAAAATGCAATTGTGTCTTAAAACTTTCAAAAAGTGCAATCAAGTCCTAAAACTTGTCACAATAGTGCAATTGAATCCTAAAACTTTCAAAAGTACAATCTACTCCTAAAACTTTTCAAGTTTGTGCAATTAAATTCTTATATTGACTTTGTTCAACTTGACAAACGAAAAATGCTAGTAGGTTTTTAAATTTGATTGCACCGACTTCACAAGTTTAAAGATTTGATTGCACTTTTGAAAACTTTATGACTTAATTGTATTTTTGTAACAAGTTTTAAAACTTCATTGCACCTTTTGAAAATTTTACGACTTAACACTTTCGAGATAAGTTTCAGAATTTTCAGTACATTTATCTATTTCTTTTAACAAGATTTTGCTCCGACACAAGGCCCTCGTAATCGTGACATGCCATCACCATAGTCACTGTGTGTGCGCAACATAAGTAGGTTCGGCTTTCTCTTCTTTCTTGCATGGTTTGCGCACAAACTGAAGAGGCAAAGTGTCTGCAATAATAGGCGGTCTATGCCTATTGTCAATTACAATGATCTTGCGTCTGTCATTAGGAAATCATGTTTGTTTAAAAGGTCTGAATGTGAAGAAAGGATTTACCTAGGAAAGTATTGCATGATTTATTCCATGGTATACGTTGGACAGAACCATTTATGTACGGGCCACATGGGGATTTCATATTGCTTAATATGTGATTGGCTCGAGGTGTGGATAGTAATTTCTCTCTCGTTATCCTTTAATCTTGAGAATCTTAGCATCTCATTCCTTAATATATAGGCCACTTTGTGCAAGTATCGATCATACGTGTCCCAAAACAAGAGGAACTATTCATTAATATCTACATATATATAATATATACATATATATATATGGAAGTTGCCTTTGTACTTTCGAATGTTTTTTTTTTTTTTGAAACCTCATTTCTTTAAGGCAAAAGTAATGAAATTAAGGGATGACTTCAGTTAAGTAGAGACAAAGACGCTCGATGTTTTTTTTTTTTTTTTGGTAACCGAGGATCCGCCACCATTCCCCGGGGACGAGCCCGCACAGGTAATCGGAGCGCCTATACCTCGGGGGAGACTAGCCCAGCAACCCACCGCCAGGGCCCCCCGTTTAAATTACGGAACCAAGCGGGGATTCGAACCAAAAACCTCTGAGGAGGGAAGGAAAGCGCCCACCAACTCGGCCATGCGCAGGTGGGTATGACGCTCGACGTTTATATCACTTATTTTGGAAAAACTGTTCCAAATAAGAAGCGATCGTATCTTTGTCAAATGGAAAAAATAAATTAGTCAGACGCAATTATGCATAAGCATTGCTTCTGGTACTTTCGAAACAAGGATTTACATTGCAAAGCTTTATCGTTGCACTTGTTTTCTTCTCACCCTCAAGTCAGATTCGAAAGGATTATGCAACATTGTAGAGGCCTGTGCAAAGTTTCACTACTTGTTACTTAATCTAATGTCCAGCTGAAAGTACCAACTGGGCTGTTTCGGCTGCTGCATATTCAACGTATGCTTGGAGGAAGAATTTAAAGGCTAGATCCTTCCTTTAACCTTTTTATTAAACTTGGTTGGTAATGGCAAACACGCCTAGTTGTGATGGGGATAATTGGCATCCTCATGGTGCCTTGTTGGAAGTTCATCCTAGAAGAGCTCAGTATGACTCCTCTTTGCATATCGATCCTAAGGCATCTGATGTTATATCGAATTCCGAATGGCATTGGCCTCATGCTAGAATAGATGACTCAGTGACTAATACACAAGCTGCACTCCGCGGTGTTATTGTTGCAGATTCTGCTACTGAGGAGAGAGGACTCATTGTTCTGCCTCTCCGGCATTTTGGGTATGGTTCCTCCACTGCTTGGGACAAAGAGGGACTAGGAGGCTAATGGATGCACGCAACGAATTAGTGATGGGTCGCGGGGCTTGGATGGGGGTTGACGGCCACTACAAAGCGGTGATATCAAAGGAGGTGGTCTGTGCATGTGTCACAGACTGGAGTGATGCGGGGATTCTTGCGTACTCACATACCATTGTGAGTGGAGCTTAGTGGTGTTAGGGTAAAGAATGAGTGATGCAAAAGAAATGATACAACTGATTCGTAGGAGTGGCATCAAGTCGTTTGTGTTAAGAGTTCTAGGATTGATCGATTATAACTCTAGGAGCTTTGAAAGCGGGATTGACCTCCCCTGAACAAACTAGTTGAGAGCTCATACCGCTCTCCTGATTAGGCCATGACAGGCCGAAACCAACTGTCGTGCCAAAGTGTATTGTATGTCTTGCTCGAGAGATTAGATGCCCGAACTAAATTGGGTGTGGTATGATCCGATACGAATGTGTTATTCACCATATTGTTCTTAAGAACAACTATAAAAGAAATGTTGGACTGGTGTTCTCAGCTCACCAGGCGTCGCACGAGCTATTCCGCGGTCTAGGATCTGTCGGACCATGACAGATGAGGGGCAGAGGGAGTGAGGAGAACGGAAAATTAAAAGGAAATTGGAAATGCATTTGTGCTGATGGATCAATTTTGAGATTGTAAATTCATCTCCTGAATTTAATGGATCCCAACTAAACTTCACAGGTTACACAGAGGGCCCAGTCAACCAGTGCAGCACGCACGCTTGGGCCAATCAACCAGCCCGACATGCATCCTACATGCTTGGACCCAATCAACAGCGACGAGAGTCCAATCAACCGACAGCGACTCTCTCGAACTCCTCTCGAACACTCTCGTCCCCGCTTCGCTGTCCCTCTCAAATTCCACAGTCAAAAATGATCTCTTCCTCCTCCTCCACTTCTCGAACACTCCCGGTAGTCTCTCCCACCATCTCCACTTTTCCATAACCTTCCCTTCTTCGCTTTATCTACATTTGTATATATACACACACACTAACTCCTCCCGTTCCCAACAAACACGAAAGAAAGAAACCTCATCACTGCGAAAGAAACACACACGCTTCATCCGTTTCATCTGCAACAATGGCCTCCAAAGCCATAGGCATCGACCTCGGCACCACCTACAGCTGCGTCGGCGTCTGGCAGAACGACCGCATCGAGATCATCGCCAATGACCAGGGCAACCGCACCACCCCCTCCTACGTCGCCTTCACCGACACCGAGCGCCTCATCGGCGATGCTGCAAAGAACCAGGTCGCCATGAACCCCCACAACACCGTCTTCGACGCCAAGCGCCTCATCGGGCGCCGCTTCTCCGACCCCTCCGTGCAGGCAGACATGAAGCACTGGCCCTTCCGCGTCGTCCCCGGCCCCAGCGACAAGCCCATGATCGTCGTCACCTACAAGGGCGAGGACAAGCAGTTCTCCGCCGAGGAGATATCCTCCATGGTGCTCACCAAGATGAAGGAGATCGCCGAGGCTTTCTTGGGTCACCCCATCAAGAACGCCGTCATCACCGTCCCTGCCTACTTCAACGACTCTCAGAGGCAGGCCACCAAGGACGCCGGCGCGATCGCAGGCCTGAACGTGCTGAGGATCATCAACGAGCCAACGGCCGCTGCGATCGCCTACGGACTCGACAAGAAGGCAGAGAGGACCGGCGAGAAGAACGTCCTCATCTTTGATTTGGGTGGGGGGACTTTCGACGTCTCTCTGCTGACAATCGAAGAAGGCATCTTCGAAGTGAAGGCGACGGCCGGCGACACGCACCTGGGCGGCGAGGACTTCGACAACAGGTTGGTTAACCACTTCATGCAGGAGTTCAAGAGGAAGCACAGGAAGGACATCAGCGGGAACGCCAGGGCCCTGCGGCGGCTCCGGACCGCCTGCGAGCGGGCAAAGCGGACGCTGTCCTCAACCACACAGACCACCATCGAGATCGACTCCCTCTACGAGGGGATCGACTTCTATGCGACCATCACAAGGGCCCGGTTTGAGGAGCTCAACATGGACCTGTTCAGGAAGTGCATGGAGCCCGTCGAGAAGTGCCTGAGGGACGCCAAGATCGACAAGAGCCAGGTCCATGACGTTGTCCTCGTTGGCGGGTCGACCAGGATCCCGAAAGTGCAGCAATTGCTTCAGGATTTCTTCAATGGGAAGGAATTGTGCAAGAGCATCAATCCTGACGAAGCCGTCGCGTATGGAGCTGCAGTTCAGGCCGCGATCTTGAGCGGTGAGGGCAATCAGAGAGTCCAGGACTTGCTGCTCCTCGATGTCACCCCGCTGAGCCTTGGGATCGAGACCGCGGGTGGCGTCATGACAGTGCTGATCCCGAGGAACACCACGATTCCAACCAAGAAGGAGCAGGTGTTCTCGACGTACTCAGACAATCAGACTAGCGTGCTGATCCAAGTGTACGAAGGCGAGAGGGCCAGGACTAAGGACAACAACCTCTTGGGCACGTTCGAGCTCAAGGGCATTCCACCGGCATCAAGAGGCGTGCCACAGATCAATGTGTGCTTCGACATCGATGCGAATGGGATCCTCAACGTGTCAGCAGAGGATAAGACGGCGGGAGTGAAGAATCAGATCACAATCACGAACGACAAGGGGCGATTGAGCAAGGAAGACATTGAGAGGATGGTGCAGGAGGCAGAGAAGTACAAAGCACAGGACGAGGAGGTGAAGAAGAAGGTTGATGCCAAGAATGCGCTCGAGAATTACGCGTACAACATGAGGAGCACGGTGAGGGACGACAAGTTTGCCGGGAAGCTTGACCCGGCGGATAAGCAGAAGATTGAGAAGGCAATCGACGAGGCGATCGAGTGGCTCGACCGGAACCAGCTGGCTGAGGTGGATGAGTTGGAGGATAAGTTGAAGGAGCTAGAGGGGCTGTGCAATCCTATCATCGCCAAGATGTACCAGGGCGGACCCGGTGGCAGCGATGTGCCGATGGGTGGTGGTGCGGACATGCCCGGTGGTGGTTACAGCAAGCCCGGATCCAGAGGCAGCAGCGGCGGTGCTGGCCCAAAGATTGAAGAGGTTGACTAAGCATCTGTCTAGAAATTGCTGCCCTGTTTTTTCCAAGGGTTGCCGCTATTGCTCTGTTTTGGGCTTTAGGCACCTTGAAACAAACTACCGAGTGGTTTCATGTAACATATAAGAAATGATGTGAGTGCGGTGTGAGCTACTAGGAGTTTATCTTTCTTCTTTTTAATTTTCTTCTTCTTTGATGTAATTTTTAAGTTTCAACTTGTATGAAATAAAGTCATCTTCATGACTGCCCAGTTCTTTTTTATAGCTTTTATTAGTGTATGTCCACGTAAGGAATTTATTGAATTATATACCAGTGTGAAATTTAAAACTTGTCAATGAATTCCGAGAGGTTACAATGGCCTTCCTAATAAAAATTCTGATGAATTACTTCTTGACAATTAGCCATGAGAATGATATCCACGAATTAGTAGATGAGTTTCTCCTTACTTGGCCAATTCCAAGTTTTTGCTTTCACTAAATCACTTAGTTCGCCACTCTAACCGTAGGAGGCATCAACATCAGTAGAAATGAACTTTAGATCATTTAACAGAAAGTTTAGTTAATTGAAATGGACCATATCAGTTCTTGAAAGTGCTAAAAGGACATGGGAAGTTAACATGTTCTTCTTAACCATCGATTTAATGCTATTCATTAAATTGTTTCCTTCCACACTCTCAATGTCCTGTATTGTCTTTAACTGATCAAGCCTCTCACATGTCATTAAGCATACTACAATATGATTAAAAGTTCCACAAAGCTGACCGTTCCCATAAATCCTGTAGACAGAGCAGGAAGAGGAAAATGAGAAAGGCATATTATGAAATCCATCCAAGGCTGTGAATCGCGAAAATGTTATTATAATTTCGTTTCCTAATCAGGCTACAATTGCCATAACAAATCTCCATTTTTTATTTGACCTGCGTTTAGACATCATTAAAGCAATGTCTTTCTGGCTATAATTGTACTCCTGATCAACTCCACCCCCAACACTCCCCCAATTTCCCATATGAACAGGGTATGCGAATGAGGGGAAAGTGACAAATGGGAATTCATAAAATGCAGAGGAAAGTAAGATTATGCCCAGCATGCCTCTTATTCATCCAATTAGCCTCTTTTAGCTTGGCCATTGGTAGCTCCTCTAATCCAAGTTCAAATTGTGGTAATGGCAACATTACCACCTCAATTGGTGCGATGAGAGAGTACAAGAAGCTCGTGCTTTGGTATGTGATTGTCCCTCTTATCTGCGTACATTGATTCGACTATTGAGTTGAAATAATATTTTTTCCAATTCATTGTTGCTTGAATAAAACGTATGAAACAAGCTGTTCTAGACCAAGATTCTGGTAAATAGAAGAGTCTTGGGTAACAAGATACCTGCTAATCATCACGTTTGGTTCTCCATTTTTTGGGCTAGTAACACGCTGACGTACATTACATATGCAGATTCAACCGGGTTAAGTAATGGATTGTTGCATGCAAGTGGTGATGACTTGAGAGATACGAGAGAATGCACAGAATTTTCTTCTCAAGAAAAGGGAAGCGTACGGGGAAGGGAGGCAAAGGAAGTGGTCGTTCAATGACAGAACACCAAAGTGAAGCATCCTTGTCAACTGCTACTTACATCTCTGTTGTACTTCTTTTTTTTTTTTTTTTTGCTAAAAACATCTCTGTTCTACTTGTATCTATGCTTTTGCGTGCCTTGCTCTCATTCCTACTTTCGCAGCTTTTTCTCCCGAGAGAGTGCTTCCAAGGCTTTCTCTATTCAAGGAACAAACTGTGTAATGTGATCAGAGGTGCTCAAAGAATCAATCAAATAGGTAAAGAAGGCGCATACTAGAACCAACCGAACCGGCAGAGGTAAAAGATAATACAATTGGTTCAAGCGTCCTTAAATGTGCAATTTGTGCGACAAAAATAGTGTCGTACAGGAACATTTGTACTAGCATAGAATTAACATCAAGATTGCATTGTTAAGGTACTAGGGAACAAACACAATCGCCGGGTGGAAAACTTTTTCAATGCACTTGATCCGACCAGCTACAATTTATCTGACTTGAAAGGTTCTCCTCAACCCTCTTTAGATTTCATACAACAGCTTCTCGAACACCTTCATATGCTCGGTTTGCAGGGAGATGGCCACTGACAAGCTCCCATCATTGGTGGGACTTGGCAAGATGAACGATAATCCTTCATATGCAATTCCACCGGGCCCCATAAATATTGGCCTGCCCCAGCCGAAATCAGCATCATGGATAGGGAGCCTAACCCAACTAGTTATGCCAAGATTTGGACACCTAAATGTATGGGCCCCGCGAACAAGGGCCGATAGATCGGGTTGGAGCTCTAGGTAATCCAGGGCAGATCTGAGATAGTCGTTGTCCATGCGACCCAAAGCATCATGGATCCGGCTTGCCGCATACCATGTTGGTTTGGATTGGAGGTCACCGGCAACAGCGAGTGGCGTCGTAGTGAAGATCACATTGCCAAAATAACCGGACGGAACAGGCGGATTCAGTCTGGACCGTCCATCAGTAGCAATATACAATTTGCTTTCTTGATCATCAGCGAGCTCACGTGCCTGGCATGCACATCTCCAAACATGACCTGCCAACATCTCATAAGAGCTATAGTTGACAGTGTTTCCATCTTCCTTTGACTTGCCTTTGAGCTTGTTAAGCTGGTCCCTAGTCATTTTGAAGATGGCGATGGCTGTGCTCTCCGCACCGGATTTAGTAGTTTGCGATGGCAGTGCTTTAAGGGCAGGTGGAGCCTGGTATTCTATGTGCTTAAATTGAGGCTGCGGCGGATCACGAGCACGCAATAGGGTGCGGTCAATGAAGGGTGGGCTTGTGAGGTCAAGACCACGAGCCATGTCTGACCATGTGTTAACAAAGTGAAGGCCAGAAAATCCATCTGCTGTATGATGTTGCATGCCAACACCAAGCGAAACTCCACCACACTTGAAGTACGTCACCTGTGTAAATTTTTAAGATAATTCTGTTATAAGCAAACTCTTATGGAGCGCTTTGCGACTCAAGCAATTCAATCTGCAGCATTCGCTTCTTCCATAATTTCAGTCTCCTGAAGGCGAAATTTCATATAATAAACTAAAGTACGAAGCCACAGACTATTATTATGAATGGTCGGTCTCTTATGCATGTTGTATGTACTTGTAAGCAAGCATCAAGCCTAAGGGATGACTTAAAAAGTATTTTTCAGATTTTCCATAAGTAAACATAAGTCAATGAAGAGATGAAATGCAGATAGCAGGCAAACAAAGACATCGAACATTACACTACCAACACACAAACTTAACACAAGTTCTTAATTGTTATATTTGCATGAGAAAAGATGGCGAAAGGGTCAATATTCAATTCCCGGTTCTTTATTTATTTGCCATACCAATCAAGACGAGAGATAAATGCGACACAGCCAATTACTGCATATCTGCACATGTCATTACCATTTTAGCCACAAAAATGTTAAGATCTCTTTTCAAAAGTATAATATAGTGCATGACTGGCATAAAAATTTAAACAGCTGCATGGTTTGTAACCTCGAGATATTTCTGCATCTGTGAGAAGAAGATTATCTGGAGAGAAAAACTTAGTGGTAAAGACTAATTGAGAGCAAAAAGTTTTCCTAAGTGAAGAACTGCAATGACATTTTATTGTGTTTGCTGAGGGACACATCACGTTCACAAACCATAGCAGTCACCCAATTAACAGGCTCTTGCTGTGAAAATTCTATTTCAGGCAATTAACTGTAGAACGTGAGATGCTGGGAGCAAATGGAGCAAATTAACAGTACTAAGATGCCAGGACAGGAAATACCGTCCTCTCCAGTAACGTATGTAGGGCGTCTTGTTTCACTAGTTAGACCTAAGTAAACCAAAATATGCAAGCACAATGATAAAATTGGTCCTAAAGTTCATTCATGCTAAAGAATCATTTCTAATAGATGCAATGCGGAAGTAGCCATACTAGGACATTTACTCTCGATGAGTTACTAATGCACATGACATGAATCCTACACAGAATGGTGACCAACTAGTTCAAAAGTCATAGCTGTCATTGCAGTGAATAAGCACCACAAAGCTCACATCCCCAGCAAAACAATTCATTCAGTGCATCACATTTTAGCTTGGGTTACCAGGTTACTTTTTATACAGTACAGAAGAATTATACTAACTTAGGTAGATGGTCAATTTTCACCTTTCTGAATTTATTGGAATTGGAACGGTCGCTTCCGAGGCAGGCAGAACAGCCTGCACCCCAACATCTTTTGCCAGTAGTCTAAGATTTCTATGCATTTGTCGTCTTTCAGTCATTTATTTTCTCCTTGGGCTACTTGTTTATGTGGAACAATTTAACGATCCAAATCTGTTGCTAACTTGGCCTCCAATCTATAAATGTAAACCAATAAAGGAGTGTATCCTTTTGCACCCATTTACTTGCAATAGCTGTCTTGTCACATGGCATTGGCTCAAGCAATAAGAACCACCAAAGACTTCTCCCGGGCCATAGGGTAATCACGAGAGAACTCACTTACTTCAGCTAAATGTTTCCTTAAGATCCTGAGGAAACTAGGATGAAACTTATCCTTCAGTTTTTCCCCTCCAATGGAGGTCTACTTTACTGATGATCTCTGGAGATGCTACAGAGATAAAAAGGAACTCTGCGATATAAAATTTTATTTCTCATCCCTTCTCCAGTCTTGCTTTCTTAACGGCAAAAACATGCTTGAATAATACGTTAAGATGGACCAACTACATAATTACAAGACATCTCCACAACCATAATATCAGCATTTATTACGAGTTTTACGCATCGACCAACAAGTGCTATCAATGCAAGTGAGAACCATGCAAAGGCTTTTCTACGTTCCAATTCACCACTCGGTAGTCAGGATCTTCAGTTATAATCTTTTTCCTAAATTGTAAGTTGGATCAATAGCACATAACTCTTACACAAATATTTCAGAAAATTAGATGAGAATATGTTTCACTTCCTACAAATTAAGTTGATTGAATGTCCAAATTAGACCTACCAACAGCTGTGGCTACGGATTATCAGACATCAGAAAAGGGGGAAGACAATCTCCAGAAAACAATAACGCTAAGACAACATTAGGGAAAAGGACAATACCTGCAGTACCAAAAGAGGATAAGAGGAAAGCCCTGCCGAATAGTCTACAACTGGAATGAGCTTCCGAAGCTCCAATGTCGGGGCGAAATCGCCAAAATCATCGACAACGGAGTTCGTTTCAGCCTCCACGAATAGCACACCTTCAGCATTGCAGTCGATCTCAATGCGACCATCCTCATCGCGCCTCAACCGCCCAGCCATGGGATAGAAAGGCACAAGGGCCTTGCTGAGTCCTTCCTTGAGCACTTTGGGATCGAAGAAGTCAGGGGAGCCATTCGGCCTATAGAAGTAGACGCTGGGGGTGTGCATGCTGGGCACCACCAGGTCCACATTGGAATTCCACAGGGCGTGCGTCGGCGTCTCCCCAGCCGGGCGCACCATCGCCGACCCTCTCACATTGACAATCATATTGAACCGGACAATGCTTTCCCTTGTATCGATCCGCTGTCCTGAGAATTCCCAGAGGAGAAAGCTCAGCCAAAAAAATTCTGACTTTACTCCTGCTCAATCGAAGCCGGTACAGCTTATCCTAAAAGTTCTATCTTTTTAACATTTATTAGGGTTAATACCACGAAAAACCCCAAACTGATACACCTATGACAATTTTACCCCGAACTATTTTTTTTATCACAAAAAATCCCAAACTGGTACACTTGTGACAAATTTACCCTGAACTATTTTTTTGACCACCAAAAACCCTACACTGGTATACCTGTAACAATTTTACCCTGAACTAATTTTTTTACCACTAAAAATCCCAAACTGGTACATTTGTGACAAATTTATTTTCCGTTAGTGTCCATTAAATTGGATTAATATCACGAAAAATCACAAATTGGTAAACTTGTGACAAATAGAGGGGTAAAACCCAAAACCGGTACACCTGTCAATTACCACGTGTCATTAAACTTAGCAATTTGACAATAAAATTTAACGGAAATTAACGGAAAGTAAATTTATCACAGGTGTACTATTTTGGGGTTTTTGGTAGTCAAAAAATTAGTTCGGAGATAAAATTGTTACAGTTGTACCAGTGTGGGGTTTTTGGCGGTTAAAAAAATAGTTCAGAGTAAAATTGTCACGGGTGTACCAGTTTGGGGATTTTTATAGTTAAAAAAATAGTTTGGGATAAATTTATCATAAATGTACCAGTTTCGAGTTTTTTGTGGTATCGACTCTAACATTTAATGCAACTAGCTCGCCCATCTCCCTCGATATCTTCTCGTGATTGAGGCCCTTCTTTTTTTTCCTTTTCTTTTTTTTTTTTTGGCAGGTGAAGCTAACCTGAGCAAGTAGCTGGTCCCCCTCAAAAAAATCAGCAACGCATGCATTTGCCGTTGCCGGCGACAATTCACCTAATCCTCGATGCTAATAGCTTAAGTAAAATCGTTACATCATCATCATCATCATCATCATCAGCGCATTAGGCTCTATCTAATCAAGCAGTCCCCCGCCACCCTTTTTTTGCCCTTTTCCAAAGACAACCCAAAACGAAGAAAAGGGTTCTCGATGACCGTTGAGCAGAATCTGCTCGCGCGAGCTCGAAGATCGCATTTTGGGTTGCGACCCCGAGCAACGCAAACGAGGCCGGAAAAAGCGACCGAGGAGGAAGACCCAGAGAGAGAGAGAGAGAGAGCGCGGGGCATTACCTGCGAACGACGCCGGCGAGCTCCGGGGAGGGAGGGAGGGAGGGAGAGGGAAATGCGCGCGGCGGAGATCACCAGGAGGAGCGAAGGAACGGAGAGGAAGACGGAGGAGAGATTGTTGTTGTTGGTGTTGTTGATTCGGTGAGAGTATGTTGCAGAGAGAGAGAGAGAGAGAGAGGAGAAGAGGGAGAGATTGACGATGTTAGGTCGGAGTCAATATATATATATAAGGAAAAACGGAGGGGGGGGAAGAGGATGGAGGGTCGAACTCGGGTCGGGGCACCGCACTGTTACTCACCTACCGCGCCTACTGACGCTGACCGCTGCCCAGCTGCCACGTCATCCCCCCCGGCCCTTGACCTGGCGCGCCCGCCCACTCTTCCCCCCCTTCCTTCCTTCCTTCGTTTTTTTTTTTTTTTCCTTCCGAGCTACTATAAAGGAGACTTACTAATGATTTGTGTTTTCATTACGGTTGAAAATGGAAAATTTTTGTTTGTATTTTACATTAATTGTTCATTTATTTTACCCCTCGTAACTCTCCACCGGTAATAGACTTTTTCTTTTTTTTATTTTTCATTTAATTTAAATGTTGCGACGGACCCATCTCGACTCTTTCTTATCTTAGAACACTTGAAACTTTCATAACATACAAAATGTTCACGCCTAAGTTTGTGTGTAATTTCTTCAGAATCTTTTGAAACTCGGATAACATTTGAAATTCCAAAGACATTTTTACTTTTTATAAAGACAAAAGGACCCATAACATTTACTTCGCTCGAAAAAAAAATTGAATTCTGCCATGATATTCATTTCTTAAAAAATATTCAAAGGTAAGTTTTTTTTTATTAAGTTTAAAATTTGGCTAGTTGAACTCTCTATTTTTTTCTAAGTGTAGATAAGGAGACTCTAAATAAGACCTCCTATTTTTTTTTGGCGTGGATGAGAAAATAAATGAGCGAGCAGCCTAGTTGATGAGCCCGAAGTCTTCAACGATATGACTAGGTTAGTTCGGAAGAAAAAATATTAGCTACTTTCGGCCCATGTTTAGCTCACTTAATATAACCTCGTGTTAGAAACGGTTGACTAAATCGAACCGCCCGAGAAGGCAATAGACTCGTTCACCCGCTGCGAATTATTCCTTCCTATACAAAAACTTTCCAAGGACCGCCAAACATCGTGCGGTTACAACAACTAACATAGGTCGGGGAGCACCCAACGAAAAGCACGCATTCTCCTCTTATCCCAACCGCATTTTCCCTCACGAATCGAAGTAAAAGGAATGTGCATCGAACCAACCGAAAATCCAGTTCACACCAATCATGCCGCCACGATTACCATATGCAAATACAACCCTTTCCAAGTATTCGCGAAACATATCATATATTAATCCATTTGCATGCTTTTTTAAATGGCCGAATGCAATTCCAAGAGAGGGAGCCCAATTGCTATCCCCTCCTCTCTCTCTCAAAACAATTCACGAGATGAATCAACAGGGGGTCAAAGTGGAGACCGGGTCATCGCGTGGGGCTGAGGTTGGGGAGGACGGATCCCCCAAGTATAAGATTTGACTTTTTTGGGCGGGTTGGTAAGATAAGATCGACGACATCAAACGCTTTTGGTCACGATGGATTAGAATGGGACGAAATTCGTAAGGGGGGAGAAAAGGCCCGAGATGGAGGTTGGTGAGACAGCGACCCAATCGAAAACTTGCAAGAACACGAAGCTCCGGCCCCCACCGCCACCCACCGCCACCTCCAGAACTCCCCTCCCGTTCCCGTTCCCCCCCAAAAAAACTTATCCTATTCTTTTGCGTCGTGCCATCCCCAATCCGAAACACCCGTTCGTGAATCGTATCCTTATTTATTATTAGGGCTTGGGTTGTTGGGACCTTGGTTTTTACGCGTACGAAGCGATGCGGACCCGAAATACGCTCGCGGGGGATAATTAGACGTAAGATCGGTGCGTCGCGGTATTCGAAAGTAGATCGATGTTAGATATCTTTACCTCGTAGCGCATGTCCAGTGATGCTAGGGAAATTTCAGCTACTGTCGCGGAGAACGTTCGAGGAGCCTTTCGAAACGCAATTCGTATCGTAATAGATAAGGGAAATTCCAAAAAAAGGACATGAAGAGTCATCATTTTCTCAAATAAGGACCTAAAGTGTCATCATTTTCTCAACTAAGGGCCTGAGTCCGACGACCTTCGCTGGCCAACGACAAGGCCCAACGATGGGAAGAGGGAAAGAGAACAAGAAAAAGAATAGCAAAATGCAAAAGTAAGACAAAAAAGAGGAAAATAAATTCAAAAAAGTAAAGAAGGAAAATGACTTTTAGCCGGCGAGGTCAGATCCTTTTTTTTTTGGAGATTGACGTGGCCGTTTTTCATTTTTGTTTTAAACAAAATTCATTTTAAATTTTTATTTGAGAAAATGATAACGCTTCGTAATCTTATTTGAAACTTGCGATTTTAGAAATTTATCGGAGGACAAGGGGGCAAGTCCCAGGTAGTGGACCCCACGTGGAAGAGCGCAATCATCTGAGGCTGCGTTTGGTCAACCGGATAAAAGCCAGAATAGGATATGTTTTATCATATTCTGTGTTTGGTAGTGGTCCAGGATAGGATAAGGTCGGATATAGACCGGATATAGCCCGGATAAAAAAATCCGAGGGGGGAGGTGGGATAGACCCGGATAGGATTTCTAATGCCTATTTTTCCAAAAACCCTACGCTCCACTCGCCGTCATCTTCATCCCCACACCTTGTGCGCTTTCACCAAAAAAATTTCTCGGCTTTTTTTCCTTCACCGACTCCTTCGGACCAGTGAATAGCAAAAAAAAAAAAAATTTATCCTATTCGACTTTAAATCCGTAGTCCACCAAACAGTGGATAGGATATGAAGAAATCCCAGGATTTCTTATCCTATCCTATTCAGTCCTATTCTGTTTAGAAATCCGGACGACCAAACGCAGCCTGAGGGAATCGCGAAAAACCCACGACCAACCCCTCCCGCCCATCGTGGGGGTCCTTTGTGGGGGGCCCACTTGGGGGGTTTGGTGAGAGTTGGAACTGCCCCAGCACCCCACCCCCCTCATCCAATCCAATCCAATCAGGCTCCTCCCCGTGACGCTATTGCCCCGCCACGTGTCACTATCGTAGCGGGGTTGGTGGCACTCGTGTTGGATCCGTCGCAACGGCGATCGTTTCGCGAAGTCATCATGACGGCATCAAGTCAAAGGCCCCTGGTTTTGTCGTCTTCTTCTTTAATCCTCTTATTATGAATAGCTATAGTCGGTTGAAAGTTTCATGGAAAATCTCAAGATTACGAAATGGCAATTGCTTTGTTTTTTCTTTTGGAATTAAGTACGATGCGCATAATTTGAACTAAACAATTCAACATACTCACCTCCAATCTAGACGACCTGGCTAATCACGATTGATGTTTTCCAAGTCAAACCTTTGCAGCTTGATTTGCTTCATAGAATAAGATTGCGTGCAAATCCAAGTTATACTATGAACCCAGAAGAGGGCGAGGGCGAGGGGGAAAGAGAAGAAATTAAAACGCATAATGAAGTTTATACGAGCATGGTCACCTTAATGAGACCTTAATTAATTCGATCGTATTAGATTGGAAATGCACGATTGTGCATCTGCGTGGGAATGACGATTTGATAATGTCAAGTAAGCCTGGTCAAAGAATGTAGAGCAGAACATTTGATGAGTCGTCCCTGACAGCACCAGCTCCCCACCTGCTGCACACGACTTCAGGTGAACTCGGGATCACACGAAGTTCGGCGCGGGGGAGAATGGACGCGCCGCTGAAGGAGTCAAAAACCAAACGAAACTTCTCGGTCTCGCTCAACCTCCTCGCGTGAAGAACACGCACGCTACGCTACGGGGATGATGTGATGTTCCTCGAACGAGGTACCGAGCTTTGACCGTCCATCTTATCATTGTGGTCGCCGTCCTCAATTCTAGCGGACATCCAACACTTCCAACATCGCGTATCGAGTATTATCGTATGAAATTCTCTTACGTTTTCGCCAGGCTCATTTATGGCAATTAGATCCGTCGAATGGGTAAGTCGAAATTAAAAATGGTTCAACCTAAATTATACAATAAAAATCTAATGACTCATGCCCAACTCAACTCATACGAACTCATAACCGACCAGACCGTTATCGCTAAAACACTTCTATATGTAACTCGATATAAGAAAAATCATTTCGAAACCGAGGTGAAAGCACGGAGTAAGCAAGCGCGACCTCGAGTGTATATGAGAGAGAGTGAAGAGAGAGTCATTGAAGTGGGTTAAGTTAAAATAAGTTGCAAATCATTTAACACCCATATTATTTTAGATTTTACCATTATTAACCAATTGATGACCAATTTAATAAATATACTAATCTATCTAACAATCAGCCCATTACATATGGGTCAAGAAATGGATCTGCAACCCATTTTGATGGGTTTAATGACAATTCAAGCGAGTGAATCCCACTAATAGAGGACTTGCCCATAAAGGTTGCTATGGGCGCTGCTACATAGATAAAGAGCATAATAAATATGTGGGGGGAAGGGGGTGGGAGGGACTTTAGTGAATTCAAGTTGAACTAATAGAGGACTTGCCCGTAAAGGTTGTTATGGGCGATGCTACATAGACAAGAGTATAATAAATGTGTGGGGGGGAAGGGGGCGGGAGGGACTTTAGTGAATTCAAGTTGAATTAATGCGGGAAGATGATCGTCCCACCAAGATGTTGTAGTTGTAGATCTGACCAAGATGTTGTAGTTGTAGATCTGAATTTCAAGAAGCGATGGCAATCACAACATTGCATTACTCCAACACGTGCCGTTGGCCCTACTTTTCCATCCCATCAACCTCCCAACTGCACAACAAGAACCAACTTTTAGGAGCTGGCTCTTCAATTGGACGGCAAGAATTAAATTAAGGTGGGCCGCTCCGACTCTACAGTTTCACAAACATGACAGAGAACGTAATAAAGTGGAGGTGTGCTAATGAAGAAGGAAATCCTCATATAATTAATGACAAACATCACTCATGATCGAGTCTAGCTTAAATTAGAAAATACTCGATTCGTGTGACTGAGAGAGCCGAATCGTGAAATTGTGGTTTTATCGTAATTTGACTGACATAAATTCGTGCACAATTATCAATGAATAGGTAAAAGGATATTATCTTGCAACATTAGTGTACTCATGATAACTGAGTTTGAGCTTCACCCGAGATTAGAGTTAAGGTCTCGATGACTTAAGTCTAGCTCAAGCGAATTGAAAACATAACCGAGTGGAGCTCGAGCTCGACAATCCCAGTTTCGTCGGTCAAGCTTGAGGGCTAAGAGAGGTTTGAAACTGCAATCTCCTGAGATTAAAATAAAGTCTCCAATCGCTTTAAGTCTAGCTCGAGCAAATTGAAACGTAATCGAGTGTAGCTCGAGCTCGAAAACCCCAACTTCGTCGACGTTGAGCTCGAGGGCCAAGCCAGGTTCGAAAATGCAAAAGGCTTCTTGAGGTTCATTCTAGAAAATGACGGACCAAAGGCCCAACAAGACTAGGCCTTACAGTCGGGCCCATTGGGCCTCGTTGTTCAAGCCCAATCTCGACCCGAGATTAGAAAAATTGGAACTTGTGTGAGGGTGTAACCAATGCACACTGGTTAGGCAGAAACGAACAAATCGCCAATTAGCGAAAATCACAATCGTTTTACACTTCTACTAACAGAAAGATCTCTCTCTCTCTCTGCTCGAAAATGCAATCACCCAAGATTAGAGTTAAGGTCCCGATGACTTTAGTCTTGCCCAAACAAATCGAAAACATAACCGAGTGGAGCTCGAGCTCGAGATTCCCAGCTTCGTCGAGGTCAAGCTCGAGGGCTAAGAGAGGTTCGAAAACGCAACCACCCGAGATGAGAGTTAAAATATCGATGACTTTAAGTCCAGCTCGAGCAAATTGGAAACGTAATCGAGTGGAGCTCGAGGGCCAAGGGAGGTTCGAAAACGCAATGGGCTCTTCAGGGTTCCATTCCGCAAAATAAGAAAGGGCCCTACAGTCGAGCCCATTGGGCCTCGACGGTCAAGCCCGATCTCGACCCGGAGAATCGAAAAAATCTGAGCTCGTGTTGAGGCCGTAGCGCCACCGCACACTGGTCAGGCAGTAACGACCAAATCGCCGATCAGGCGAAAACCACAATCATCTCAAAGATCGATCTCTCTCTCTCTCTCTCTCTCTCTGCGCGCTCGAGGAAGAAGCGCAGCGTCCTTAATCTGGCGAGTGAGTTCATCGACCTGAAACTCTTGCTCTCGTTCGCTCTTATCTCGATCCGATTTCGCCTCGCGCCCCTTGATTTTTTGCCGTCGATCGCGTCGCCGTCGCATCGGGCCTCGCGTGCTCGTCCGCTTCCTTCGCCTAGCAATAGCTTCTTAGGATGACTGGCGCGGTTGTGTGTTCTGAGTTTTCCTCGATCGTCGTATGGCGATGCGTAGTGGTTGAAACGATCGCTCGGTCGGTCTTATTAGCTGGATTAGCTTTGCTTCGGCGTGCTTGCAGTGGCTGTACGAACGTGTTGAGCGTATATAGGTCGAAGGCGCGGATTGGATTGGTTCGTGCTGAAGTGCGATGTTGGGTTCATTTGTTAAGCACGCAGCTTTCGATGTGACGTATGTGTGTACGGATAATGAACTTGGAGCTGTGCCGGCTTGCTGAGCGAAATTATTCCTTGGCGCTCAGCAGTCAGTTCAGCTCTTGATTGGAGTCGAGTCGATGAAGTATTTAGTGCTTTTGAGGTTCTTGCTCAATCCTGAAAATTGACTCCGTAAGCTGTTTTAATTACAAATTTTTCATTTCTACTTGCCATCCGATTTAGAAAGGAAAAGCAGTTCCTATGCGGGCTGCTTGCGTTCCTCCATTCCTGTGCCTATATGTAATAGTTTCTGGGCCGTGGAAATATATTGGCTTTTACCTTATTAACAAGAGAAAGTCGGGTTACGAGTTCTTCCTTTTGCATTTTAATTGGCTGCAGATGTTTTATCTGTTTTGCAGCTAGATATGGGCATATATCTCAGCTCTCCAAAAACTGACAAGTTCTCAGAAGATGGTGGGAACGATAGGCTTTCTTATGGGCTGTCCTCCATGCAAGGGTGGCGTGCAACCATGGAAGATGCAGTTAATATTCTTTCTATGTTGGCTAATGTTGTTTCCATATAATTATGCTCTTAATTAAGCTGCATGTTGCTAGCTGAGGTCCGATATTTTGCTTTGCCTTTTATACGATCTATTCCATGAAAACTAGCGTTCCTGGTTTTAAATAAGTTTGGCGAATCTCGGTAGTTGGTTCTTTGTAGCTCAAAATTTTCTAAAGCTAATTCAAATGCTGCATCCTAGGCATGCCTTTGTTTTGTTTAATAAAACCGCTTGTGAGTGCCCTTCATCTGCTTTTGAAATTTGCTGGGAGAATTAGCAATTATAAGGTGAGGCGACTAAAATTTGTCAATGCCACTTGTGAAGTAGTTTCTCCAAAGATTGGCTTATTTTGTGTTTAGGTTGCTGTGGTTTGTAGCTGTAGGCTTAATTTTCAGCTTTTGAAGTAACTTTTTGCTTGCACCTTTTCTGCCAGAAGCTATGGTTGGGCCTTTTTAGTGCCCCCAACTCCCAAGCTGGAGCTTACTTTAAGTTTATTCATGAACTCATTATGTTATGCACTCTCAAGCTTGCTCAATCTTGGCACTCAACAGTGCATTGATATGTAGTCTTCTCAGCATGCAGCTTATCCAGATCTTGATGATTCCACGTCTTTCTTTGGAGTCTACGATGGTCATGGAGGTTAGAACTAGTTCACTTGGTTCTTATTTTTTTATGCTTGGGAGACCAATTCAACCTATGCCTAGTTATCTGGCCAAAAAGAATGCCTAGCTACATTTCATATTCTTCTTCCTGCACTTGCACTATCATTTTAGATCAAAACCGTTTTCTATCATTGTTTTTTCAATAAATCTTGTTGACATTCACCCTTGTTCTCCTATCCTCTAACCAATAGATGACCATATCGAATAAGGGAACTTACTCAAAGTGCAGGCAGGTTATGATATCTTTATATGTACACAAGACAATGTGTTGAAAGTAGATTGGTTTAGAATGGCCATGCATATTCTACTTCCCTTGTTGGGAATTGATCTATTTGTTCGCGTTGTTTAACCGTTTTGTATGTCTTTCCTTTTTCAATGTGATCGGTGCTTCTTGCGTGGAATAGGAAGCCATTCTATCAATTAACAGTCAGGACTACCACATTGAGGTCTTTACACCTCACGTGTAGTACAAAAGCATAGTTTGCAGATTGGTCCCGATAACCCCCATCCCCATAACCACCAACCACCCACAAACTACTACATTCACATTAAAGCGTTGTGCTCCTTTTGAAGTGTGATTTCGTTCAACTCTATCATAACTCCACATTCAAATAGACTTTTTCTGAAAAGCATTTGATGAAGCTTGCATTCCAATTTTTCCGGTGTTATTGACCATATTATATACTCATGGAAGCAATTTGCTTACAGGCAAAGCAGTTGCTAAGTTTTGTGCGAAGTATCTCCATCAGCAGGTACTCAAGCATGAAGCTTATGCTGCTGGAGATTTGAGCACTCCTGCACGGAGAGCTTTTCTCAGGTTTGTACACTGGGTTTAATTGCACCATAACGAAATTGTCACAATCAAGGTCTCTTTTGGAGTCTTTAGGACCGCTTGATCATTAAGAACAGTGCTATTTTGTATCATTTCCTAAATTGTTACTAGTTAAGGTTCTGTTTCTCTCAAAGTTTATGGCAACTTCTTTATGACTGGAAGCAACAGTTCATGCCATCTTCTGGTTTACTTATTTCATGCTTCTGACCAAATGATCTTTGTTGGTACAGAATGGATGAGATGATGCGTGGGCAAAGAGGTTGGAGGGAATTAGCAATATTAGGAGACAAGATAGACAAGTTTTCTGGAATGATAGAAGGATTTATTTGGTCTCCCAGGAGTACTGACACCAATGAGCAGACTGGTGATTGGCGCTCCGAAGAGGTATGTCACACATCAAGTTTGCTGTCTCCCCACACGCCCATTTAAAAAACAGTAGCAAAAAGTAAAAATGGTTCTATATCATATATCTGACTTCCAAAATTACATATTTTGTACTACTTATAAGTTGAAAGGGCATTTTTTGCTATCGAGTCACTATCATCTTAAAGAAGTACTTTAAAGTAGGGGTGTTCAAAAAGCCTGCTGGCCTGAAAACCCGGTCGGCCTAAACAGGACCAGCCCGATTTTTCGGTCCCAGACAAACTCAGTCCGGAATTTCAGGTCACTCTCAGGCCGGTTCGACCTTTGGGCCCCTGAGGACATAGGCCTGGAGAAAACTGACCCGGTACAAAATTACATGTGAATAATACCAGAACTTAACACTTCCTCCCAAATCTTCTCATTCTCGTGCACTCGTCTTCCCTCTCATCTCTATGACTCTGTCCCTCTCGAATCCCTCTGATCTCTCAAATCCCTCTCGCCTTGCTCAATCGACCTCTCAGCCGTCTCCTTGCCTCCTACTAGAGCACCACTAACCCTCATGCAAGGAGCGAATTAGTGAATCTAGAATGTGCAAAAAGCACAGCACTTCACCCCCCATCTTCTGATCAACAAGTATAGGATTTGGTGTTTTATGAAGCCACGATCTGCATATCTTGGCTTTAGTTTTGTTCTTTAGTACCGTTGGTGCATCAAAAGTTGAATGTGGTTAATCTGTTGGTGAATCGAATGTTAATATTCATTATTTTGTTTGAATAAGGTGTTTAGATCTGGCCCCAAAAATGATCAGGTCTTGATCTTTTTATTTAGGTTTTGCCTTGATTATTTTGAGTGAATTAACCATGCCTGCAGATCTTTCATATAAAAGTTTGGGCTAGGCCCAGACTGGACTGATCGAACGGTGATTATTCAGGCTGGGGCCATTTTCCCTTCCATTGGGCCGGGCCTACTATTTAGGCCGGACAAAATTTTCACCTGCACCTGAGCCTGGCCAGCCTTTTTTAATGAACACTCCTACAGGCTTCTTGCTTCCTTAACGTATTTACCACAAATCTCCGGAACCAGTTTTTTAATAAGCTAAACTTGATTGCGTCTTAACTGCATCACTTGGTCCATTGTCTTCAATTATTGCATCTGACACAATGATTTTACCTATTCCACCAAGCTAGACAGAGACCTAAGTGTGGGACCAGCGTGCATCTTTCCTTCTGTGACATGATCCATTCTTTGTATTGGGATCATAAGTCATAACTATCTCATCGGTGAACTTGCCATTTAATGTCGACTATGTTGACATGAAGCGCCTTTGAGTTCTTGGGAATGCTGAACTTCATTATTGCTGTTGTACTGTTGTTCATTGACAAGAAACTATCAAATTCTGTAAAGAGAAAGGAGAAATTCTACTCTTTTGAGTAAATATTAGACAAAAATTATTTGGATAATGAGCTTTTTCAAAAGCTACTGACGGGTTATTATAAGCTAGTGTAGTCTTTCATTTTCCTGTTTGTTTTATTCATTTCTGTCTCCAAATTTTTTGGGGCAGATAATTGACGTGTTCAATTTCCATGTCAAAACTAGGGGCCTCACTCTGATTTTCCTGGACCCACATGTGGAAGCACTGCTTGTGTCGCGATCATCCGGGACAAACAATTAATTGTAGTAAATGCTGGCGATTCTCGTTGCGTGCTATCTCGGAAGGGTCTGGTAATTCTTTTCGCATAAGTTAAATCATCAGAGTTCTGCTTTTGATTGGATAAAAGTTGAGCATGTTCAGGGAATGTCTCTAAGATATTAAATGGCAAATGTATTTCCCTAAATTATAACTCACCTTGAGTAGATCGGAAAAAGGTGTTAACTTGGTTTTAAGTATGAAGTCATGTTGTCCAAATAGTGCATATGTATTTGCGGTTTTCATTTGTACATTCAATTGGCACTTGTTCATCTGTGGAAGGAAAAGGATGTAATGGCGAGTGAAGTAAGGATGCTTGCTGTTAATCCTTTAAATGCCTGGTGGCAAGTGAGGAGAGGGGATAGGGGCAAGACATGGGTTCGAACCCTGGGAAAACCCAGACCGGTGGATTTAAACATTAATAATTGCCGAAAAAAGAGATGCTTGCTATCAAGGATTGAGACGAATGAAGATGTGATCAATTTTCCCATGCCAAGTTCTTGCACTCAATTAATTACCCACTATAATAAGAGTAACTAATTCCAACATTATATCTTTGCTTTAGATACAAATCTTGATTTCTGGGGAAGCTCAAAAATGCTGTAATAGATTTTTATGCGGTAATTTGACACCAGGAGAACTCATACATCAACCATGAATCTACCAAACATGCCTGGGTTTTGTGCGGGAGTATATGGACAGTGTTATCATTAGTATAGAGTATTCTCTTAAAATAATGATGCTCTTGTTACCTTCATTAGGGAAAAAAAACAGTAACTAAGGCAAGTGTTTCTAGCTCTATGCAGGCATACAATTTGTCTAAAGATCATAAGCCAGATCTTGAGATTGAGAGAGAGAGAATTCTTCAAGCTGGGGGTTTCATTCAAGTTGGACGGGTCAATGGAAGTTTGAATCTAACAAGAGCTATTGGTAAAAGTTTTATTCTCGATGACCAATTGATAGAGTGGATAGGCACTCTCTCTCTCTCAGTGCGCGCGCCTATGCACATGCGTTTGTGGATGTTTATTGGGTACACACCGTCTAATGTGAATTGGGGATGTAATGTCTGTTGGCTGCAGGAGATGTGGAATTCAAGCAGAACAAATCACTCCCAGCTGAAAAACAGATTGTAACTGCAAATCCCGACATAACTACTGTATGTGATAGCTAGTCGAGATATAATCTTGCAGTCTTGTGAGTTTATCTACATTCCTTTAATCAAGATAGTTGAACTCCTGTTGATTTAATGCAGGAATTCTAGATGAATTTGTTCATTTATTAACATTATTATTTACACTTACAATTGCTTCTATAATGCATTTAATCCTTTTTTTTCTCTTTTTTCTCCAATCTTGTAGATTGAACTCTGTGAAGATGATGAGTTCCTTGTACTAGCATGCGACGGAATATGGTACTTCATTACGTCTTTTTGCTGATATCATTTTCTCTGCCAACAAATGATCTTACAACCAACTATTTTTGTGTCCATAAGCTTGAGGAAGTGAACTTGAAACGGAAATGCCACACATTACATGAGCACTTTGCATTAATAATTAGTGGGGACTTGAAATACCCCATGAATATGTAACTTACGTGGGGCCCTGTAGTTCCATAGCTTACAAGGGTGTACTTGTTTCGACTACCAAGGCTACAGCATAGTGGATTTGAGGATTGATTAGGTTGCTTTCATTTTGTTGACTCTATAAATGGATTTACTTTCTTTGTCGAGCATATGACTTCGAAGAGAATTTTTCTCTTAGCAGGTGATGTATTGTTGATTAATGATTCCCATTTAAAAGCCTATGCTATGACCTTGCACTCAAGTAACCTCCTTTTTACCGAAAAAGTGTTCACATCTTCTCATGCAATTTTCATCCCTTATGGCTCGTGGTTTTTTGCAACCAAAGTTCCCTGTCAGCTAAATTTTAAAGTGAAGGGGCCATACTAAAGTATCCTTTCGAAGATCTGTCCCCTCCATCTAGAGCTCTTATTTTCCGTAGTTTAATTATTTAATCAGCTAGTCATATGACTCGGTGGAATACTTTAGTTTATGGCATCTGTAGTTTGCTTATTCTTGGGATCCTGTATGACGAAAACTTCTTTTTCACCAGGGATTGCATGTCAAGCCAGCAGCTGGTGGACTGTGTTAGGGAACAGTTGCACATGGTACATTCTTAACACATAAGATATAACACTTCCAAACTAATGCAGGCAAAGATCGAGAAGAAAACTTAGGTATTTGCTATACTGAAAATCTCTGCAGGAAAGCAAACTTTCAGCCATCTGTGAGAGAGTCTTTGAGAGATGTTTGGCACCCTCTGCTGGTGGTGAAGGATGTGACAACATGACCATGATTCTGGTTCAGTTTAAGAAATCCTCTACATCCAGCAGTTCTGTGGCAGCGCAATCTGCTGCGTCCAATCAACTCTCCGAGCCCGTCATATGTTTGGAAGAGTCAGAAGTAGAAGTGTGAGCCCTTGAATCCATGGAAGGGCCAACTATCCAGAAGGTCTAGGAGAACATGGTTTTTAGATCCGACACCTTTGGGTAGCAATCTGTGGCACTTCTGTAAATCAGTTTCTTCTTTTCTTGAGTAGGAGTTGAGCATGTGTGAGAAGCCCTGCTGCGGATGCATCTCCTCCGGGCATCCCTATAAGAGTGGCTAATTAGTCTGGAAATTCATTTGAGGGGGGTTTAAGTTTGTGAATACGCTGCTCAATCTCAAAGAATCTACAAACAGATAATATAATCATCGACAAATTCACTGGAGCACGATGCTCGGGGGATGAGGCTCGCCTTGAAGAAACACTGTGGATGTTAATGGTTTTCTATATTTTCATCAGCGTTGTACTTCTTTTGTGTCTTGTGAGTTGTGCATCTGCGAATTTATTTTGTCTTCGTTAGAGGAGCCTGATGAAACCAAAACTGCATCTATCGCATTGTGTTCTTGGGTTTGGTTGCCACAGGAAAAAGGGCAACTTATCGTTGCAAGGAGCATCTTCTGTGGATGCCGGATGGTGATAGCTTTGATCTCTCACTGTGGGGATGAGATGAAGCGTTTTTAGTTAGTTCAAATATCTATGGGAAAATTCTACATGAAGGCCAAAGTGAAGTGATTTTCTCAAATAAGGGCACAAAGCGGATTTTGTTTCTCATAAGGGCATTAAGTGGCCAAGTTAGTCTCAATAAAAGTTTGAGCGGCAATTACTTGATTCTTCCGGCCGATATTCTCAGTTCCTTGTTTGAGACTGACTTGTTCACTTTATGACCTAATCTGAAAATGACTTGTCAATTTCAGGTATTTATTTGAAGCAATGTTCACTTTGAACCCTCTTTAGATAAAATGATATTACTTCTAGATCTTATTTGGAATTTTTCCTAGATTAATCGAGTTTATTAATCGAGTTTAGGTGTTGGAGACGGGGTTGTTTGCCCGATAATGGGACGGACACTTTATGTAAGAGTTCACTTTAGGCGGATCGGTTGGCCACTCTTCGATATATTCCCCATGGCATATCACTCTAAAGGAATCAAAACAAAGCCCGGGCAAAAGGGCGAATTAGAAAACGGTCAGATCCCAAGATTGATATATTTCCTTATATTCGAATATTATGCATTCTGTTAAAAGGTAATTTAGGCATCTCCACCGAGAATATTCACATCCAGATATACATAATCGCTCCCACAAGCTGGCCAGTGGATCTCCGCCGGTAAACGACACTCGTATATTTGTTTATGTGATCTACGTGAGCGTGTCCTTTTCAATGGGGAAATGTTCTTATCCCTATGGAGCAAAAGTTTAATGACATTACTTCAGACCCACATGGATAAAAATAAATGTTGCTCCTATTTCTAATTAGATGGTGAAACTAGAAGCGATATCATTACTCGATTACGAAATCCCATTTACGACAAACGATCGAGAACCTTTGAATTGTCCAATTTCAACCCTCAAGTTTGTCTTTTCCTCCCTCTCTATTTTTTTTGTTTTTATTTCTAGCTGGCCAAGATTCGAAGAAGAAGAAGAGGGGGTCTCATTTCATTTCAATGCCGTATTCACTTATTGTTTTTAGGTTAGGTGGAGGAATAATTCCGCCTAATAATAGAATTGAAAAGTCAAGACGTGCTTTGAGGTGAAAAAGGGTGAAAAAGGGAGTTCACATGTGCAATCGAGCGAATTTTTTTATTGGCGAAGACAATTGAGAAATCGCCGACACTCGCCATTCATCATCTTATTAGGGGTATTATTTAAAGGCGATTATTTTGAATTAATGAAATGAGATCGATCCATTAAAAAACACGGGCTTTAACTTTACCACGCTCGACGCGTACCATGACCACTGGCTGTCTAACAGCACTGAAATTAAATTTAGACCGCTAGATCTAATCTATGTGAACATTTTTATATAGTTTAGGGACTAAATTGAACATGTACCAAAATTTCAGGAATCATATTGAACAAATTAAAAATTCAGAAATGACAATGCATATTGATATAAAGTCTATAGATCACATCGAACCGGTTGAAAATTCAAGGACGATATTATATATTTGATCAAAGTTTATGGACCATTCGTGTCATTATCCCATATATTTTTAGTGAACAATCGCCCAATCCGATCGGTGGGCTTAGAGTCTTCAATAGCCATCCTCCATGCGCTTCTTATTGCCTTAAAGTCATACGATACTCACGATTCTTTTCGAACGAGGACACGGTGGACGAACTCGAATGACACTTTACTGTCCAAGGTGGGGCTGGACCTATGGTGCCTATTGATCACTTTTTCATTGGTTCGTGAGTGACAAGTGCGTTTGGAGTTAATTTTGTAACGGAATTTAATGCAAAATTATTATTTGGACCGGCAGCGGATTTAATAAAAATTTGTAAATAACATGTGGTGAAGGAAAATAAAAAAAGGGAAAAAAAGAAGATAAATTGCCGTTCAAAAACACTGGGGTGACCCTTTGGTTCACACAAACAAAACCCGCGATTGGCGAAGGCACAAACGAAAAACGCATATGCTCTCCCTCGCCTCCCCCTCACGCCCCCCGCGATTTCACCCGTTCCCTCCTCCCTCTCCTCCTCCTCCTCGCCAACGATGGGAGCTTCTGAGCCTCCGCCGGTGCCGTTCAATCTCCTCCGCGCTCTAGCGGCTCCCGCGCCTTCGAGCAGCGGATTCGCATTCTCGGCGGCGGGGAAGCGCAAAAAGACCGGGGGCAGAGATAGGGAAGAAGTGACAAAGGAAAGGAGAGCAACAGCAGAAGCAGCAGGCGAAGAACAAACCGAATCGGAAGGTGGCTGAGTTGACGTGGATTTGGATAGCCGAGAGGCTCGATAAGTTTCGCGCTTCCCAGCAGCAAGGTGTGCTTTCTCCTTTTTCCGGTCGCCCTTGGTCAGCTTAAGAAGTCTGTCATTTATGAAACAAGGACACTACAAGTGCCAAAACTTGTGTACGGCGCTCACTTTGGTGCTAAAAGCTTCCACCGAATCACTTAATTGCCAAACTTTTTGAAAAACAATCACTTAAATACCATTTTGGCCGAAAATTCGACGTGACATTTTTTATTAATTTCTGAAGCTGATGTGGCTCGCCGGAGGATGAGTCAGCATGTACAGTCAGCATTTTTTATTATAAATAATTTTTTTTCCTTTTCTTTTTTTCCTTATCTCCCCTCGCCGGTGGCCGGTCCGGCCACCGGCGAAGCCCGAGAAGGGCTGGGCGAGGGTCGCCTCGCCTAGATCTGGGCGAGGCCACCCTCGCCGGCAACAGGCGAGGCCGCCCCTCGCCGGCCATGGGCGAGGCCGGCCCTCATCAGATCTGGGCAAGGGGTGGCCTCGCCTGTCGCCGGTGAGGGATGGCCTCGCCAGATCTAGGCGAGGCGACCCTCGCCGGCCATGGGCGAGGCCGACCTCGCCCAGATCTGACGAGGGCCGGCCTCGCCCATGGTCGGCGAGGGCTGACCTTGCCCATGGCCGGAGAGGGGCGGCCTCACCTATCGCCGACGAGGGATGGCCTCGCCAGATCTGGGCGAGGAGATCCTCGTCGGCGATAGGTGAGGCCAGCCCTCGCCGGCCATGGGCGAGGTCGGCCTCGCCTAGATCTGACGAGGGTCGGCCTCACCCATGACCAGCGAAGGGCGGCCTCGCCCCAACCCTTCTCGGGCTTCGCCGGTGGCTGGACCGGCCATCGGCAACCGGCCGGCGAGGGGAGAAAAGGAAAAAAAGAAAAGAAGGGAAAAAAGAAAGAAAATGAAAAAAATGTATTTAAAATAAAAAAAAAATGCTGACTCACCCTCCGGCGAGGCACATCGGCTTCAGAAATTAATAAAAAATGTCACGTCGGATTTCCGGCCAAAATGTCACTTAAGTGATCGTTTTTCAAAAAGTTTGTCATTTAAGTGATCCGGCGGAAACTTTTGGTACCAAAGTGAGCGCCATACACAAGTTTTAGCACTTGTAGTGTCCTAGTCCCGTCATTTTTCGTCGGCACCGCGTTTGCTCATATAATTCGCATCGTGTTTTGTTCTCTCTTTTTTCCGGCGAGTGGCTGCGTGCAAGAGCTTGTTCGGAGTCGATGATTTCTTTCGTTTGTGATTGGTATTTTGAGCTTGGTTGCTGCTGAATGCCGTGTGAGCATGACGAGCTTTGTGGGTTTTCAATTTGATTTTTATATAGTCTAGTGAACATTCGCCATTCCTAAGCTATGTAAACATTTTTATATAGGAAGGGAAGGGAAAGAAAGAAAAAAAAGGAAAAAAAAAAGAAATATTCAAAATATTATTAATAAAAAGAAATTTTGTATAGTTATCAAATATATTTATCTTCTTTTTCAATTCTAACAATAGAAATTTTGGATAATTACCAAACGCTTTTAAATGCTTAGAAATTGTTCCCGGACACGAAATCCAAAATAATCATTTCAAAATAAAATCAATTTTCGAGTACAAAATTATTGTCATGTGCATCTTAATTCACAGTTCATCTCCCACAAGGGAGGTCCTCTATTTCCATGCCCTACCGGCTTCGTTTTGACGGCGCAGCCGGAAAAAAGGAAAAAAGAAAAAAAAGAAATCCAGAAAGTGAAACACCCGTGACGATAAACTTGGGAGTTGCGACCGCGTATGGAGACAAATAGTTCTTTTTTGGGGGGTCAAAATATGAAGACGAATATATATATATTTTTTTTTGGTCCAAAAAGGACGCACAGTTCAAGAGAGAACTTTCGTAGAATCAACGAATTATGGAAGTGGGGGGGGCAAACACGGTTCTTTTTTTAATGCTATAATAAGCCGCATGGACGGTTTGGACTGTAGAGTTGAAAATGACACAATCACTAGATTCATTCACGGGTCCGATGAAAAGCTTTAGAATATGGTGCCGTACTCATCTACATGACGACAATATCAAATGAAAAATCACACAATAAGATTCAATTTGTTTCGTAAAAAATGAATGGCTTAGAAAATATGACCCTAAAAACGATCGCTTGTGTTGTTTGAAATTATTATTGTCAATGGAAAAAAGTTTTCATTATTGATAATAATTTATGTCTAAATATTTTCGTGAATGATGAAAATATTTTTCGTTCGTTCGTTTTCGTAAAAGATAAAAAACAATCATATTTATGAAAATATTTTCTTATTTTCTGCGAAATAAACAGAGCTTTTGAGAAAAATGCACAAATATCTCAAAATCAGGGCATCCAGTGCGTAAAAACCTAGAAAGGAAGAATTAGAGCCTTGGGTACAGATCATAAAGCTCAAAGTGAGAAGGTGACCTACAAGGCTCGCCATACTTGTGATATCTCGTGTCCATATTTGGCCTAATTCCAGAAAAATGGCACCAACTTTATCTTAAATGATAATTCTAGTTCGAACGTTTTTTTATCTCATAAAAACTCACAAACTTTCACTTAAATCCCAAATCTGGCTCAAACAATTTTACATCACATGGGCCAGATTTGTGACTCAAGTAAAAATTGGTGCTTTCTAATGAGACAAAAAAAAGTTTGAGTTGAAATTGTCATTCAAAGTAAAGTTTGTACTTTTTTTTTTTTGGAATTAGCCCTCCGTATTTCGATTATTTATATTGTTATTTATGAAATAATTTCGAACAATTGTGAAGTGCGTTTTATTAAATTAAAAGTAAGAAAAAAACATGTCAATTCGAGTGAGTTGTGCCGCCTCTTCTCTTTAGAAGCGGTCCCCCCTCCACCTAACAAATTCACGTCGTATTGTCGCATTGTACCCGCTAACAAAGCACAACAAATAGTACAAAAATGGGGGACTATGATGCCCCAAAACGACACAAAAGAAAAACCAAAACCAAAAGTCATTTTCTGATACGGAAGTGACTTGGCGCCTAGCAACTACACGAGCCAAAGTCCCCAAACCGTGAAAGGATAAAAAAAAAATCGAAAAGGACAAAAATGACTTTTTGTATCCGGTAACACGGTCCGTTTTCACACGATTGGATTGAAATTCAACGGATCTCTCGCCATTCGAACGGACGTCGACCCGTCGATTTCATGGCGAATGTACCTAAAAGGTGCGGTACATTGACCATATCCTAAGTTTCGAGCTGAAACGTTCAATTTAATGGGAGGGAGAGAGAGAGAGCACGCCAGTTAAAAAAGCCTATCCAATCATCGCCGATAAGGTAGTGGGTAACGACAGACTATTTTCTCCCTTATATTAGTGACAAGCCTCGTTTCATCACACCCCACCTTCCCTTCCCTGTGAAAATTTCACCACATTGGGATCGTTCTTGTTCCGAGGTTCTGGAATTGGTCCTTCCCTCTCCACACCTCGTGCTCGCTTGATAGCTTTCTCATCCGAACTCACTCTCTCTCTCTCTCTCACGGGTACTTACGGAGACTGTGTCCTGTTCTTTCATTTGAAAAATCGATCTGTGCGGACTTGATTTGGCTTCTCTGATCGTGGGCAGTGCTCCGTGTCGGTTCTTCTTTCTAATCAGTCCTGTTGATTTTTGTTTTTCTTTTACTTGATTAAGCGATTATTGTCTGGTTCTATTGTTTGCTTGAGCGGAATGGTTGTCTGAGATGTTCGCCGGAAAGAAATGTTGTAGTAGTTTGCTGTGGATGTGGATTTGAAATATTTTTTTTAATACATCTCTTAGGAAGTGAATATGCTAGCTTGTGTTCCATATTGATACTTAAAGAGTTTTCCTTGAAGTGCAAAATAATATTAAAATTTTCATAACTTTCGTATCGTACGGTGCTCACTCTAATTTATCGATGGAAAAATGATCAGTTAAGTGCGTTCGGCCATAAATTCCGACCATTCGTCCTAAGTGGTTTTTTTGGGAAAATTCTTTATTCAATGTGGCAACGCGAACAACACTTCTCTCTCATTTTCTCTTATAAAATTCTTTCGAAGTGAGCAATTCCAGGGTTCTTTACGCTTATCATCTTCAAGACACGAACGAGCTTGATGTGTATACAATCAAGCGGAATTTCACAGCTCAACATGTTCTCCATTGAAGTTAAACCGAAGCTCCACATCCATCCCAAGCTCATCGAATACTAATCCTCCGCTCTAAATAGCTTCCAACACCGGCGAATGGCTCGATTTCGGTCTCGCACTCTCCGTTTCGGTGGTTCCTCCATTGTCGTGGTCGTAATTTTGAGCCGGTTCTCTAAGAACGCCTTGATTTTTGCCCAATTCCTTAATTTGCGTCAAATAGATATCTAAACGAGGTGGTTTAGAGGTTTAGTTGCCGATTTTATCTTACCGGCAAACCATGTTGAGCATGACATAATAAATGTTGCCACGTTGGATATTTCTTGCAATCGAAATCACCAATGGCACGGCACTGAAACTGTCATTTTTTTAACTGAAATGATCGTTTCAAAAGTTATGATACTTAAGCGAGCGCCCGTGAAAGTTATGACACTTCTAATATCATTTTCCAAGCTGTCAATGCGGTTGGAAATTTGTCTGCATAAAATTTGAGGCTATTGAAATTCATTTTTTCCGGTCAGTCTCCTGAGAACAAGCAGTTTTGTCAAGCAATTGGTTTCTCTCTTGAATTGGAGTGAGGACTTGGGGCACATCGGACCATAATAACTGGCCCTTCTTCTTTGCTCCTGACACCAAGAGGAGATTATATATTTGACGTAGGACTGACATTCAGACATTTCCTCACTTGATGGTAGTTGGTCGGTTGGTTGCGCGCGCATTCTACTGTTCGTTTTTCTGCGCATTTTTCATTCTCGAGCCTCCACTTAGATATATGCTGATGGCTAGGCTCATTTTAAGGCCAAGTAGGGTGGTCTTTCATCTGCTCCACATGTATGGTTTGTTCGCTGATTGTTGTATTTCGGCTGAGTTATATGCTCTTGCTTGTTGCCTAATTTCAGCTCTGAAGCTGATCATCAATGCCAAACGTGATGGAGCGTGTCCAAGACCTCCCCTGGATTCGCGTGGACACTTCTGGTAACTCAGAGGTCACTGAGGTGGACAGGGTCACGCTGATGCGTCGGTTTGATCTTCCTGCCTCTGATTTCCTCTTGCTCGATCCCTCGTCTGATTCCCCCTCTGCCATTCTTGCTCGAGAGAAGGCGATTGTGGTAAAATTGGAGCAGATTGGGTGTATCATCTCAGCAGACGAGGTTCTGCTTTTGAATGCCGGTAATCTCGATGTTGTACAGTGTGCAGAGAAGCTTGGGGCGGGCGAATTCTTGCAGTCTGCATGTGCTGGCTTGAGCTGGAGACGAGGAAGTAGAAACTTCGACAACAATTTTGGGACTACATCCCCAGAATATCTTCCTTTTGAATTTAGGGCACTTGAAGTAGCCCTTCAAGCTGCCAGTACTTTCCTTGCTTCTCAGGTTTGCGAAAGATGCTTATTCAGAGCATAGATCCAAACTTTCACTTTTGAGAGCTTCGGTCGGATTTGTTCTATGTTTTGAGGGAAAATGACACACATAGTCCCAGAATTTTGGCCCAACGTGCAATGTGATCCTAGTCCCTGAACTTTAACCTAATATGTAATGTGATCCCTGAATTAGTCCATGAACTATATAAAAATGTTCAATATAGTCATTCCATTAATTCAAGTTCAGGGACTATATTGAACATGTACCAAAAGTCCAGGGACTACATTACATCTTGGGTTAAAGTTCATGAACCATATTGAATATTAGGCTAAAGTTAATAGAGCACATTGAACAAATTAAAAGTTAATGGACTTTATTGCATATTGGGCCAAGGGACTATTTGTGTAATTATCCCATGTTTTGATAACGCGTGATATTGTGTCTAGACTGAATTGCTTTGATTAAATTGGGACTCGTGTCTCGATATCTTCTAAGCTGATCTAGCTGCATTAAAGGCTGTCATGGAATGCTTCGCTTTGATTATTAGAATAGCACTTACTTTTGTACTGTATCAGAATTTATTGTAACAACTAGATCTGCTTCCACGGATAATTTCGACGTTCATTTAGTCAGTTTTGATTGATTCAAAGTTAGCTGGGCAAAGTAATAACACCATCATATTCATATTATAGGTATCGCAATTCGATGAGGAAACTGAAACTTTGTTTGTCAAGATTGATTCAATGATTATCACGTGGCAATTGGCGAAAGTCCGTTCATTGAAAAGCAAAACTCGCTGCATTAACTAGGAGACTGCAGAAGGTACCGGGAATTATATGTCACTCTTGTAGTGACTTGTCCTGATGAATGATATCATATAGATCTCTCTCTCTCTCTCTGCCTTATTGGGACTATTGGTTTCTAAAATGTTCCTCTTAAATGTCCGAATGTAGGTTAGGGATGAGATCGAGCGGCTGCTGAATGACAAAGGAAAAATGGCAGACATGTACCTCACCGAAAAGAAACGAAGAACAGACCCAAAAAAACGAAAAGAAACGAAGGATGGAGTCAACATCTTATGGTGATCAGTCTTTGTTGGGAAACAGATCAACTGATGGTGCTTTATCTGTCTCCGCACCGGCTTTGATCATTCTGATCGTTGACCGGTTTCGAAACTCTCGCACCAGTCTTCAAAGAAGTAGACTAGTATGTCCTGTGTGGAAGCACATGATCTGATGTTGGGAATTCCTCATCTTCTACTTCATCTAGTGTATTTGAAAACTTATGCAGGACAGTGTCCGGAACAAGCTAATCCAATTCGAGCTGCTGATGACAACCGCGACTTTTGTAGTCGCCATCTTTGGCTTGGTGGCTGGCAATTCTTCGGCATGAACTTTCCGGTACCATTATTCCACAATGCAGGTGCCTTTAAGTGGGTCCTCATAATTACAGGAGCGATTGGAATCACCATATTCCCAGCATTCTATTGTTTCTTCAAGTATAGAAGACTTATGCTGCAATAGATAGATACGCAAGGATTAAATTTTCCTTTAAAGGAAGTGTATGATCGGCATCATTGTTGCAGTTAGTCAATGTGTATTGCATTGAAACTATAATTGGAAGTGAGAATGTGCTTATTTCTTGTGGCGATTCTTTGAATTTGTTACTTAATTTTCTCACTGTAGCAGGCTGAAGAATGTCTCACCCTTCTTAACTCAGCGCGAAATGTCCCTTCCTAAATCAAATCAGGTACCGCAAACCCAATGTTTCATACCCTCGTATGGGCAAAAGGACATCAGAAGTGCCACAACTTGTGTACGGAGATCACTTTGATGCCATAACTTTTTTTCGGAATACTTTAGTGCCAACTTTTTTGAAAAATGATCATTTTAGTGCCAATGCTGACGTGGCTCGCCGGAAATCCGATGTAGCGCTGACATGGCTTGCCGGAGAGGTTCAGTCAGCATTAAAAACCAAAAACGACATCGTTTAGCCCACTAACGTGTACTTTTTTAGAAATTTTTTTTTTAAAATTATATAAAATAAAAAAAAAACGTTGCAGCAGCGGCGAGGGAGCCCTCGCCGTTGCTACCGCCAACCCACCACCGCCGGGAAGGGCCAGCGGTGGTGGGCGGAGTGGTCGGCGAGGGCCGGATCCGGCGAGGCGAGTCCTCGCCATCGCCTAGGTCGCGACGGCGAGGTTGGCCTCGTCGTCGCCTGGGTCGCGACGGCAAGGTCGGCCTCGCCTTTGTTGGGCGAGTGGCGACCTCGCCGTCGCGACCCAGGCGACGGCAAGGTCTCGTCTCGCCTTTGCTGGGCGAGGCCAGACCTTGCCGTCGCCTGGGTCGCGACGTCGCGACGGCGAGGTCGGCCTCGCCGTCGCCTAGGTCGCGACGGCGAGGTCTCGCCTCGCCGGATCCGGCCCTCGCTGGGTCTCAGCGAGGTTCGCCGGGCCCCGGCCAGGGGCCGGCAACTCTCGCCGATCACTCCGCCCACCACCACCGGCCCTTCCCGGCGGTGGTGGGTTGGCGGCAGCAGCGGCGAGGGCTCCCTCGCCGCTGCTGCAACGTTTTTTTTTTAATCAAAAAATTAAAAAAATCGAAAAAAGCCACCTAATTTCCAAAAAGGCCACCTAATTTCCACGTGTACAAGTCAGATCAATTTTTTTAATATAAATGCCAGGTCAGCTTTTTGGCCGGAATTTTGGCCATAGTCACTAAAGTGATCTATTTTCCTCCGACTTGGCACCAAACTGATCCGAAAAAAAGTTATGGCACCAAAGTGATCTCCGTACACAAGTTATGGCACTTCTGGTGTCCTTTTGCCCCCTCAGATGCTTTCAATTAGTACTAATTTGGCAAGATCTTGCAAATGACACAGTAATGTCAATTGGATTTGAGCTACGCCAGTCCATCGATGCAAACCTAACCGATATCATTACTTAGTCGGAGGACCGGGCCTATGAAAGAATTGTTCCTTTTGTAAAATATATTACAAAAAAGGAAAATGATTAAGCAAATATCTTTAATACATTGTGATAATGACAATCTATCATGTACCAAAAAAATATAAATAACAAATAAAAAGAAATTCTGACCAAAAAAATAAATAAATAAAAAGAAATTATTGGGGATTCACTTCTTCAAAAATTTGTGGTTCATAATATGCTTTTACTCTTACGGTGGTCTAAAAACTGTCATGCTAGCACAACTCTTACGAAAATGCATCGGAAAATGTAAATTTATTTTTTAGTTATTTTTATTATTTAACAAGATAAAGCCAGGCACCTAGTAATTAGTTTCGAAATGATGCTTCTAGTTCTAGCCTTCTACTGTTGGCCTTGCGGCTTTACTGATGGTACACACTCCTCGCCACTCAAGCAGCCTTCCCTTCCCAATTGGACAAGAAGACCGCGTCAAGCGACATGCCCCCATCTCTTCCCTTCCCTTTCCGTCTTCCACATCTGCGCCCTTCCGTCAGTTTCGCCTCGCTTACATATCCCGGCTACGATCGACTTCGGCATTCCCTCTCTGAAGCATTTCGTTAGAAACCTTGCCATTACTCCCCATGTTCCCATCTTTCTTGCCTGAGTTTTTCTCCATCCAGATTTACGGCGACCCAATTGTCTTCCCCGTGTGGCAAGCACCAGAAAGCGACTCCCGAGATTCAACCGTGATCGAAATGCTCAGAAGTGTCGGTCTACTTCCCACGGAAGGAAAGGCCATGGAATCTTCGGAGACTTCTGTGTGCGAATGGAGTCCAGATATGTTTGGTAGTGTGGGCGTTGAGGGAAGAGAGGAGGCTGGCTTTTTTGGCTTTCAAATGGGGCGATTAGTGGGGGCTGCATTGACGAGAAAGCTCACAATTTGATGACTTGGGTATTGGGAAGTCACGAAAAGTACAGTATTGCCAGGTGTTTGATACGGGATTCGCATCAATCTTCAGTGGATACGAGGCAGGGTATGCTAGTTATGATTGATCGGTGAGATGGTTTCTTCTGATTACTTTTGAGTTTCAGTCATTCGACGTTAGTACATAAAAATGAACCATGCAGTTTTAATGTTGTGCATTTGTTTCTTTCAATGATGCTGCCGTTACTTAAATTCAGTGGACCATTTTTCTGAATTAAGCTAAGACTTGCTGATTCACGATTGAATAGGGATCTTTGGCTTTTGCTGTTCTATAGGTATGCAGCTGCAAACAATTCAGCAAAAGCAATCTGGACATTTGACGTTATGGAGAAATTCATTACTTCGCCGGATGAGGAAGCGTACTGCGCTCTCCTGACTGTTCTTTGTAAAACAGAAACTTTGAAGAAGCCGAAGAGTTCATGTTTCTTGATGAAAAACATAATCGTCATTCACTTTTTCAAATTACATTATCTTTATATATAGCGAGTATTGGGGCTCACTAATTATGGAGAAGACAAAACTACCCTTTCAACACTCCCCCTCAAGTTGGGGCATAAACATCAAAGAGCCCCAACTTGTTACACAAAGTAATCACTCTACTGCCCTGCAATGACTTAGTGAAAAGATCAGCAAGTTGGTCTTCAATCCGTGTGTATTGAAGTGTTATGTCCTTGTTTTGAATCTTTTATCGCACAAAATGGCAATCTACTTCAATATGCTTCGTGCACTCATGAAAAACTGGATTTGAAGCGATATGCATAGTAGACGGGTTATCACAACACAGAACTGAGGGAGCTGAAGATGACATACTAAGTTCGGATAATAACATTCTCAACCAAATCAACTCACTAGTCACATGAGCCATGGCTCAATATTCCGCCTCAGCACTCGATCGAGACACCACATGTTGTTTCTTACTTTTCCAACTCACAAGATTGCCTCCCAAGGATACACAGTAACCAGAAGTTGATCGCCTATCAAAAGGAGAACCAGCCTAATCAGCATCAGAGTAGCCAATAACATCAAGATGTCCATGATTCTTGAGCAATATCCCTTGACCTGGTGGTCCCTTCAAGTATTTAACTATACATAGCACTACCTCCTAATGTGTAGTACGATGAGTACTCATAAATTGACTAACAACACTAACAGCAAAAGAGATATATGGTCGGGTAACAGTTAAATAATTAAGCTTACCCACCAGTCTCCGATACTTACTTGGATCATGAAGTAATTCACCATGTTATGCATCAAGCTCCACGTGAGTAGGCCACCTCAATGCCCAAGAAATACCGCAAACAACCCATATCTTTTATGCTTAACTCTGCCCGTAAAAACTGTTTCAATTTTTTTATGCTCACAGAATCACTACCAGTAATGATAATGTCATCCATATACACAACCAGGAGAACACACCCAGCAGGGGAAGTAGAGCTAAAAACAGAATGATCTACAGTACAATGTTGCAAACCAAACCGAATAATTGCATCATTGAAATGACCAAACCAGGCACAAGGAGACTGTTTCAACCCATATAATGCCTTGCGTAGGTGACAAACACTTATAGACTCCCCCTGAGTAATGAACCCCAAGGGTTGCTCCATATATACCTCCTCTGCCAAGTCCCCATGAAGAAAGGCATTATTGACATTAAGTTGGTGGAGAGTCCAACCATAATGGACAACAAAAGAGATGAAAAGACGAACGGAAGATATCTTTGCTACAGGAGAGAATGTATCATCATAATCAACTCCATATGTTTAGGTGTAACCTTTGGCAACTAGACGTGCCTTCAAACGCTCAATAGTGCCATTTGGTTGAAACTTCACTGTGAAAATCCAACGGCACCCCACAACCTATTTCTCAGCAGGTAACGATGTAAGTTGCCATGTCCCATTATCCTGTAGCGCCTGCATTTCATCCTCCATAGCCTGTCGCCATCCTGGATGAGCAAGAGCCTTTGCAACAGTACTTGGCATAGACACAGCAGATAAAGAAGCAACAAACGAGAAATATGTAGAAAAAAGACAATCATAGGATAAAAACCGAGAAAGAGGGTAACGAGTATGTGTATGACAAGACAAACCACTATAGGGAGTAAACCGAGGATTGGGTTGACCAACATAAGAACGTGTAGCTTTGGGCAATGCAATGGGAATGTCAGTAGTAGAATCAAGCTTAGAAGCAACTGGTGGATCAAAAGACGGGACATTGACTGGTGGAGAATCATGTATATCCAATGCAGGTGGCGACTGTACTACCTCATGTTGAATAGACTGGCGCTGTTGATAGGTCTTGTTAGCGAACTGAAAACTAGGCGATGACGCTGATGACTCAGGCATACTCGCCAAGGGAATAGGCAGTAGTGGAGCCATAGTCGAAGACAGAACATCTTAAGAAGGACCAGCTATAGAGGTGTAATATGACTGATCCTCGAAAAAGGTTACATCTGCTGAGACATACGACCGCCGACTAACTGGACTATAACACTTGTACCCTTTTTGAGTTCGAGGATCAAAAAGGCAATTTATGAAATAACATGCTGTGAGAACAGCATGCCCCGAGTACATTTTCGAAAGGTTCATATGAAAAAGGAGGCAACGAGCCACATCCAAGAGATGACGATTTTTTCGTTCAGCCACCCCATTCTGTTAAGGGGTATAGGGACAAGAAGTCTGATGCAAAATCCCATGAGATACAAGGAATGATTGAAAACTAGAGGAAACAACCATATATTCTTTAGCATTATCAGAATGCAAACATTTAATAGAAACATGATATTGATTGAGAATTTCAAAGTAAAACATACAGAAACAGGAAAAAACTTCAATTCGATCTTTTATTAAATATAACCACATCATTCGGGAATAATCATCCACGAATGTAACAAAATATTTATAACTAGACATATCACTGACACGACACGGTCCCCAAACTTCAGAATGGACCAACTCAAAAGGACTTGACATACGACGCTGGACACGATAAGGAAATGATACCCGATGGTGTTTGCCAAATTGGCAAGCATCACACTGGATAGGACTCATAGATTCTGAAACAGGTGAAAAATGATGAAGAATGTCAAGTGGTGGATGACCCATATGACAATGCATCTAAAATAAGTCGGAAGCAATTTTCTTTTGAGCAACCACAGCAATAAGGCCTTTGTTCAGGTAGTATAGCCCATTAGACTCATGTCCGCCACCAATCATCCGTCCGGTCCTCAAATCCTAAAAGACGCAACGAGTGGAAGTAAACGTTACAGAACAATTCAAATCTCTAGTAAGAGAACTAACAGAGAGCAAGTTATATGGGAAATCTGGCAAATGATAAATAGATGAAAGTAAGAGAGGGACCCAAGGTTGCATTCCCTTGACCAGTGATATGGGACTGTGAACCATCAGCAAGTGTAACGGAACTAGGTGACATAGAGGTAATACCAGACAACAACTTAGAATTACCGGTCGTATGATTTGTGGCACCAGAGTCTACAACCCAGGAAGTGGGCACAGAAGAGAGTAAACAGGACAGATTACTTGAAGAAGTCTGTGCCAAAGTAGTAGTAAGAGCAGAGGAATCCACCACCTGGTTGGGATTCACTAAGGACTCGTACTCTATGTGAGTCAGCATAATGGTACTAGGTTACTCCTGTGACTAATCAGGAACCTTTTGTACTGGAGATTCTACTGCTTCGGCATAAGCAGCTCGTGGACGAAGCTCAGGATGTAGGGTATAGCAATAAGGCTCAGTATGGCCAGCTCGTTGACAATGGTTGCAATAACGAGAACTTCTAGCACCCCTACCACCATCTCGGCCACGATCTGGAGAAAAGTCAAACCTACCACGACCCCAAGGACCACGCCCTGGGCCTCCACGACCACCAGAAGACTGAGAGACCATAGCACTCGCTACAAGTGCAGATGATAATAAGTCAGGCACGCATCGAAAGACCCGAGAAAAGACCTCATCTACTGATGGAAGAGTACACTGAGAGATAATTCGTTGTCGGAGAGAAGAATGAGCAGGACCAGGCCCCTGGAGAAATAACACAACTCTCATATCCTGTTGGCGCTTGGCCAACTCTTTAATGTCATCAGTGGCAGGCAAATAAGTATCCAGTTTCTCACAAAGGGTGGTGAACTTAGGATAGTAATCAGATGCAGACATGTCTCCAATACGTAGGTCAAATAGCTCCTCCCACACATCACAAACACGAGTCATATTATCACAACCTGAAAACATAAGAGCACATTTGTCTCAAATAGCTTTGGTTGATCTACATTGCATAAACTGAAGACTAATATTGGAATCCATGGTATTCCACAACAATGTCCGAATAGCAGCATCGCCATAGCGCCAATCATCCTCCTTTGTTTTATTCGTAGGTGGAGACGAAGTCAGATAACTCAGCTGTTGGTGGCCAAAAGATATGTTTCGACTGCCATAGACCAAGAAGGGTAATTGATCCCATCGAGCTTAACAGAGATCAACTTCAGATTAGTGAGACTGGTATCCGTGTTTCTAGAATTGCTAGTTATAAGTCAATAATAAAGTGAACTTAACAAAAATTTGCACCTTGTGCACCAAACGTAATAATTACCACCAATTACCACCAAACACAATAACTCATCAGAACAGAAGCACAAATCAACATAGGGCATTAACAAACCCAATAATCAACCATCGTTAGTAAACTTCAACACCAGGCAGGGACCTTAGTTTCGCAAGAAAAGAATGCCTATGCGATATCCCACATTTAGTATTTCTAAGGCGGTTGTTTTTCATCAAAGTTTAAGAAAAATTCCAGCTCTGCCACGGGATTCGCATCTTCTGAGACTGGTGAACCTTCTTCAATGGCTTGTCTATACAATAAGGGGAGCGGCAGGGGTAGAATATCTACTGCCGATAGGATTAGGTCTTTTGCAATTGATGAAGATCCTTTTAAAAAAAATATTGGGTCGGCAACAATCCAAATCGCTTCTTCAGAAGAACTCTTTACCTCGAGTATTTGTCATCAGGCGAGAAGCAAGCATGATGAGCAAATTGTGTAGCGATACCCAAGGGCATTAACAATAAGAGAAGTTACCGCCAACCTGTGCCTAATATCTCTCTGTTCAGTTCTTGCCCTGTGTTTTATCGAGCCACGATGCAAAGACTTGCGCGAGACAGGCAACGGCGCCAAGCGTCGGGCGACGCTGGTCGGCGATGCTTTGCCGGATCTGGACGTTAGGTGACACTGGGCAAGGTCGGGTGATGCCAAATCTAGGCTGCGTCGGGCAACGCTTGCCGCTCTAGATCTAGGTTTTTTTTTTTTAACCGAAAGTGGAGGAGGATTTTGGTGATGATCGTAGGCTCTGATACCATGATAAAAAAAATAATCGCCATTCACTTTTTCAGATTACATCATCTATATATATATATATATATATATATATATATATATATATATATATATATATATATATATATAGTGCAGCATGAGGGTTCACTAATTATGAAGAAGACAAAACTACCCTTTCAACATTTCTGAATAGGAAGCTCTTCCCCTGGAAACCGAGAGGTTCAACGTTATTCTGAATGGTTGGTCTGATGTTACTGTCGACGTGCTTAAAGCTAAGAGAATTCGGAGAGAGATGTCGAGATGCTGTATCACACCAAGTGCGACATCGTATTCTCACATGATCTCCTGCTTCTGGAAGGTTGGGAACCTTTTTCGGCTCTTTAAGACTATATGATGAGATGAAGAAAAGAGGATGGTTTCCTAGACTTGAGGTGTACAACTCTCTAATTTACATGCTTAGTCGGGAGAATTGCTTTAGTGAGGCCCTAAATTATAATTTGCGTGCTTACTCACCGATCAATCATAAGTAGCATAGCCTGCCCCGATTAATAAAATCAGTGATGTTTAATGCCAAGTTTGTGCACTCAATTCCAACATCATATCTTTGCTTTGGATACAAAACTTGATTTCTGGGAAGCTCGGAAATGCCGTAATTGATATTTGTGCGGTAATTTGGCACCAGGAGAACTCATGCATCAACCATGAATCTGCCAAACATGCCTGGGTTTTGTGCTGTAGTATGTGGACGGTGTTATCATTAGTAGCTAAGATTGTATCTTGGATAGGACAGTGATGCTCTGGTTACCTTCATTAGGGAAAAATGAACAGTAACTAAGGCAAGTGTTTCTAGCTTTATGCAGGCATATAATTTGTCTAAAGATCACAAGCCGGACCTTGAGATTGAGAGAGAGAGAGAGAGAGAGAGAGAGAGAGAGAGAGAGAGAGAGAGAGAATTCTTCAAGCTGGGGGTTTCATTCAAGTTGGGCGGGTCAATGGAAGTTTGAATCTGGCAAGAGCTATTGGTACTACTTCTAAATTTTACTCTCGATGACCAATTGATAGAGTGGAGGGAAACTCTCTCTGTCTCTCTCTGTCTCTCTCTGTCTCTCTCTCTCAGCACGCGCACGCATGTATGCACGTGAGTTTGTGGATGTTTATTGGGTAGACACCGTCTAATGTGAATTGGGGATGTAATATCTGTTGGCTGCAGGAGATGTGGAATTCAAGCAGAACAAATCACCCCCAGCTGAAAGACAGATTGTAACTGCAAATCCTGACATAACTATTGTATGTGATAGCTAGTCGAGATATAATCTTGCAGTCTAGTGAGGTTATCTACATATCAAGATGGTTGAACTCCTGTTGATAAAATGCAGGAATTCTAGATGATTTTGTCCATTTATTGACATTATTTCTTACCCTCACAATTGCTTCTATTTATCCTTTTTCCTCTTTTTTGTCCAATCTTGTAGACTGAGCTCTGCAAAGATGATGAGTATCTTGTACTAGCATGCGACGGAACATGGTACTTCATTACGACTTTTTGCTCATATCATTTTCCTCTACCAACAAATAATCTGACAGCCAACTATTTTTGGGTCCATAAGCTTGAGGAAGTGAACTTGAAACAGACGTGCTACACATGACATGAGTACTTTGCATTAATAATTAGGGTGGACTTGAAAATACCAGACGAACATTTGAATTACGTATGGCCCTGTAGTTCCATTGCTTTCAAGGGTGTAACTTGTTTCGACTACCAAATGGCTACAGCATAGTGGATATGAGGAGTGATTAGGTTGCATTCATTTTGTTGACTCTACTAAATAGATTTACTTTCTTTGGCGAGTATATGACTTCGAAGAGGATTTTTCTTCTCTTAGTAGGCGATGTGTTGTTGATAGTGATTCCAATTCAAAAGCTTATGCTACGACCTTATACTCAAGTAAACCTACTTTTCACTGAAAAAGTTGTCACGTCTTTTCTTGCAATATTCATCCCTTATGGCTCGTGTTTTTGCAACCAAAATTCCCCATCAGCTAATTTTCAGAAGTGAAGGGACCATACTGGAGTATCCTTTCCAAAATCTACCCCCTCCATCTAGAGTTTTTATTTTCTTTTCCTTACTAATTAAATCAGCTAGTTATATGACTTGGTGGAATTGTTGGCGTATATTTTAATTCAAGTGTCTGTAGTTTGTTAATTCTTGGGAATCCTGTCTGACGAAAATTATCTTGCTCGCCAGGGATTGCATGTCAAGCCAGCAGCTGGTGGACTATGTTAGGGAACAGTTAGTTACACATGGTACATTCTTAACACTTGAGATATTAGGTTCCCAAACTGATGGCAATGCAGGAAAAACTATAGAAGATAACTTAGGTATTTGCTAAATGGAAAACTCTGCAGGAAAGCAAACTTTCAGCTATCTGTGAGAGAGTCTTCGAGAGATGTTTGGCACCCTCTGCTGGCGGTGAAGGATGCGACAACATGACCATGATTCTAGTTAAGTTTAAGAAATCCTTTACATCCAGCAGTTCTGTGGAAGTGCGACAACATGCGGCGTCCAATCAACTCTCTGAGCCCGCCGTGTGTTTGGAAGAGTCGCAAGTGAAGGTCTGAGCCCTTTAACGAATGGAAGGGCCACCTATCCAGAAGGTCTAGGAGAACATGGTTTTTAGATCCGACGCCCTTCAGGATGGCACTTCTGCAAGCCAGTTTCCTCTTTTCTTGAGTGGCAGTGGAGCATGTGTGAGGAGTCCTGCTGCGGATGCATCTCCTTCGTGGCTCCCTATAAAGAGTGGCTAACTAGTCTGGAAATCGATTTGAGGGAGGGTTTAAGCTCGTGAATGCGCTGCTCAATCTCAAAAGAATCTGCAAACAGATAATGTAATCGTTTGACAAAATCACTGGAGTGATATTCGGAGGAGGACAAGGCTCTCACCTCGAAGAAACACTACGGATGTTAATGGTTTCTTCTTCTTCTTTTTTTTTGTATTTGTCATCAGCGTTGTGCTTCTTTCGTGTCTTGTTGAGTACATCTGCGAATTCATTTTTTATCCTCCTTAGAGGAGCCTCTAATGAAACCCAAGTATCAAAGTTGGTTGCTCGGTTGAACGCTATCAGATCGGACGCATCAAGTTTCGACTATTTTCGTATAATCATATAAAATATGAATACCTTCACATGTGTTTTTTGTTTAGTGTTTTTGATTGGCCAGATTCGAAGAAGAAGAGGAGGAGGGGGGTGGTCCCATTTCGATGCCTCTCGTTCGCTTTTTCTATTTTTAGGTGGACGTACAAGTGGACTTGACCTCGACACGTGGCAGCCATCTCCGCATACATAGATATTCCTCGTTGTTCGCTGCGAAGATCCGCATTGGATTCACGTGTCAATCTTACCTTCCCCCTTCTTCTTATCCATCCATCCACCCTCTCTGAAAAGCGCAAAGCCCCAGAAAAACACTCCGTCACTCGCGGTGGTGGGGAGGTTCGTCTCTTATCCCGTTTCCCTTTCCCTTTCCCTTTGCCCTTTTGTCGAAAAGGGATGAGACATTAGGTTCCCAAACTGATGAGATATGGATCAAGACGGAGGAATCCAATCGAAAAATCGAAGGATTAGGATATCACAAGTATTATAATTTTTTTTCAATCACTTAAGTGATATAATTTCTATAAAAAAAAAAATGTTCACTTGCATGTCATAATTTTCAATCGCTCACTTCTTGGTTTTTGTTGGATTTTAAAAAGTTAATAAAAAAATGTAGAGCATTAATATATAAGTTATAGAGCTTAAATGATTGAGCACCGTACGAAAACCTGAATGCATTATTGGAGCGGGTGAGGTTACATGCAAAAAAAAAACAAAAAAAGACATTGGCTTTGACTCTAACACCGTACGACGCGTAGCATGACCATTGGCTGTGTCTGACATAATTCAGACCGCTAGATCTAAAAAAAACCTCATTCCCGCATGGGAAACACGTGTCCTTTTTTCCCCTTCCCTTCCATTCTTTTCCCCACTCGTACACGGAAAGCAAAACCCTAGCACGCCGATCTTGACCTTTTCCCCCTTCAAACCAAACCATGGCTGGGACTTTTTAGACCTCGGAATTAGGAAACGGATGTGTTTTCTTTTGTTTTGTTGGGTCACGCCTTTGCCTCGTCTCCCGAGCAAAGAGGCCACGTCTCCAAGCGCCCATCAGAAAGATTAAAACTACAATTCGTTCCCCCACCCCACGAGTTCCTCTATTTCCATGCCCAAATTCAATCAAGGACGTTATGAACAAGCCCTGCCCGCTTCTTCATTTCGACCCTAAAAGCCGCAGAACAGAAGGAAAATGACCTCCGTGGCCCTTATAAACTTTGACCCGAAACTGTTGGTTTTGTAATGAGGCCGAATGGAGACATAGGGTTTAGAACGTGGTGTTGAAAACGACGCATTTACTTGGTTGTGCAAGGGGGTCGGTTGAAGGAGCGTTTTTGAATGTAGTGGCGTACCCATCTACGTAACGGCATCTGCTGAAGAATAAACAAACAAATGCATGAAAATTCACTAATATCTCGAAATTGGGATGTGCCTTGAATTTAGGGGGGCGCACCGGCAAAGTAAAAAAACAAAGAAAGGAAGAATTAGAGCTGTGGGTACCCATCATAAGGCCTAGAGCACGAAGGTTAGATAATAAGGGGGCTGAACCGATAATTACCGTAAAAAGGTCCCAAACTTATCATACGACGGCCGATTCAGTCCTGAACTTTTAATTTTTTTTTTCCAGTTTAGTTCTAAACCTCAAAATTAGCCGGAAGGACTTGGCAAATCGTCATAAAAATTTATGACTAAATTGATAAAATTGAAAAATTTATGATTGTATTAGTCGCCACATGATAAGTTTAAGACTTTTTGGGTGGTTTTTCGAGATATGAGGCTTGCGATTCGTGTGATACTATATTATGGTTTTCATGTCTGCAATTTCTTTAAGCACTTATAAATTGGTACTTCATTAAATTCAAAGCAACAAAAACGTGCCTGTCGAGCTAATTCTGCCGTCTCCACAAATTCACGTTATATTTCGTATATATATATTTTTTTAGTGCAGAATCATTACGCGCAAACAAAACGAGCGCAATAAATCGTACAAAAATTCGGAGGAATATTCCCCAAAATTATAGGAAAAAAGAAGAAAAAAAACAGAAGAAAAAAAACGAAAAACCAAGAGAAAAGTCGTTTTCCGATAGGAAGCTGACTAGGCACCCAACAAAAACACAAAAGCCCGGATAAGAAGCAGCACCCAAAAAACAGAGAAAGAAAGATGGAGGACCGTCTTCGTCGTTCCACGAAAAACGACATCACACGTCTCCAGGCATTGAGATAAGCCCACCACCATCCGTTCTTCGCTTTCTTTATATTCAGTGACACGCCTCCCCTTCCTTCCATCAGATCAGACCCATCATCATCTATCCATTTCTCGTTGCTGTTATTCAGACCAAGATCCCATTGGACCGTCCCCCAACCCTTTCATAGACGAACCACTCTTCCTTCCTTCCTCCCTTCCTGCGGATCCATATTTGAAGAAGGCTCCTTTTTGGGGTTGCAGACATCGTCTTTTGTTTGTTCCCTTTTGATCGTTTTGGGTGGGTGGGGAGTGAACAAGAAAGATTGCAGGCAATGGCTACTTCTGTTGTTGGCGTGATCGGGAAGACCGGTTCCCAGTGGGTTCGGGTCGGAGGCCGGAAGATGAAGAACGGAGCCGATAGGAATCGAGGGGTCAAAGTTTCTTGCTCTCATTCTTCTTCCTCCTCGTCGGTGCTGGATCCGTACCAGACCCTGAGGATTCAACCCGGCGCTTCCGAATCCGAGGTCAAGAAGGCCTTCAGGCAGCTCGCTCTCCAGGTTCGGTTTTTTTTTTTTTGTTTTCTCGTGCCCTTCCTTCTCCGTTCCGCGTTTTCTTCCGGATCTTTTTCTAGGAGGACTCTGGCTTAAAGTTCGGAACTTTATGGCGTTTGGTTGACGTTCGGTTGTTCTTGGCCCGTTTTTCAGTATCATCCGGACGTTTGCAGAGGGAGCAATTGCGGGGTGCAGTTTCATCGGATAAATGAAGCGTACGATGTAAGACTTCCATTTTCCCTGTCATGTTGCTCTGGGCTTTTCTTTTTCCTGTCTTTAGCTGATTAATAGGCGTCGATTGAGGCGGGTGGGACATTCATCCGACGGCGTCTCGTTCCATTCCAATGAATCTCGAACCATTTATCTGAAATGGTTTATAGATGTTAGTGATTGATGAAGTGATGAACCAACGCGGTCATCTTTTAAGGTTTTAGTATTCCCTGAACATGGTGGGTCAGGTGGACTTGGTGTTCTGTTCTGTTACTAACTAATTGCATCGATGGAATTTTAAGTCGTGCAGAGTGGATATACTTTGCTACTTGTCTGATGAAATTGCACTAGAATAAAGGTGTTTTATGGGTATTCGACAATGAAATTGCGCTAGAATAAAGATGAGGCCCTTAACGATGCTGAATACAGAGACGAGCACTCCAAAGGCTTGTGTAAAGCTTGACCGGAAGATTTTGAAAGATTGATCACTTCTTTAACAAATAATGAAATGAGCACTCAAAAGGATTACAAGCTGGGGGATATCTAAGATTAATCGGTTCTCTAATTAATAAACGCGGGTGCTGATACTTGAATTGGAGATCGGTTTTTCGCTCAGCAAGCTGAAAATGAACAAGATTAAAGTAAAAACATCCAGAATCATAAGAACTGCTTTCTTTTGAGCCTTGTTCCGGGGGTATTGTGCTCTACGTCTATAAAAATTGGTTGCCTGAATCTGTTTTGTATTTGATATGTTAATAATGTGTGCAGGTTGTGATGAGCAGTTTGAGGGGCGAATCAAGTGAGCAAGCGATGTATGAATCATCATCATGTGCATATGAACACGGAGGTGATGAGGAGTTCAGAGGGATGAACGATCCTGAGTGGGACATGTGGGAAGAGTGGATGGGATGGGAGGGTGCTGGAATCCGTGATTACACCTCTCACATCAATCCCTACGTCTGAAAATTATTTGCATCTTTCTTGTGTTTTGTTTTTTATAAATCATGAATGGCGGCCCGCATTTCGCCCCCCCAAAAAAAGATGGGGTCTTCTTGTGTATGTAAGTGGAAGATGGGTGATGGGGTCATTGTTCTTTGTATATATTATGCAATCTCCAGTGGAAGAAGTCCCCAAAGTTAAAATGATTTGGGGGGTATCTTGTATCGAAGAGACTTTGTTTCATGTCTTCCCATCGTCATTTGTGCATTATCCATCAAAAAAGACGGCTTATGAAACTACAGATATTCTGAAGGGGGGACTCAAGTTGGAGTGTGTTTTCTTTTCTGTCGGTCATTGTAGGCGCTAATTGTCCATGATTTTTGGCCTTAAAAGTTGATTGCAAGTGAGAACATGCTTGAACTTGGCATAAGAGTGAGTCCTGGATTTATTCTATTTCCGTGCAACTCAGAGAGAACGTCAGAGGGCCATGCATGGATCTGGAAATCCAGTTGGAATTTGCAAACAATCTTTTTAAGCATAGCGCTGAGTAAGGCGACTACAAATAAGGAACGTTCCTTCTTTCGCTGGGTGAAAGGTCTATAAAACACTGGATGAATCCAAGCCTCTTTTGATGGTTCTCTAGGTCGGATATATTCAACAAATTTATGCGGGAAAATGGGCTTCGACGAGAAGCAAGTTCAAATAAGCCAGAGGCAATTATACAAGTCGATCCATGTTCCCAAATCATAGTTTGAAGCTCGAAGGTTCATTGACCAAATTGCCTATTAAATAGTGAGCCTAATCTCATCTCAAGAAGTGGCAGGCTTGGCTGAATTTTCATATGTTCTGCACGCTCTTGTAATGATCTGCTTGGCCACATCTGTGCAGCTAGTGATAGTGAACTCGAACCGTCGTTAGTCTCTCTGTCAGATTAATTGAACGGCAATCTAGTATGACCAAAAACCGGATAAAAATCCTGAGCTATGATCGACCATATCCGACTCTCTATCATCAGATTCTTGTTCATATTTCTGTGTATCAAACTTTGATGCTCCTCTTTGTTAATTAAGGTCAACTGTAAGCTTTCCTCTATGATGCCCTCGTTGTCGGGTCGCTTGCCTCTTTGGTAGGAAATGTTGCTGTTGACTTGACTGCGATGGAGAATCCGTCGACATGATGTGGCCCTAGTTTTCTTCATTATCTTTGATTATGCTTTACCCATCATAGAAAAAGCGATGTGCTATTTCCCTGATTCGCAAATTCTCTAATGAAGTAAAAGACTTCATCATATTGCTCCTTCCCTCAGTAGATTGAACATAAGTGGGGGTTCGTTCATTTTGACTTGGCTTGGTTTCGGATCGCATGCTTGACATTGGAACCTCAATGGAAGAGCCTTCTTCATCGTTTTTCGTGGTTGAGGAAAAATGATGCGGCAAGATTACAAGGTAAAAATGCTTGACAAAATTAAGCAGCACTACGAAAAACTAACAAACAAGACACGAAAGGAAGCTTAAGAAAAGCATATTCAATTCTAAGATGAGCTTTGATTAGAATAGAACAAAGGCCCAATTCCCTTTGAAAACACCAACTTTAACTCGGGTCGGAATTTTGGCTCGAACTTACTTTTGTTTTTTTGAAAAAAAAAACCAACTTTATGTGGGTCTTAATACTGGTCCGAACTTTTCTTGTCTCATAAGAAAGCCCTTGCTTTAGGGCGGTGCCCAAATCTGGCTTCTCTCGAATTTACGCCGAGTGCACACTGATTGACATATCGATATCTTTCAGTGCATTATTTGATGGAAACTTGACCGGGGTCGAATTTGATACCGACTAAAAGCCAATACTTTTTATGAGATAACAAAAATTTGATTCTGAATTGAGCTTCTGTTATAAAACAAAAGAAAAGTTAAGACGAAATTGGTATACCAATTAAAATTAATGCTTTGTAAGGGAATTAAGCCAGAACATACCCTCTTTCTTGTACATATTGCGCACTTCCGTATATTTTCCAAAAGAAAGGCAGCCAATTCTAAGACGAAATTGGTTAAAACAGGATATCGTGTGGGGGTACGGAACAAATGGGGGGCAAAAACTCAGCGAAAGTTCCTTCCGTAACGTTGCTCAAATCCGAAGATTCCTCGACAAAAAAAAGCAAAAATTTACGAGGTCGGCTGGTTCTTTGATTTACACCCATCTTCGAATATCGAATTGGATCTTCTCCTAAAGACCTTTCATTTCCTTATTTTCGTTTTTTTTTATTAACCATTTTAAACTGTAAAACTCTCAAAGAAAGGAAGAGTGATTGCTTGCTGTTGTTGCTTCTTCTTGGAGTCTTGGGTGGTGCGACGCACTTCCCCCTTTGCCGAATTCACTGTCGTCTTCGTCTTCGATCCCAGGGCGCTGTCCTTCCGAACCACACGCGTCTGCTTCGTGCCTTCGCATTCAATTCGATTTGGAAAAATTCCCATTCAAATTCGAAAGGCCCCCCGACATCGAAATCCCGACTCTGTTCTTGTCCCCTCAATGGTGGGCTCATTCCATTTTCAGCTGCGCTCCTGAAACAATCCCACCGCATTGGGACCGTACTCGTTCCGGCGTTCTGGGATTGGTCCGCCGTCTCTCTCCCCTCCGCGCCTCGCGCTCCCCTCGATAGCTCTGTCTCTCACAGGTACTTACAGAGTCGGGGTCCTGTTCTTTCGTTTAAAAATTCGATCTTTGTGGTGTGCGGGCTTTGATTTGGCTTCTTTGCTTCGTGGGCGGTGCTCTGTGTTGTTCTATTCCTAATCGGTCCTCTTGGTTTTTGGTTTTTTCTGTTGATTCATTGGGCGATTGTTGTTTGGTTTGGTTCTATAGTTTGCTTGAGCTGAACGGTGTCTGTGATACCCGTTGGAAAAGTAATGGTGTGGATTGCTGTGGATGGGTATCCGAATTATCGGTTTGTATAGCTCTTGGGATGTGATTTGTTCAGTTAAAGCGCTCTCCATGACCAAAATGCACTAGGTGTGCGTAGACTTGGTGTGATCCAATTTTGCCGAGACTCTATAGCCAGCACCACTCATATGAGCAATGAGAACGCGACAAATCCAATTCAGAGAAAAGTGTATCTCACATTGATTCGGTGACGTTCAATCGCGGAGAAGAAAGATCTCCGCGTAGAAAAGAAATGAGAAATCGTTTTGATTCTGTTTGCTTTGCCAAGGAGGGATGCGGGAAAATTTTGCATTCATTTTCGGGAACGGGTGAGAAAGCCAATCCATCCTTTCGGAGGCTAAGAATTGGAAAGACATTTTGAAGACAATGAGTCCGGGTCAGTCAGAAAAGGGGAGATGTGTTAGCTTGTGCTCTAGATGATACTTGAGTTTTCTCTGAAGCTGTCAATGTGGCCGAACTTTGTCTGAATAAAATGTGAGGCTATTGAGATTCATTTGTCTGGTCAGGCTTCTGAGAACAAACAGTCTGTTAACAATTGTTTTCTCTCTTGAATTGGAGTGGGGACTTGGGGCGCTTTGGACCATTATAACTGGCCCTTCTAGTTTGCTCCTGACACCAAAACTAGATATATCATTTGAGGTAGACTGATATTCGGATAATTCTTCAATTGGATGCTAGATGTCGGTTGGTGATCCACATTTGTATCCCTTATCTTTACTCTACATAGTAGGGCTACCTGTTTGGTTGTGCGCATACTACTGTTTCATTCTGGAGCCTCCACTTTGTTATATGCTAATGGCTAGGCTCATTTTAAGGCCAAATGGTTGGTCTTTCATTAGCCCCACAATTTATTGTTTGCTTGCTGATTGTTGTATTTTGGTGAGTTATGCTCTTGCTTGTTACTTAATTTCAGCTCTGGAGCCATCAATGGCAGACCTGAAGGAGCGTCTCCTCGCACCAAAACCAGCATCTGCTATAAACCTTAGGGAGGCATCTTATAGACTATCCGTGTCTGGACGCCAACCTTTCCATGGTGTGGATGTTCTAGGGCTGAAAAAGCGGGGCCAAGGCCTTCGCTCTTGGATTCGTGTCGACACTTCTGGTAACTCAGAGGTCATTGAGGTGGACAAGTTCACGATGATGCGTCGATGTGATCTTCCTGCCCGTGATTTACGCTTGCTCGATCCATTGTTTGTGTACCCCTCCACCATTCTTGGTCGAGAGAAGGCAATTGTGGTTAACTTGGAGCAGATTCGGTGTATCATCACAGCAGATGAGGTTCTGCTTTTGAATTCCCTTGATAGCTATGTTTTACAGTATGTTGTGGAGCTACAACGCCGGTTGACCACAGCTGGGGTGGGCAGAGTCTGGAAGGCTGAATGTGCTGACTTGAGCGGGAGAAGAGGAAGCAGAAACTTTGACAATATTTTTGGGGATACATCCCCGGATAATCTTCCTTTTGAATTTAGGGCCCTTGAAGTAGCGCTTGAAGCTGCCTGTACTTTTCTTGATTCTCAGGTTTGTGAAATTTGCTGATCGAAACATAGATCCATACTTCATTTTTGAGAGCTTCAGTCAGATTTGTTTTTATGTTAAGATAATGTTAGTATTGTGTCCGGACTGAATTGCTTTAAATGAATCATGACTCGTGTCTCGATATCTTCTAAGCTGATTTTGTTGTTTTCTGTGCATTAAAAAGCTGTCATGGAAGGCTTCGCTTTGATTATTAAAATTGCACTTGCTTTCATAATGTATCAGAATTTGAATATCTGCTTCTCCTAATTTTGACGCTAATTTAAGCAGTTCTAATTGATTCGAAGTTAGCTGGGCAAAGTAGTAACACCATCATATTCATATTCTATAGGCAGCAGAACTCGAGATTGAAGCTTATCCCTTGCTAGATGAGCTTACTTCGAAGATTAGCACGTTGAATTTGGAGCGTGTCCGTCGATTGAAAAGCAGACTCGTTGCATTAACTAGGAGAGTGCAGAAGGTATTGGGAAATATTTGTTATTCTTGTGACGACTTGTGCTGGTGAATGATGTCAGCTCTCTCTCTCTCTCTCTCTCTCTCTCTCTCTCTCTCTCTCTCTCTCTCTCTCTCTCTCAGCCTTATTGGGATTAATCTTACTCTTAAATGCCCTAATGTATGTAGGTTAGAGATGAGATAGAGCAGCTGATGGATGATGATGGAGACATGGCAGAGATGTACCTCACTGAAAAGAAACGAAGGATGGAGTCAACAATTTATGGTGATCAGTCTTTGTTGGGATACAGATCAACTGATGGTGCTTTATCTGTCTCTGCACCAGTTTCTCCCATTGGTTCCCCTCCAGATGGGCGGAAGCTGGAGAAGAGCTTGAGTATTGCCAGGAGCCGGCACGAGAGCATGAGGAGTTCAGAAAGTGCGATGGAGAGCATTGAAGAACTTGAGATGTTGCTGGAAGCATATTTTGTTGTGATCGATAGCACATTAAACAAGTTGACCTCGGTATGGCCTCGCCGTCATCTTAAATCAACGATTCTCTTTTGTATGATTTCGAAGGACGGAAACTCACAGAACTCTCTTATTGCCTCTTGTTTCAGCTGAAGGAGTACATTGACGACACAGAAGATTTCATCAATATTCAGCTGGTAATTGTTTCTGTCCTCTTCTCTTTGCTTGTTGCATCTCATCGACTTGTAGTTTCTTAGGTTGGCTTATTATCTGAGCGAAATTTGCCTAGATCACTGAAGTAGAGATGGGCAGATGATGACACATCCCTGTTCAATGCTATTTATGTTATGTAATTTGCTCATCTTTACATTATCGAAGCCTTGTAAGAATAAATAGGTAGGCGTTGGATCATTCTTCATTTATCGACTTCAAGACTCTCACGCTAGTCTTCAGAGAAGTAGACCAGTATATCCTGTGGAAGGACATAATTTGATGTCTGAAATTCCTCTTCTTCAACTTCACATAGCGTATTTGAAAAACTTTTGCAGGACAATGTCCGGAACCAGCTAATCCAATTCGAGCTGCTGCTGACAACCGCGACTTTTGTAGTCGCCATCTTTGGCGTGGTGGCTGGGATCTTCGGGATGAACTTTGCGATACCATTATTTGACGATGCAGAGGCCTTTAAGTGGGTCCTCATGATTACAGGAGTGACTGGGATCACCATATTCTTAGCATTTTGTTGTTTCTTCAAGTATAGAAGACTAATGCCGCTATAGACAGATATGCAAGGATTGGATTTGCCATTAAAGGAATTGTATAATCATTCATCAGCATCATTCTTATAGTTAGTCAATGTGTAATTCATCGACAGCATAATTGGAAATGAGAATGTGCTTCTTTCTTTTGGCGATTCATCAGCATCATTCTTATAGTTTTTCTCACTATATCAGGCTGGAGAATGTCTCGCCTTTCGTAACTCGGCGCGAAATGTCATTCCTGAATCAAATCCTGTGTTGCGAACACAATGTCTTACAATTGAACTCAAAATTGGTCGGACAAATGAGATGGATTTGATGGCACTTTAAAGATAGCAAACCATCAGGATTCGAGAAAATTACACAAATGGTTCATGAATTTTGATTTAATATGTAGAGTCGTTCCTAAACTTTAAATTTATTCAATATGATCTCTTGATTCGCTATGCAATGTTGTCCATAATTTTTTAATTTGTTTAATATAGTTCCTAAATTTCGGTCCATTATTTAATGTGATTCTTGAACTTACATTTTCATATAATATCCAGGAATCACGTTTAACAAATTAAAAGTCTAGGGACGATATTACACATTGAGATAAAATTTAAGGATTATATTACATAAATTAAAAGTTCGGGGATGAATATATTTTTCGTTCATTTTTTTTTTCTAGGCAATACAAAATCGGGCTCTTACTGTCGAAACAATGCTTCTTTCTGTTGACCTTCCTAACCATAAGCATGAGGCTTTGCTGCTTTAGCGACGGTTCACTAGTCGCGAATGAGCGAAGAAGCTTGTCGCTGCAAATGGTAGCTGCTGATGGCACTCCATGCCCTCACAAGAAGACTGCGTCAAGTGCCATGTCCTCATGCCTTCCCTTCCCTCTCCATCTTCCGCATCTCCACTCTTCCATCAGCTTCGCCTCGCTCGCATCCCGGCTACGATCAGCTTCGGCATTCACTCTCTGGGGCATTTCGTCGAACATCTTGTGATTACTCTCAATGTCCCCGTCTTGCTTGCCTCAGGTTCTTCTCCATCCAGATTTGCGGCGACCCAGTTGTCTTCCGCGACCGGGAAGCAGCAGAGAGCGACTCCCGAGAGTCAACCGTGATCGAATTGCTCAAAAGTGTCGCTCTGCTTCCCACGGAAGCAGAGGCCATGGAATCTTTGAAGACTTCTGGGATTGTCCCGAATGGAGACTTGATATATTCGGCAGTGTGGGCGTTGAGGGAAGAGTGGAGGCTGGCTTTTTTGGCTTTCAAATGGGGCGATAAATGGGGCTGCATTGACGAGAAAGTTCTCAATTTGATGACTTGGGTATTGGGAAGTCACGGAAAGTTCAATATCGCCTGGTGCTTGATACGGGATTTGCATCGGTCTTCAGTGGATACGAGGCAGGCTATGCTAGTTATGATTGATCGGTGAGATGGGTTTCTTCCGATTACTTTTGAGTTTCAGTCATAGAACTCGAGTGCAAAAGAACCAAGCATGAAGTTTTATTGTTGTGCAATTGTTTCTTTCAATGATGATGCGTTGCTTAAATTCAGTAGTCTGTTTTTTTTTCTGAATTAAGCCTCAGAAAGTTAAATTCAAGACTTGCTGATTCACAATTGGTTATGGATCTTTCCCTCTAGGTATGCAGCTGCAAACAATCCGACAAAGGCAATCTGGACATTTCACGTTATGGAGAAATTCAGAGCTGCTCCGGATGAGGAAGCGTACTGCACCCTCCTGACTGCTCTCTGTAAGAACGGAAACATTGAAGAAGCAGAAGAGTTCGTGTTTCTGAATAAGAAGCTCTTCCCCCTGGAAACTGAGAGCTTCAACATTATTCTGAATGGTTGGTCTAATGTTACTGTTGACGTGCTTGAAGCCAAGAGAATTTGGAGAGAGATGTCGAGATGCTGCATCACACCAAATGCGACATCATATACTCACATGATCTCCTGCTTCTCGAAGGTTAGTAACCTTTTTGACTCTTTGAGACTATATGATGAGATGAAGAAAAGAGGTTGGGTTCCTGGACTTGAGGTGTACAACTCTCTAATATACGTGCTTACTAGGGAGAATTGCTTTAGTAAGGCCCTAAAAATGTTGGAGAAACTGAAAGAAGCGGATTTGCAGCCAAATCACGCCACTTATGATTCCATGATACGTCCTCTATGTGAAGCCAAAAAGCTAGATGAGGCAAGAGCTGTTCTATCTTCCATGATACGTGATAACATTCAGCCAACAGTTGAAACCTACCATTCGTTTCTTGAAGTCACCGATTTTGAAGGGACACTGGAAGTTCTTTCTATAATGAGGAAAGCTGGTGTAGGTCCTACTGGAGATACATTCCTCCTAATTCTTGAGAAGTTTTTCAAACAGAGCCAAGTGGAGAATGCTTTGAGGATTTGGGTTGAAATGAGGCAACATGAAATAGTGCCAGTTGCTGCGCATTACCTCAAAGTGGTGCATGGATTGGCAGTGTCTGGTTATCTCATTAAAGCCAAGGAAATTTATTCTGAGATGAGAGCCAAAGGGTTCTCAGATGATCCAAAGTTGAAGAAACTGTTGTACAGAACTTCAAGACGTAAGAAGGATAAAAGGGAATGGCATGCCGGAGAAGACGAGAGTGGGGTTGGTGTGAACATTAAGAGAGGAACTATATCGAGATAGCAAAGAAAATTTGTAGAAGATCAAACATGGAGAATGGGAGGACATTACATGGTGTTTCCAAATTAAACTTATGGGGAAAGAAGCCCTTCATGCCAACACTGTGGTGACAAATTAGCATCACCAAGCATGTCTTGCGCTGGAGGTGTTGTCTTGAAACAACATGAGAAGAGAATGCGCATATATTCTTGGGGAATGGTTTATATTTGATGGCTCAGTGGAGACAATTCATGCAATGGCTGCAACTTTTTAGGCAGTTTTCCTTGCTCTCGAGCATAAATGCTGTCAACTTGGTCTGACTATCCTGCGGTCTACTTTTACTATGTTCTCCTCTTGAATGAGGGATGTCAAACTTGCGCTGAGGAAGCATTTTCCTCTGTTTTTTATTGCAGTGTCGATGAATTTGCAGTTGGAAATTTGTGCCAGCACGAGAACATGACCATTCGTGAAGCTCTTGAAGTTGACCTTGATGCATATATTGATTTTTTCAGCTAGGCCTATGAAAAACTCTAGAGAAGTGGAGTGAAAGACGATGACAGCACTGTGCAAAGCAATTGCTAGTAACAGAGATAAGCAGATGACCGATGGATCCGAGGCAGCACACACAATTGTTGTAAAGTTTCATGTGTGTCAGTCTTGTTGGTGCTTTGTCTCAGGAGACGTGAACAAGTTTTATTTGCCATATAAGATTACTCAGCGAGACTCGACCAACAGTAATGGTGAATTTTTTTTCGAAACTGCTGTATAGACACCCCAGATTGATGGCAATTTTTGGTTTTATGATCGTTAAACTTGTCAGTGGGGGTGTCATAAACTCGCTCTTATCTGTAGCTCATCTTGTTTCAGAGCCATCAAGTAAGATCGTCCTGCTGTTGTGCTATGGCATTTACCGTGTTTCATCACTTCTGCGTTGATGATAAATCAGATTGAGAAATGTATAACCCACTGTTAAGTTCACAAGTTGATGGTCAAGATTTCCAGATTATCACTTTTGAAAATAAATTGACACATTCTAAATCGAAAAAGGCAACGCCAGACACCAGCAAGTGCGCGTGGTTGAATGGTAGAACACTAAAATAGTGAGCTCACATTGTTGCACCACCAAGACACGAAAGAAGAGAAATAACTTTGCTACCTGCCTCAATAGCAATTCGCAAATACAGTGCCGAAACAACCTTATCGGTAAAATTTTATCAATTCTATCTTGTTCTAACGACAAACACTTTTACATCCTCAACAATCAAAACTAGTCAGCAAAACACCACTGGTGCTATAGTGTCATTTAGAAGATGAAGAAAGTCTATCTTTCCGAGCCTTGTCCGCTTTTTCCATGTAATCTTGATGGGACTGGTGCTTTGACCCTACAATAGAAAGAGAACTTGTCAGCTTGTTATTACGAATATATGTCAAAAACCTAAGAGCGACGTATTCCTGCAATTAGTCCTCAAAGGAAATATTAAGTTTGACACTGTCAGTATCTCAAGTTTGCAGTCGACAAGGATCTGTGGTTCCGTATGTACAACTTGTTGCTTAAACGCAATAATATCTGTGAGTACTAATACAATGGGAATAAATAGCATCTATGTCCAAATAATAATCACCACATGCATATTATGACTTTTATACGGCACTAAAAGCCCAGTTCTGAGAAAACCATCACGACAATGACAAAACAGTAAGAATGCATGGAAGACTCCGTATGTACAAGTTTCTTATCTACATTCAAAGCCATAGAGCACTGCTATAAGGAAAAAAACAGCACATATGTCCATGCAATCAATCACAACATGCTTCGATCGAATTCCAAATGGTACTCAAACCCTTGAAGAAAACCATCACGACAATGAATAATCTTGAACTGAAATCATATGAAGCTACGCCTTCTTCTCTCCCACCAGACTCGAAAATATAACACTCATCTAGAAAATTAAGCAAACAAACAAGCCAAATCCCAATGTTACACAGTTTCCCCAGGTTATTCACAGTATGGATACTCCGTCTACCAACCAATAGTAGCAACCACAAACCTGCCCTAAACCTTTTTTTTTTTGTTTCCAATATGTTACATGTCCAAAAATTAGACTCTGCACAAACTTTCGTCATAACAAATGGACGATTGAGAGCAATCTTTTCGTGGATCACAGCCAAATTGTTCTAATGAATGAGTAGTCCTATTCCTCCGGCAAAGTTTGAGAAGAGGGGGTAGAGGAAGGGAGGGGGGGGGGGGGGGGGGGGGTGTGGTGTGTCCGTTTCAAGTTAGATAAATATCCAGATGTCCAGCATAATAATTTTCTATATAGGTACTGACACAGACTTTTAGCTGAATAGAAGATGAAGGGATGATAGCTTGATATCTTCCTATCACACTAACACATGGCCATAAGTTCACGAGATCGATGACGTCACAAACTACCTGAGAAAATTACCCTGCTCAGTAAATCTTTCAGGTGGAACCACCTAGCAATGTCAAACTAATTACCAGAGAGGACATGGAGTTCATATCAAATCATCTAAAATAGTTGCATGGCAAATATTGACAACATAAGAACATTTCAACTCATGAAACAATAAAACATCCGAAACATGATAGAGTTGAGTAGCATTCAAACTGAAAAGTTCTCATCCGCCCAATATCTTCCTTGTTCATACTAATAAAAGCACATTACAAAAGCAGGAATAGCGAACTATGATATCCATAAAAGACAGAATGGAGTCCTATATGTGTTTTTTGATTTCACTTCCAGTGACTGTAGTTATATAAATGAAGTATTAACAACATGGAACTCCCGGGCTAATTCATGACAAACAAGAGTTTGACTTCTTTTATATAAAGTATGGATCCAGGAGTTCAAAGAAATGTGCCATTTTCGTCAGCTACGTGAATTCCAACCCTAACTGCTTTTATATAAATCTCCTCGGCCCAACATTGAGCGACATTTTGCTTCTTAGAAGGCTTTCACATTTCTAGTCGCCTACCCGCATATTCCTCTCTGAAAGCTATTGAGGAACGGCCACGATGAAGCAGAATGAATACACGAAAATCTACCGATGACAGAAAATTTTGTCTTCCCCGAACTATAGTAAAAACCATGAACAATAAATGCGGGGCACCCAGGCCAACCGCAAACATCCTGCCGAAGAAGAAGAAATCAAGAACAATCCTTCTTTTCTGTTTTGTCCCATAAGCCAAAGTAGCAGCATTTTGCCTAAAGCTTCCAATAAATATGCACAGAGCATTCAAATGGCAGTTCCTCCTCCAAATCAATCCGATCCATCTAAAAGGATGTTCTAAAGCTCCCACCTATCGATCACTTCACAGACCATCCAATTACCTCCAAAGAAAAAACACCTCAATCCAATGCTACACAGAGAATTACGCAGAGCAGCAGGAGCCCCAGAAGCCAATCAAGCCCAGACACAAGACAAGGGATCAGAAACCGCGAAAGGTCTCAACTTTTTCCACTATCATGCCCCCACGTGCAACCAAATTGGTACAAGGAAGCTGCTGCAAGAGACCGAGAAAGAGAGAGAAAGGGAGAAAAGGGAATGGAACCTCGATTCATGAGGAACCAGGGAGCACCGAAGATGACGGTGATGACGGCTATGCCGGCCAGGACGTGCTTCTTGTCGCCGCTGTACAAATAGCGTTCCATCCTCGCCCTGAAGCCGCCTGCTCCCCCTCCACCGTCGGTCTTTGCTTCGCTCGCCATTTTGGGTATCGATTCTCGTCTCTTCTCTTCCCTTCCTTCGCCCGCTCGAGCAGGGGTTTTCTGGTGGGAGTGAAACCGTGGAGTCCCCCACAAGAGAGAGAGAGAGAAGCCCCACCTCGTCAAAATACGAAGTTCAAGCGGAAAAAAGAAAAAGAGAAGGAAGGGTAAATTTGGTTAAACGAAAGGGAGAACGAGACAAATTATCGCTCAACTTTGGTTTAACGCTCGATATAATTTTTGGACTTTTAATTTGTTCAATACGGTCCCTGAACTTTAGTCCAATATTCAATGTGATATCTGAACTTTTAATTTGTTCAATGTGGTCTATGGACTTTTGATACATGTTCAGTTTAGTCCATGATTAGGGACAACATTGAACATTTTCTCATAAAGTTTATGGACTATACTGAACATGTACCAAAAGCTCAGGGACTATATTGAACAAATTAAAAGTTCATGACCACGTTACAAATTGTGCTAAATTTCAGGAATCACATTGAACAAATTAAAAGTTTATGAACCACGTTACACATTGGGCCAAAATTCAAGAATTATTTATGTCATTTTTCCTAAAAGAAAATCACCATGGATTTTTAATTTAGTAGAAATATTGTTTTGATTTGTGTTTCTGTAAGTATTTAGAAGAATATAGGTTTTTTTGAATAAATATCAAATGTATGAACCATCTTCTTATGTAATTTTGTTTCTACTTGAGAGTAGAGTCCACATTTCATATGAGAATAATGTAATGGTGTTATAGTATGCGATCCAAAATTAATTAAATGTGTCGATTTATTAATAATTTAAAATTTTTTGAAGCACCTTGTGTGACATCGCTGAATTAACTCACTCAAGGTATTGCCCACTTTGGCCATCCCATACCGAGCCTCACGGTTTTGTCCATTGACATACAGACAGACACTTTTCCAGGAGGTTATCCATCCTAGTAGTGCTCTGATTTGGGCTCGATTAACTTTGGAGTTTCAAAGCAAAGCTTGCCGTTACATCAAAAGGCGCATCCGTGAGTTAATTTCAGTTTTCACATATATATTCCAAAATCGTTCTCCTCCTATTCAGTGTACAGTTCGGTTCATTCCTGCCCCCTTCGCCATCCTAGAAGCCTGCTAGGAGCCGCTCCTTGTCCAGACACTTTGGCCTTGGCGACCACTCCCCATTCTCGTCGGACCGGGTCGTTACACCTCAATTTGTTGAGTTTTAATGTATTAGAGTGAATGATTGAATGATGACATTATGACAAAAGAAAATCAAACGTTGACAAGAAAAATGCTTTTAAGGGATACACTTTAAAGGAGGCTCAAACCCTAATAAATTCTCAATTTTAGGTCAAATCATAATTCCATCCTGAACTTTAAAAAAAAAAAATTTCCCAACTTCACTCTTGTCCCAAATCTGCCCACATGTCTAAAAATCGCTGTTGATTTTTTGTCAAAATTATCAACATCAGGAACCTGTTGTCTATGAAAATGCAACTTCTGCTGATGAAACTTTAATTGGCTTTGATGTTGATATTTTTTAAGAAACTAGTGGCAATTTTTCAACGGGTGGACAGATTTGGAACTATAATGAAAGTCGGCGATTTTTTTTAAACAAAAAGAGTTTGAGATAGAATTATATTGAATCTAAAGTTGAGATTTTTTAAGGAATTAGGTCCTTAAAAAGGGCATCTTTTGTTGTATTTGCATTGAAACAAGAAGCAATTTTTCAATGTAGTGTACAAATGACATGTAAGTGTTACCTTTGTAATATGAAGGGAGAAACTCTCATTATTTTTGTATTATAGGCAGCATTGTGATAATTTCTCCATATGCTTATCAATGTTAGTATCTCATAATATTTCACCAACATTTATTATATATTATCAAGGAGTAATATTATGGGTAATCTCCGAATTTTTACTCGATATTCAATAATGTTCTTCATTTTGATTTCAATTTACTCTTCGAACTTTTGGAGTTTCGCTCAATGTATACTTTCTATAAAAAAAAAAAAAAAAAAAAGGGCTAAAGATGTTAGCTAACATGGACGACAACGCATTAATTTACTGTCGTTTTGTACACTTGACCACCCATGTCACGCCATGTCCTCTCCATCTCTCTCTCTCTCCCTGTAGAGGTCGCAATGCATATCCTTACACTAGCGCAAGAAGAAGGTGTTAACCCGTATCACTGTGACTTGATTCTAATTTCTCTATTTTTTTTTTAAAAATACTGCTTTTTTTGTCTGTATTGAATAGAATATGCTGAGCCAAATCTTCTTCATGCTAAATCTGCTTGATTTAGATCGGGAAAATCGTACAGTTTTATGAAATTGTGTTCTATAGCTCGAATCCGTATTCAATCCTATTTTCGATAGGCACAGTTGAGAGTTCAATTCAATTTTTTTCATTATTTTCATATCCGTAATAGTGCGAAATGAAGGCCTGGCTCCAAGTTGTTCAAGTATAGTGGAATAGTGGCATTGAGTTTCTCGCCGTATGGATCTTACACTATATCAATGACAAATTTCATTTCCATACCATATGATTCTACATTCTTCCTGCTCAATAAACTACTATCCACTTCTCGATCTAATTAATTAGAGGTAAATCATCCATGATTGCAATGACGGATTCGCGAAAAGTAATCTATAATGGTCAAATTTCAAGAGAAGATTTTGATGAAATCAAAGAGGAAAAACAAGTTGAACCGGGTTAGTCTATAAGTCGTACTTGTCGTCTTCATGCATCGACTTTTCAACTTTCAAGCGTGGAAATATTACAGACGACAGAAATGTCAAAGAGGTACGCTTAGCCAAATATATTAGAAAAATGTCAAAAGGTCGTACACGAAGTGGTTGCTTTCAAGTTACAATCCTCCTCGTGATGAATAGTATGTCCGCCGAATTGGAAATTCAACATCCAACAACAATGGCGAGAACCAATCGACTTCTGTTCTGAATTACAACTTCAACTATTTCCCACTTGTAATGTTCAACCCAAGCAGCAGTCAATGGTCAAGTTGGACAGAAGCTGAAGCTTGAGACTTTTTCCTGTTGGCTTTTTCCCTCCTACTGTTGTATGTACGGACACATCCTGGAATTCCTTCGGAGAAACAATGAGAAAATCATCCCGGTCTCGCCATTTTATAAACATCTTTCAGTTGGATATGGGCCGACGATTTTCCCCGATATAGCTGCGGCGAGAGCGGTCGTAAAGCTCGGGTCTTTTGTCAAGGAAGATGCCATCTGTTCTATCAGAAACTGCCTCAGTTCTGGTGAATCTACTTTCGGTTGCGAAATTTTGACATCGGTTTCCAGCTCGGGTTTCATCAAGTCGAGAGTTACAGTTGGTCCAGATGAACTAAGAGAGGCCGAGTGGGGAACTGAACCAAGAGTAGCACGGGCATTTGAGCCACATGTTGCCTCAAGTAGAGATGAACTTGGATGGTTGTGCTCGCCTTCATAAGTCGCGACTATGACCGATTGGTCTTCGGCACTTCTTTGCACCTGAAATCCCAAGAGTGATTCTTTGAGTATTCTTCTTAGTCACATTTCATTTGCACGTCAAATTAGAAAAAGCAAGCAGCTAGCAAATAGTAGTTCTGTCATAATATGAAATTTCCCAAAATGAACAAAGTGGGAATGTTCTTGGCTGACCTTCTTCTTGACAGGGCAGCTTGGAGCGTGAGCGCATTTGAAGTAGGCTCTGGGACAAGGGTTGTCCCTGGTGATCTTTTGTCCATACTTTCTCCACTGGTGTCCATCCTTCACAATCTGCAAGACACACGAGATAGCTCAATGAGCAAAAACTTGAGAAGCTAGAGCTCAACTCTCGAACAAGACTGTATGAAAGCATTTTTGACTTACAAGGCTGGTATCCGATGCTTTGGTCCTATAATAAACCCTCGTGATCTTCGCCTTGATTGTTTCTTCCCTTGGTTTCTTGCACAAATCATCATCATCCGTCGAGCTGCTCTCCGAGGCTTTATTAACTACTATCTCATTGCCACTGTCGTCAGCGCTGCTCTCGGACTTTCTTTTCTTGGATGACGGGCTGATCTCCCTCTCAGCATTCTTGCTCATAATTCCAATCACCTGGTTTCTCAAGGCATTGTAGTTCTCACACACCGTCATCAGCATTTGAGTGAGCTTCTTGTTTTCAGCAGCCAGCCGATTCAGTTCCTCCACTAAAGCACCACTCTGGAATATGGAACCAAAACATGACAGTAAAATTAGCAACGCCGATTGGTATGCGAAATTACAAAAACAATGACGCGACACAAGTTGCTGCTTTGAAGCATGTAGAAATCGTTACAGCGACAGGCGTTTGTTTGGAAATAACTTCAAAAAGAGGGTGGGCACCATCACTAATTCAAAGCAGATTTTAGTAAAAACATGAACCTTAACATACTTAATGTTCTTTTTTTTTGGAAATTATCATTTCTATAAGGGAAAGCCGGGTGATTAAGAAGCTTCAGAGGATCATCACGAGAGGCTTAAGATTAAGCACTTACACGACATGCATACAAATTATGGGCTAAGACTCGAGTATGACAAAATAAAATACAGCAAGAGAAAAGGAGCTAACCTGATCTTCGATCCCTGAACAAGTCCTTCCCAACTCCATGAAGTCGCACTCCACCACGTTGGTCTGAAAAAGCAAGAACCGAGAAGAAGAAATATCAGAGATTTGCGTCAAGAAACGAGAAAGGCCGATGCTTCTGCAATTTGCCAAGATGTTTTTGAGTGAAAACGGCACAAGCAACTTACCGGAGCTCGATCTGGGCCTTGCAAAGGCCTCATGCTGAGGTCCAAAGACGAAGTAATCCAGGAAGAAGAACCCATGTAACAGCACAGGCGCCGAAGACGAGGGTCGTCGGAGTTCTTGTTCTTGCGGTATCAGAGATGGAGCTCGCAGAAAGCAAGTTGAAGACGGTGACCAAAGCAAAAGCAAACTTCTTCAGAGACAACCCTTTCGAATGCCGAAGCGCCGAATTTATCGCAAATTGACCAAGTGCAGAGCTGAACTGGGGACGCGCATATTTATACAGCGCATACCAAGAAGAAGGCTTCGGGCCGGCTTTGAGGAACGAGGGAGGAAGGAGGGAAGAGGCCGATAAGATCGAGAGCTGTAAAAGAGCTGTCAACGCTTTATTTTCCACGTGATCTTAAAAGAGGAATCCAATTACTGAAATCACAATTATTAAATAAATGAGAATGTTTGCATATATACCATGATCGATTGCTAAATACATATATATTACCATGATTCGCTTATAAAATTGATAGGCTTTTGTCAACGGATCTTTCCTATGCAATTAATGAAATATTCAGAATAAGTGTCCCGAAACATTCCTTAATCAGATCCACATAAGCATATCGAGCAACACGATAAAATGACATTTCGAAGCTAAACATGGTATACTATGATCTATAATATTTCACGTTATTCTATATATGAATTCCGCAGATGGGTCTCGATATAATTGCTTTATACGTATTCTGTCATATTTTTCTTTACCCAAAAGAAAAAGGGATCTCTTAAGTATCAACTACACACACGCAAATACAAAAGAGAAAAAGAAACGATCGTTCTGAAAATTCGGCCTTTTTTTTCCTAGTCAATAATCAAACGATTTCGTTTAAGGAAGAAAAGTTGGGGATTGGGTGGGTGAGGGATGGGGATTCAAACGACGAGTCGGTGGAGTCAAATTCTCGGTACCAAGGGGAGGGAAAAGTCAAAGTCAAGCACCACATGGGAGACAAGTATGCGCATGGGGGACATTCAGCGTTGACCTGACGTACCGGCTTTATGGGCAATTTGAATGTGGATGGCGACGACAAGGAACTGTGGGTTTTTGGGCCCCTTTTTCGATTTCACCCAAAAACGTTTTTCGCGTTGCCCTGGTTTTTCTCTGATAGTGCAAAAGGTCGCGTGGGATTCCGCCTTGACCTTTTGAAATCGGATAATTTCGTTCCGTGAAGAGTTGTCCAAGGAATGAAGTTTAGAAAAAGGAGGAGGAGGAGGAGGAGGACGAGACTTGTGTTGGTTTTAATACTCGATCTGAACGATGTGGCTTGCGTTACACCTTAAAAGCTAGAGTCAACAACCCTTTAGAACGTGCCTGATTCTCTTGTGATGTGTTCTCCACCTTCGGTTGAATCGCGTTAATGCCCTGCTTGTTTCCGTGGTAAATTAATGATTCTCCGAAGACTTCTTCCTGAAAACATGTGTCCGCTCGAAAGAATTAGCTAATGAAAAATGTCTTCGCTATGAACTGCGTGATCGACGAGAATATTTCTCGTTCCTTCCTTTTTGTAAGCAATTCGAGCCAACATTTTCGGGAAAATGTCTTCCGAATAATTCATTTTCAGCGAAACACCTCCATTTGTTTCGTGGAGAATGAAAACTGTTTTCTAGAAAACGTAATGATGCGGAAGACTATTCCTTAAAAAGCTATAACTCGTATCGTTTGAAATAATTAGCTAGTGGAAAATATTTTCATTACCGACAACGATTTCTTTCCGAACATCTTCGTGGGCGATGAGAATATCTTTCGCTCGTTCATTTTTCCAAGCGATTCGAGCAATCATTTTTCAGAAAAAAAAAATATTTTCGAAATCATCCATTTTTCACGGGACAAACGCACACTAGATATTAGTCATTATTTGGCGGCGACTATTCTTTTGCCGTTCCTGACAATTATTGGAGATCGGCGATTTACTGTCGAATTGAAATGGGCGGTGCCGCCGGCGCCGCGCGACGTCGGGAGTGAGGTCACCGTCGGTCTTGAAATGATTGGTCACCCCCGTGTCCGGAGTCAAACCCATCATCCCCCCTCCCTATCGCTGTGAAGTGAAAGTCGTGAGAAGACCAGATCGACCCAAAATTACACCAAACAGTGGCACCCACCGCACGCCAGCAAGTGGCCAAGTTGTTGGTGACCGGTCCACCACCTTTCCTTCGATTGAAAGGACAGCACCCGGAGGGGGAAAAAACAGGGGCGAGATCCCATTCAAACACCGTGGGTCTCAGGAAAGGTTCACTTGTTGAAAATCAATCCCCTGCAGAATTCACGTTCAGCAGCAACCCTCTTTTGAATGTGGATAAGGTCAGCCCATCTCCTCTGTTTTGGGTTGCCCTACAAGAAAATTCTCTTCCCTTCCCTTCCCTTCCCTTCCCTTGAAAAATTACAAGGTAAAAAACCAAGTTCAAAATTGCAAAAATTTGTGGAAGATGTGTACCATTCTGCATACTGATATGTTTGTAATTATAAAGGTTCCGGACCGTTCGGGGAAAAGTGCCAAAAAAGTCCTAAACCTTTTGCATTAGTGCCAATTTAGTCATAAACCTTTTTTTGGTGCCAATTCAGTCGTAAACCTTTTGTTTTTGTGCCAATTTAGTCATTCCGATCAATTTTGACCGGAATTTGCCGACGTGGACGCCTGCCGGCCGGTGGCCGGTCACCGGCGCTGACGTGGACAAATTTAATGATATTTTAATATTTTTTTTGAATTTTTATTTGTTTTCCTTTTTTTTTTTTTCAACTTTTTTTTTTGGTCCCCCTCTCCTTCCTCTGGCCGGTCGCCGGTCCGGCGACCGGCCAGAGGCCAGAGGCCGGCGAGCTCGACCTCGCCATGCTGAAGAAATTAAAACGGTAGGCATACTTCACCATGGGTGATTTGGAAATCCAGCACATTATGGAGTTGCTTGATCAAACTTTGCAAGTTTCTGCAAAGGAGAAAAAAATGGATACCTGCTCTGTTAAGTACTTTTTTTTCTGATAAGAAGTGCCTCCTCTTCTGTTGTAGATATGAATTACAAAGAGGTTTACGCAAATCTTCTTTTCATGTGCACTTCGCATGTTGACTTCTTATATGGTTTTGTAATTCTATATACCCTTGTTCAGATCTTCTTTGTTTTAATTTGGTTTGGTTTAGATGTTTCAGTGGCTTTGAATTGCTAATTAACTCACCTAGTGAGGTCAAGTCAATTTATATAACTTCCAACTGCAATATTTTGTCGATTTACTATACGGTGATTTATCGGAGGTATCCTTTCAATTGCCGATTCATATTACTGAATTCAAAGTTGTTCGATGCCCATGCTTCATGCAGGAGCACGTTAACCTTCGTCATGTCGTATAGGATAAACTAGTTGTTATAAAGTGTGTGAAATATCTCAGCACTTACGGCATCACCTCTACAGCAATAACCTCCTCAAAATTGCAAGGTGTAGAAGATAAATACTCTACATCGATAAACGCATGTCCAGTTTGTTTTTCGGGTAAAGCATGGCTCTTAATTGGATTCACGGGAGTTGAAGAGAAGGTGTAATGATTCTTAATTTAAATTTAAAAAATCTTTCCAGTTGCAAATGGACTTGGTTTGACATTATCTAATGTTGAGGTAAATCTGAAATAATGATCCAAATCGTTTAATTTCAAATGAATAGAAGTGCGGCAAATTTTTTTTTCCAATTCTAAATATTTAACATGAAATAGTCTCGCGCTGTCCGCAAGTTCTAATCTTTTCACCTCTTTCTTTTTTTTCTTTTGTAATAGATTATCCACAAGTATTAACCGAGAGAGTGAAGAGCCACACCTCCGAAAACATTATCTAAAATAGAGAATTTTCATATTTGAGATTGGGGCGAGTCGATATTTTTTTTAATCATTATAATCATTGCAGAGACTTCACTAAACTTTTGCCAATCATTGGAGAGGCTTCCGAGTTTGATCGGGAATTTGGAAATGCTAATTGAGATGGATTCCAAATGGGATCTAATAGGTCACATCATGTTCATGAGCTTATTGACTGCACTTGTTAGTGGCTCAATGTTTTAATACGATAATTGTCAATAATTTTTCCCATTTAAATTGACACCAATTTAAAGGATTTAGGACGTAATTGGCACCAAAAAAAGGTTTAGGACTAAATTGGCACCAATGCAAAAGGTTTAGGACTGAATTGGCACCAAAAAAAAAGTTTAGGACTAAATTGACATTAATGCAAAAGGTTTAGGATTTTTTTGGCACTTTTCCCGTATCGCACCCAATAAAGTTTTTTTTTTGGGTCATAAGTTAATTCTCATTGAAAAAGCTTGAGCTCGAGCATACATAATGGAAGCAAAACTTCAGAACATATAAGAGCCCAAAGGACTTGTAGGGGGAGGGGATGAGAAACCCGGCTTGAAGGGAGAACGTTTCGCCTTCGGGTTTTAGCGACCCAGTCTGCCACTCGGTCAGCTTCGTGATCGCAACGGGCTGGATTGAGATCAGAGAAGAGTTTTAGACGGCTCGGGCGTCATTAATAAGCACACTCGCATCCCATCTTTCTCGCGCTCGACACCTCACTCATCAGTTCAGAGTTCTCAGACCCCAACTCTCCCAACACTCTCCGGTTTGTGCTCGCAGGTGATTTAGGGTTTCCACTAGCGTCGCTGCTTTGATCTGAATTGCACCCAATAAAGTGTAAACCGAAGATACAAAGATTTGGGGAAAAAAAGTAAAAGTTAAAAATAAAGAGTCAATAACAAATAAGGAGAATACGTATATAAATAGAGGACTTTTATCATTTACTTTTTGTGCTTTCACAACATTGGAGGTCCTTACCAATTTTTGTTAGGCATGGAGCACCACAAATATCTTGCATGCTGCAACTAGTGTTTGGACAGTCCAAAAACTTGGGCAAAGGATAGTGCAGATGCTTACTCCTACTCCACCTATAGTTGTTACATAGTAGCAAGTCTTCTTTAGTTGGGGTTGACGAGGGTCTTCCATCCACATACATGATGGAACTTAGAGAGGGCGACGCGCTACCCCTTTTTTTTCGTGCGACACGAGCATACTATTCGATGAGGCGTGGCACATATACTAAATTTTAGTTTGAGCACTCGAGACGTGTTCGCACGATAGAGGGTGCGGCAATGACGTGACGTACTGTGCCAATGAGTTGTAGAACGTCGTGTTGAAAATGCTCGACATCGATCTCTCCTGACCCGTCGATTCTCACAATGATTGGAGTGCTTATTGCCCTAATGAAAAAGCATACGGAAGTACCTTCTAAGAACATATGACATGCTGTAATCTGACATTTCTTCAAGGATAAAGTCTACATCTAACGAGCCAGAGAAGTAAAAGCAGAAAGGATCTGAGTTTCTAAAGGGCCCCTTTCTCGTTAATGGGCTTTACCAAACCCCCAGGAGGAGAACCTTGTAAGCCTAGCCCAATTATACCATGTATAAAACTGACCTGTGGGCTGTGGCTGTGAATAACGTTGGGTCCACTCCAAGAAGCAGATTCAACCTTAATTAAGTTCAAATTATTTCATTAAATGGGGTTAAAATAGTATTGTAATCAATTAAGTAACCGCTCCTAATCTGATAACTCATTTTGGGTTTTGGTGGAATCATCCGTTTTGCCACTAATTCCGGGATGCTCTATCCCTATTTTCTCACCAAAAATATATTATCCACATCTAATTTCAAACCACTATTCCCATTCGCCAAAACCATCCACGCTTTGATCCAATTTCAATTTCCGACTACTAAGATTTATTCCGTATCGCCGTTGTTGACCCTCTCGGTTGTCCCGACGTGGTTCTTATTGCCGGGACCCAAGTCCCCAATGCTAGGCTCGGGAGCACAAACCGCGATCCCAAAACGATAGCCTCGATCATGATCGAGCCTTTGGCACTCGATTTGTGTTTCGGATGTTCGGCCCTAGCGCCCAAATTGGGACGACCCCGATGCCGGGTTATAGATGCGTGGGCCGGTGAATAAGGTCCAATGAGATGACCCTTACTGTTGTCTCGCTCACCTAAACATGCCCCGAATCTGACTAAAACCTCCTTACTGTCCTTGGTCTTTATTATGATTTTGGAAACTACATTTCCTCAAAAAAGAAAGTGGAGCAAACTGTTATGGTAAATTCGGAATACTTCAGAATCAGAACCAAGGAATAATAATGTCCATTGAAATCGAAACCTTATGGTGTTTCCGATAATGGTGATATGGCCTCCACCGCCACTTCGCTTCACTGGATGGGGAAGGACTCGGGAAGCTTCGCCATAACCGTAAAACTGAAATGGCTGAACAGAGTCCCAAGGATGTCATACATCAGTCGTGTCCCACCCAACCGCCAAGTGTCCTCCACCTCGCAAATGGCAAATTGTTATTTTCTCCTCCCAACTATTTGAAACTATGAGATATTTCTATGTGCTTGCCGCAACCCTACAGATTCGCCCACTGCTCCGAAACCGTGTCCTACGGATACAGGACAAGAATCGCTCCGTTTCTTTCCGTCTATATCCACTTCTACACCAACAGATGACTTGCATCCACCGTCGATAAGCTTTGTGTTGAGTTCTGTCCTGGAGACTGAAAACCCATCATCTTCCTGCTTATTTTCACAGGGACTCCATTAGTTCTCGAGCTTTTGCCCCCCTCCTCAGGACCCAGATGGGTGACCAGACAGAGCACGATGGAGCACCAAATGGCAAAACAGAGCCTCCAAGGAACGTTCTGTTCGGGAAGTACGAGATGGGGAGGCTGTTGGGTAAGGGCACTTTCGCGAAGGTCTACTATGGCAAGAACCTGTTGACCCAAGAGAGCGTGGCCATCAAGGTGGTCAGCAAGGACCAGGTGAAGAAGGAAGGCCTGATGGAGCAGATCAAGCGCGAGATCTCCGTGATGCGCCTGGTGCGTCACCCCAACATAGTGGAGCTCAAGGAGGTCATGGCCACCAAGCAAAAGATCTTCTTTGCGATGGAGTACGTAAAAGGCGGTGAATTGTTCGCCAAAGTTGCCAAGGGCAAATTGAAGGAGCATGTGGCCAGGAAGTACTTTCAGCAATTGGTTAGCGCCGTTGATTTCTGCCATAGCCGCGGCGTGTCGCACCGCGACCTGAAGCCCGAAAATCTCCTGCTGGACGAGAATGAGGACCTTAAAGTCTCAGACTTTGGCCTGTCGGCTTTGCCGGAGCAGCTCAGGAATGACGGGTTGTTGCACACGCAGTGTGGGACTCCAGCATATGTTGCGCCGGAGGTCTTACGGAGGAAGGGGTACGATGGGGCGAAGGCGGATTTGTGGTCTTGTGGGGTGATCCTGTATGTGCTGCTTGCAGGGTATTTGCCGTTTCAGGACGAGAATATGATGAGAATGTACAGGAAGGTGTTCAAGGCTGAGTATGAGTGCCCACCTTGGTTCTCGCCTGATGCTAAGAAACTGGTTTCCAAGCTTCTCGTTGCAGACCCCGAAAAGAGAATTTCGATTCCAGAGATTATGAGGACCTCATGGTTTCAAAATGGGTTCACTAGGCCAGTGGCTTTCTCTATTGAGGAACAGGAATTGGAGAAAAATGATGAGAACTGCAGTTGCGAGTTGGAGCTGGTGAGATCAAACTCACAGCCGCCTTTTTACAACGCGTTCGAGTTTATATCATCCATGTCGTCGGGGTTCGACTTGTCCAGCATGTTTGAGAGCCAACGCAAGTCGGGCTCCATGTTCACTTCCAAGTGCTCGGCCTCGGCGATAGTTGGGAAGCTAGAGGCGCTGGCCAGGCGGCTGAATTTTGGGGTGGTGAGCTTGAAGGACTTCAAGCTGAAGCTGCAGGGGAAGAAGGAAGGGAGGAAAGGGAAGCTGGCAGTGACAGCGGAAGTCTTCGAGGTGGCGCCGGAGGTCGTGGTGGTCGAGTTCTCAAAGTGCGCCGGCGACACTCTCGAGTACAAGAAGTTCTGCGAGGAGGATGTCAGGCCTGCGCTCAAGGACATCGTGTGGAGTTGGCAGGGGGAGAATGACTGTCACTAACTAACCGTGAGGTCAAGACTCAAGGGCCATCCATTAGAGTAGGAGCTTAAAGTAGACCGGATATAATCAGTTCACATTCCATTTCTTGGGAATTTGCACTTTCATTTTTATCCATGGTTACGCAGCAGTTTGTTCTATGTAAATATTGTTCCTATGCCGGTCCGTGCGATCGGGTATTGTTCATATCGAACTCGTGTGGTCAGTAAGCTGGCACAGATTTTCCAGGGGATGGGAATATAGCTTTTTGGGTGACCTTCATTGTAATCTACTGGTTTTTGGAAATTGAGTTGTGGATGATATAGCTCTCTTTCCGTGTAAGTTGGCCCCTAAGTCATGTGAATCTTATCTGATATCCGTGGTGGCGGCTGATTTGCCGAAGGATGGAGCTGAGATGCATAGTCTCTCGTTGCAGTCTGGGGCCTCCATGGAGGCTCAGTCTATCAATCAAGCTTTTGGTGGATGTGGAGATTAAGGCTAAAAAGAAAAGGAAATCGAATTTGATCTCCTGATGAAGCACACACTGGTTGAAAAATGATGCCCTGAAGACAAAATGCTGTCAGGAAATTAGAAAATGACGTGGCAAGGTGAAAATACCTGTCTCCGCTAAACCTTACTCTTGATATTTAATTAGCCAATCATACTATCTCAGAATCACAAGGGTGCTGATCACATGATTCATGACTTCTGTTGTCTGCTAACCATTTTCTTTATTGCTATTTTCTTGTTCTCCTCTGCTTAGACATCATTCACAGGTTATTTGGATAGATTGTTCAGCTGGCACATCGACCGGGTTGTCACTTTCTGTCATGCCAGTATTGTCGCATATACCTCTACTCTGATGCAATTCTTGGGCAGCCATATTTCTAACGACACTTTGTTTAACAATTAGAAACTACCCCAGGAAGAATCTAACACGAGCGGTAATGTAAGCAATCAATCTGTGGTCTGGTCTTTTCTCTCTTCTGTTCCTTCCAAATAGTGCAACTTTGTTCAGGAGGCAGGAAGAGGACTTACAAAAAGGAAAGGGAGAGACCTAAAAGATGGTCTCCATGACTAGTGGTTGCTATGCTTGCAGTTGGGGTGTGAAGGATTGACTGGTAGTTAATGTTTCTCTTTCGTTTGCCGCCATAATTGTTCCTCATCCGATGCTACGTGGTGGCCACTGATCACCCAGAGATTCAAGGCTTTATCAGGGGTCTGGACCCTGCAAAGAGGCACCCAAGAAAGAGAGGTGTTTTGACTTGTCAATCCCTCTCTGGTCCATGGCTCCTTTGTGGAAATAGACCCCACGAGAAAAAAGCAAGTGTGAAAGACCCCAGAAAAAGTAAGCGTGAAAGGCTCGTCGGCCTGGCCTTCTTTTGCTTATCCTGAAGACAAGTGGTGCCCAGCTTTTGCCAGCCACGGCTGCTGCTGCAACTTGGTTTTTCTTCTTGGGTATGTGTGCGTTTTTTGGAATTCTGAGCATTCCCTTTGTCAATTTCTATAGTCCTTATTAATTAGGATGGGGATAGCATCATGACTTTCGGGTCAGTCCCGCTGAGGAGATGTGCCACCTCTCTAAATTAGAAATCGAACTGAATATCGCTTTAAAATGAAAGAAAGGATATATCTATCTTAAAACGAAAGAATATCGATCCTGAATATAATTGAAATTTTTCCGAGCGAAACTTGTGGTTGAAAGTGATATTCAATCCTGCCGAGGAGATGTGCCGCATCTCCACATTAGAAATTGAACTGGATATCAGTTTCGACCATTAATTACGTTCAGAAAAATTTCAATTATATTCGGGGTCGATGTCCTTTTATTTTAACAACACAATTAACACAATGACCAACACATTCATTTTTTTGGATCCGAAACTATACCATTAAAGTAAAAGTGCCACGTAACGACAAGACAATATCATAAGCTCTTACAAATTTAAATGTAAGCACCCATAAAAATTTCACGGTTTAGATGCATTTCATAAAATAAGTCGAATCAAAATTTATGTAGAAGAGTCCGTGCTTTGTTGTTGTATAAGTAAAATCTCTTATAATCTTAGTTCATTAAAAAATGAGACATTATAATTATGTGAACGTTGAAAACCCGCTTTTAGTCATCTTGTCAAATTCCACTTAACCTTACGGGTCCATCGAGAGTGACTTTTTAATACTAATTTTCTTAGTTTTTTTTTTTTTCCAAATGTTACGACTTGCACCATTTAACTTTTAATTGCAAAACACCCGAAAGGTTTTTGAAATATGCAAATATTGATTTTTTAAAAAATTGAACGGTTACTTTTTTTTAAAAAAAATTTGGTTAAGGGAAAGCAAAAAGTATAAGCAAATGTACCCTCAATTGTTTTATGATTATATTGCTTTGGGTAACTTCCTAGTTCCTACCAAATTTGTAATACATGAAAGTTGTGTAGAGGGAGGAGAAGCAGCCAAACGAGGAAAATAGTACAAACGAACACATAAAACGATTTCCCGGAATTACTGGCCAAAGGTTGGTACATGGAGGAAGGAAGGTGCCTTTCTAACGTGGGCACCCCTCGTGTTGTAACCATCTTTCACAATGTTTTGATCATAGGACTGCCAGAGCAAACACTTGGCGTGATCACATCGCAACATCCGTGAGCCGACGATTCGTGTTTGTTGATCATGCTCGCTCATGACTGCTATATGTGTCAATTCGTGTTGTTACATAATTTTAAGAACAAGCAAAAACATGTCAATTCATGTCGGTTGCGAGTTAAATAGTGTCGTGTCAGTACCTGTACATATCCGTGTCGGTCCACAAATGTCGGGGGCCCCCTGCAAGGGACGGCAACGTCGAGTGTTGTTGGAGCTAACGTGGACCTGACACCTGTTGGCTCACCAGAAATCAGTGAAGCTTTTGATTGAAAAGACGCAAAATTCAAGGGGTTCATGAGAAATGAATCATGGCGGCCATGCATGATTGCAATAACCTATTTGATTATCAGGCCAGGGGATGGGATGATCCAGAGATTGAGCCGATCGCATTGCATAAGGGGGAAAGAGTGGGGAGACGACAAAAGCAATGGATTTGATTCGGATCAGGATGTCAAATTCAAATCCATTTTGCCAAGCGATGGGATGACGTGGTAGTAGCTCGTTTGGTTTGATTACCGCGGGGCTTTCCATGTATCTGCCACCTGTGTAATGGCGATTGATGTGAACGAAGCGATAAGGTACACCTAGGGCCAATACTATCGAGAGAAATTGACATCCACACCCATATTTTAACATGATCTCCCGTTATGTAACTCGTCAAATCGAAATTGATTTTTTTTGTTGTTGTGAGTTTTCAATCGTGACATATAATCTGTTTGAAAATGCGAAGTTAGATTGAAATCGAAGTGCGAGGATTAGCGCAGAACACTATTCGGCTATATGGGACGAGTAGTATTTCGTGTCTAGATATAATTTGACGACGGATAAGTGATAGACAAATCGTCGCACAACTTTATTGTACCGTGCCGCGACGTGCAATAATCAGTGCCGATTCTCTTTCTCTATTCAGTGAACGGTAATTTTTATCGTATCCGCAAATGATGAGATCGAAAATGTAATAACATCGTGTACAGCAACCATGCATTATCGGCCCCGCGAATCTTTTGCCCGAGCGATTTACCCGACGGCTGCGGGATTGACAGACCGTGGTGACTCGATGGGATTAGAGAAAAAGGGCCACGTGGGAAGCAAAGTGGCCGAAACCTCGTAATCTGGGCCGATAGCTAGAATTCTCTTACGGGCCCATATGATATTGGGCCTTGAATAGTTGCGCCTTGTCAAAGGCATTGTAAGGCCCGCGATTGCAGTCATAAGGCCCGCGCAACTATGAAGGAAGGGGAGCAAAAAAAAAATCACAAGACGGCCCACCGCGCTACACAATAGAGTCACCTTGCCAAGTCCGAGTCAACCAATTCATGAAACACAACCCGTACAAAGAGACTAATTAGGTTATCAGTTATCACCTTTGAGATCGAGACTAATCCGCTTTTAGATGCTATAACCAACTTATTTCATGGTCCGCCTCGACGATCAACTCCAAGCATCAGCAGGCAAATTTCCCCATGTCCAAACCATAGTTTTTCGTTTTTCTTTTTCTTCTTCTTTCTTCTTTCTTTGCTCTTGCCCCCCGGAGCCCCCCCGTCCAATACGAATACGTTCCGGGGTGGAAAACGGGTTTCGGTTTTCGGCAGGCAGATCCCCCCGAAAACGGAGGGCTCCGAAGGCCAGGTTCACGATCACGTTCGACATCGGTTTGCATTAAAGCGGGTGTCCTTGTCTCTTCGATCTCCTCAAATCTTTTGCAGCAAAGAGTCACGAGGTCATCTTGCTTTCGGATAGATATAATGCCCAATTTTCCCAGTGCTCTCGACATGCTCATCAATGTAGTCCACAGTGCAGCATTTGCACCCACTAAAATAAATTAGTGATCGGAGAATCTGAAACGTGACCCCCGCATATTTATGACAAAGGTGGCAGCCTCTCGCCCCCTATTATTATTATTATTTCGGCAGCCCTATAGGCTATGGGGGCACTCGTGGGTTTTTGTCGTTTAGCGTGCTTTTGTCGCTGTCCACCCAAAATACTTCCATTTCCATCCGCACATGAAAAGAGAGAGAATCCAACCCGACAAGACCATTAACAGCGAAACCCCCGGTCCGATCAAATCTGGAGACGCAATCACCACCGCTCATCAAATCTAACGGCGCGGGTGAACCGCACGGATCACATGCGTCCGTCGTGGGGGTTGGGCCCCGGTCCCGCTGAAGGAGAGCACAATCGGGTGGGACCCCGGAGGATCGTCCCCCTGCTGGGAAAGCCAGGACTGAAAAAGAAAAAACTCGGATGCGCAACATCAGCGGTGGACAGCGAAAAGAGCGGGCGACCTCCCGTTCTGCTGCTTCTTCTTCTGCAGCAGGATCGCGCGGGGGCTGGGGTGGGGCCCATCCATCTGCTTCCCCTTTTTTTGCCTACGTGGCGGATTCTCACCGGCTTGGACGCACGAGCAGCGCGGCCTGTGGGGGCCCGCGTGAGGTTTGGGACGAGGAGGAGGGAGGAGGGGGGCGATCTCCGACTGCTGCGCGGATTGGACTCCTCCCACCCCCGAGTTCAAATTCACGCGAGCCGAAATGAGCGAAGCTCAGGTAGATATTTCTCCCTCCCTCCCTCTCTCTCTCTATATAGAGAGAGAGAGTGTGTGTGTGTGTGTCACAGAGCTCTCGAAGAAGAAGGTGAAGAAGAAGAAGAAGACGACGACGACTCCTCGGCGCTCTTCAGTTGATTGAGGGTGGCGGCCTCTTCCTCCGTTCGCAGAACCCGAGGTGCGCGTCCCCTCTCCCCAGTGTTTTCCTGTCCGGAGCAACCGCCGGTTTCTGATTCTCCGGAGCTTTTTCGGTTGCCGCGGGTTTCGCGACAAGCGGTTTTGCCTTTCCGTGTCGATGGAGTCGCGAAGAGGAGAGAGCGTTGTGTCTTTTTTGTTGAGCTCTGATGAATGTTGATGGGATAGCGACTGATGGGCGGGCGCCCGTTCCCCGTGATTGCTTTTTAGATGGAGCAATGAGTTGGATTGGCTAGAGCTAGCCGTACTGCATGGTTCTCGCGCTTAATTGATTGGGTGATTCTCTTGCACTTTGCTTCTCTGGGCTTTGATTCGTCCATCCTGGGCTTGCAGGATAAAGCAGCAAGAGGACGTCTTTTGATGGCTTCCGCGTCTGGGCAGCCGCAGTTCATCGCGAGCACGGGGAATCACGGCTTCTACGATGCCCCGTTGATCCAGAACTCCGAAGATCAGATCGTCGTACCCGACGTGAGAACCGATACTTTGAGCATTGTCACTTTCATCCCATTTAGTTCTTTTCTTTTCTTTTCTTTTTCCAGCTTGGGGTGGGTGATCAGCTTACGATTCCATGTGAACTTAATCGTTGCGCCTTTATGCAATCTGTAGCTCAAAACAGTGAAGCACTGTTTTCGGTGTTCCCATCTTTCAGTGAGTCGCCTTGAGGGGTAGAGAACTCTAGCTAAGATCTCAAATTTAGAAACACTCCCTTAGCAGATAGAGTTTTCTGTCGGGCATGCACTCATTTTAGCTTGTCTATAAATAACTCGCTGAGCGACAAATAGGATGGGATGCCTGTCCGATCAATCATTTATTCCTACCAACTTCTAGGAACAATAAATTTGACGTCACTTAACTGCTCCATGTGCAATTTTTCCATGCAGAGGACGAGCTGGAAGAACATCTTTGCATATATTGGTCCAGGATTTCTCGTATCAATAGCTTATATTGATCCTGGAAACTGTAAGATTATATCATTCAAGAAAATCTTTTGTTGTCACAACTTGCGAACTCTTCTGCAGTTGTACTTAGAATAGCCTTTTGTCTCCAATGATGCAGTTGAAACGGATCTACAGGCTGGAGCCCAATACAAGTACGGGGTACGTGTAACTTTATCGATTCATGGCCCTATTATTGTTGAACTCAGACTCCGAGATTTAGTAACTTTGGAACTTCTTGTAGCGTAGTCTTCGAAATTAAGAGTGAGGATCCCCCAGCAATAGCATATTGTTAGAGTGGTATGTGAGCATGAAGTTCCTGCCATACTTCACGCGGACTGATGACTGAATGGCAGTCTTTAGTTTCACCGTTGTTGAGACATAAGATGGCCTGATACATCAAACAATGATGTTTCGAGCAGAGAATTACAGGGAGCTTGCTGCAAGGTTCATCTGTATGTGATACATAATTAATTTACTTCATTCTATGCAGTTGCTTTGGATCATTTTGGTGGCTTCTTGTGCTGCTCTGATTATTCAGTCTCTTGCAGCCAAACTAGGGGTTGTTACAGGCAAGATCTCCAGACAAGTTACTTTCTGCATCTTTACGAATGCCAACATGCTCTTCTTTCATGTCCTCCTACGTGAATTCTTAAAATTCTGTTTTTTAAATTGTTCGCCACAGGGAAGCATCTAGCAGAACATTTCAGGATGGAATATCCTAAGTTGCCGAATTTCATATTATGGGTTCTCGCTGAAATTGCTATAGTTGCCTGTGACATTCCTGAAGGTAATATTCTCTGTTGTGGCCCCAACAGATTTTAGTGGATCTAACTTGTGGCACTAGTCAGAGGCTTTGCGTCAGAAAGTCCAACCCAAAAGCTTAAACTATTAGGTAGAGGGAGACCACATAAATATAAATAGCATTTATGGCCCGTTGTCAATCGATGTGGGACAATACTTCAACAACCCCACCCAGATACCATGTTAGAAAGTCCAACCCAAAAGCTTAAACTATTAGGTGGACGGAGATCACATGAATATAAAGAGCATTTAGGACCCGTTATCAATCGATGTGGGATAATACTTCAATACTTTGATAGTTGCAATCACCATGGCTGCACAACTAAGCACATTGCATCTTCCACATTCGTCGCCCATATTTATTTTTTAGGATATGCAGCTCATAAACCGAACTTTTAAGTGTCCTTTTATTCGCTCCAGTGATTGGAACTGCCTTCGCATTAAACATGCTCTTCAAGATTCCAGTATGGTGTGGTGTTCTATTGACAGGGCTCAGCACATTGATGCTTCTAGCATTGCAGCAGTATGGGGTACGATGACAATTATTCATGTCTATCTTATTTCAGGCTAAAGTTCATTTCCTCGATTCTTGATATCTAATAAGATAGATAAAAAGTACAGCAGTGAATACGTTAATGCAGGGGTATGTTGCGAGAAGATCATAGATTAAAAAGGTCGAACTTGATTTTGGGTTTACCATTCATGTGGTTTATGTTTTACAGGTCAGGAAACTTGAGTTCTTAATTGCTTTTCTTGTATTAACAATCGCGGCCTGCTTTTTTGGGGAGCTTGGCTATGCAAAACCGGTTGCTAGTGAAGTCCTTGATGGGCTTTTTGTTCCCCAACTAAAAGGAGATGGCGCAACAGGTCTTGCAATATCATTGCTCGGGGCTATGGTTATGCCGTAAGTATCTTACTTGTGCAGATATATTTATGATCTTTTTTTCTGCTCAAAATTCATCCGATACTTGTTGGGTTCTATTCATTCAGGCATAATTTGTTCCTCCATTCGGCGTTGGTGCTTTCACGAAAAATACCACGATCGGTTCGTGGCATCAAAGTAATTTCTTTTGTAACTCTACAGTTTCCACAGTGTATTCGTAGTAATTTCATGCGGTGGTGCCTTGAGTGTGCAACCATCTTTCGCTTTTAGCCTGTACCTCTTTGAGTTGCCCAAAGGCTTGATTGCGATGTCTCCTCTTTCATAGAAGTTTTTTTTGTCAAAGGTAAAGTCCATGTTGATCTCCCCAAGACCCTAAGACAATTAAAATCACCGTAGTACTCCATTTCCACCAAATATCTTAGATCGACTCATATCTAGTCATTCGCTTGGCTCTTTGCTGACAAATTCACGCATTGACCAATTCATGGACATTATTATAAAAACAAGCATTTATTGAACCCAAAAAGATCCTTCACTTGTTTTGGTTCATACAGTAGGTTAATGGAAAGACATAGAGAATTTTATATTTTTTCTCAAGTCTCTTTCTCTGGCTGTGATAGTTAGCTCAGCAAACTAATGGTAAGCATTTGTGGCACTTTCGGGCAGGAAGCTTGCAGGTTTTATATGATAGAAAGCGCGTTTGCTCTCATGTTGGCATTTCTCATTAATATCTCAATCATATCCGTAAGCGGTGCAGTTTGCAACTCAACAAGCTTGAATCCACAAGATCAGGCTGGCTGCCAGGATTTGGACTTGAACAAAGCCTCCTTTTTGCTAAGAGTATGTGATTTAGCAAGATATTATAAAAGAAATATCTTACAAGTGCTGTTTGGATATTTTGTTACGCATTTGTCAATTGAAGGAAGTATAGCCATAATTTGAATGAATTTTTGCAGAATGTTTTAGGTCGTTGGAGTTCTAAACTCTTTGCAATTGCTTTGCTGGCATCGGGTCAGAGTTCTACCATAACAGGAACATATGCAGGGCAGTATGTAATGCAGGTATTCGCGAGTTGATTCTCTACAGTATGGAGGTGAAATAATCTAATTCTGCTTCCATTTTTTAAGTTCAATTTTGCCATTGTAAATTCGAACACACTTGGCATTGGGGTCAATTAAAGTATACGAGAGAGAACGAAAAAATATTGTAACTAGGTACTTTTTGTGGAATATCTATATTTTACCTGAACAGTCTTAAATAAAAATTAGGGCTTAAAGCGGTTCAAAATACCTTTCGCAATCAATTTGTTTGACAAGCTTTTTGTTTCCTGCGAGTTCTTGTGCATTTTGTGATTGAGTTGTTTAGTGGCCTTTCTTTGAGTCTCTAGCTTGTTTACTAATTTTTGCTTATTGGATGTCACTGCCAGGGCTTTCTAGATTTACGATTGACACCATGGGTTCGGAACTTTCTAACAAGATGCTTAGCAATAATTCCCAGTTTGATTGTTGCACTAGCTGGTGGCTCTGCAGGAGCTGGAAAACTAATTATTATTGCATCGGTAACAATCCTTGCCTTATAGTTCTCTTTGACTGCTAACACGCTGGTCATATAACAAATGACCATGGCTTTAAGTTTTGAAGTATGGCCAATTGATGAGGTGTCCTAGAGGCATCACATCTTTTGACTCCCAAGAGAGTGAATGTGCAGGAATTTTTTGAGGTGCCTATTTCATATTCAATTGGTTGATTTGTTCTTGCAGATGATTTTATCATTTGAACTTCCTTTTGCTCTCATTCCACTTCTGAAGTTCACCAGTAGCAAGACCAAGATGGGGCAATATGCAAACTCAATAGCGGTAAAGCCTAATGCCGGCTATAATTGCTACTGTACTGGATGTTATATTATTAATTAGAGTAGATTGTGAACAATCTCCCTCTCAAGTGGATGTAGAAGTTTGCATGGTTATCAGTACTAAGCATGATGATACAGGCGACTACTGTCCTCGATTACTCAAGCGGGGCATCAGAGAATCTACAGACTGCTCATGCCTTTGCCATCTCTCTCTCTCTCTCTCTCTCCCTCCCTCCCTCCCTCCCCGTGGTTTGTCTTCTTCCTCTCACTGATTTTGTATTCTCTTCAGGTAGCTGCAGTCACTTGGATGATTGGTTCTCTGATAATGGGCATTAACGTATATTACCTTGTGAGTGGCTTCGTTAAGTTGCTCCTTAATAGCCACTTGAAACTCGGGGCCAAGGTTTTCTGCGGAATTCTGGGCTTTTCGGGGATGGCTGTGTACTTGGCTGGAATCATATACTTGGTACTACGCAAGAATAAGGAGGCTTCTCATCTTCTGGCCTTGACAACAGCCGAAAGCTGGCAATCGGACAATGGACAAGGCGACGCATCAATGTTCAGTCACCCACGAGAAGATATAGTAAGTATGCAGTTGCCTCAAAGGACTCGGGTGGATCTTGACTAATCATTGTTGGGAATGCAGAGAGAGAGAGAGCAGCTTTAACTTTCAGAAATAAAGATGAACATAACATTAGTCACTGTTGACTCTAATATGAAATACCAAGGTTTTTCATTTGTAAATTGTGAATGACCTGTTCCACTCTTTTAACTTGTTTTGGCAGTATATTTAGATGCAATCAAAGAGTATTTGTCAGACCTGTTAGAAGCCACGGTCCTTTCACATTGAGAGTACACCTCTTCGTTCCTGACACCCTGTACAATTTAGGATGGAACTCTTCTAGATGACTACTTGGCTTCAGTCCCATTAGAATTCTTTGGGGGCAGCTTCTGCATACTGCGCCTCAGATGCTGACAATGCCCAAGACTGTAAGATGGAGTATACGACACTACACGCTCACCCACCAACCCTCCTTATAAATCAATGACATAAATTAATGGATGTGATAATAATGATTAGATTCAGGATGGAGCTCTTGTAGTTTATTGTTAATCCTGTAAAGCCTTATCTCTGCCGTTCAATAATAGCAATTCCTAATCACGTTTTCAACTACCAACACGACCTGTATCACGAGGACAACTACTGAAAACGAGGTCAAAACATTCTTATGAATGTGTAATTTAAAATATAAGTGGGTCAGTATTCGACCACTTAACTCGACATATTATAGTGGTATGTTCGAGAGATTAGGATTCGAGCCGTGGCCAGAGACGGTCTTCAATTTCATCGACTCAAACAGTGGAAAATGCTTCCATGGACAGACAAATCGAGGCAACGAGTCCCATGTATTTCAAGGTCTAGATCTCAGGAAGAAAATCTGGACAGTAGGGAAGAACATGATAAGACTGACCTTCAACATGGATTTTACCGTGAAAGATAAGAAAATCTAACGTGTGAATATGCTGCTCGGGATGGTAATTGATATTCCATTTATGCCAGCGATGACTTACAATGATTGGATCGACAACTTCCATTCCAATACACAACTCAGGGTTGATATCTCCTGGTTTGAATAAGAAAAAGTACAAACAAATTCTCACGCATCGGTCTCATATCTCCGAATTAAGAATGTGCACCATGACGGATCTAGATCATGCCTGAATACGCACCGAATCTTCCGGCGGGGGAGGGACCGGTAGGTGACCTTTCTCCTGCAAGCTCTTGACGGTTTCGTACAGGCACTGCTTCACCGGGGTGAACTCGAGCCCCAAGTCTCTCAGCTTCTGGTTGGAGAATTTGTATGGTTTGGCTCTTGGATTCACCTCATCAGAGCACCTGCACATGGGGGCCATTAGAACTTCAGCTGAAAATGACCCAGACCTATTCTCAACACGTTACATGGATTCAACAAACAAACAAGAACTAAAGTGACTTCATGCGTTCGAGATTGATGGAAAAATTGTCCACCAACATGTGATGTCTTGTAAGGATGGAAGAAGGGAAGAGAAAATGACTGATCAAAGTTATTCAGGTCCAAAGCATCGATCGAACCATGGTCCCTGCAAGCTTAGCTTCTCCATGGTGGGATGGAAGAAGCAAGACGTGTACGAATGGTAGGTGAAGATGCACAGCAGGGCCCAATTCAGAGAAAGGGAGACATCGATTGGGTTGGGGGAGTTAGGTGAGGACACTTCTCCTCCACACAGACAACGTTTCTGGTCTTGCATCTCATCAATGTCTCGGAATCATTATCTTCTCTGTGTGGTAAGTCAAAAGGTCGGTACAACAACTGCCCCACTACCACAAAAGAAAAAACTGGACCCGAAAAAAGAGTAAAAAAAAACATAATGGTGTCCGTAGGAGAATAATATGCCGCTCACAGTATCTTGTTCCTTTTATAAAAAAAATTAATACCGTGAAAATCTCTAAACTGATATACCTATTACAATTTTATTCTGAACTAATTTTTTTGATCACGAAAAACCTCAAACTAATATACCTTTGATAAATCTATCCCAAACTATTTTTTTTACCACAAAAAACCCCACACTAGTACGCTTGATTTTACCTTGAACTAATTTTTTGACCACCAAAAATCTCGAATTAGTATACTTGTGACAATTTTATCCAAAATTAATTTTTTTATCAATAAAAACCCCAAACTGGTACATTTGTGACAAATTTACCCTCCGTTAGTGTCCATTAAATTGGTTTAATATCACGAAAAATCATAAATTGATAAACTTGCGACAAATAGATGGGTAAAACCCCAATCTGGTACACCCGTCAACTATCACGTGTCATCAAACTCAACAATTTGATAGTAAAATTTAACGGAAACTAACGGAGGGTAAATTTGTCATAGGTGTACCGGTTTGGGGTTTTTGGTGGTAAAAAAATTAGTTCAGGGGAAAATTGTTGCAGGTGTATCAGTTTAGGGTTTTTTATGGTTAAAAAATTAGTTCGGAGTAAAATTGTCACATGTATACCAGTTTGAGGTTTTTTGTGGTAAAAAAATAGTTTAAGGTAAATTTGTCACAAATGTACCGAATTGGGGTTTTTCGTGGTATTAACTCTATAAAAAAATTACAAATTTTTTTTAGTTTTGTTTTACTTTTCTTTGTTCATTTTCTTAGTTTTGAGATAATGATAATAGGTTTGCGTCATGAAGCTCTCAGCAGAATTATCTCAAATTTCCTCCCTGTTGCCCTCACCAACTACGACGCACCTGGCAATTGGAACTTACATGGATGATCCGACACCCCACGCCTTCAGTCGGTCCAATCTTTATGCCCAAAAATATTGCAAAATCGACGCTTGGACCACATTAGTCTTGAGTAAGTCTAAGAACTTATCGTTCAAAGCTATTTTAAACATTGAAATCATTTTACTCATTATGTAAATGTCAGGCTCCACCAAATTTACCATGGGCTGTAACCTTTGTTTTAACTATCATGTACACTTACAGTAATCAATCTCAGGACTACCAAAGTTTTTAGCAATCTCTTATCAAAATGCTTGTTGAGGATCGTAGTAAAAGCATCGAGAATAGAAGTGAACCGTCCATAAAAGATGACTTACTTGGTCGGGAAGGGATACTCGGGGAAGAACTTGGCGAGGATTTCCACCACGTCGCCGCGGTGGAGGACGCTCTCGGCGCACAAATAGCGGCCCGAGGCAGATGGGGTCTCGAAGACGAGGATGTGAGCGAGCGCGACGTCCTTGACGTGCACGTACGCTTGGACCGAGTTGGCGTAGGTCTTGGCTGACCCGGTCAAGTACTTGAGGATGTGGATGATGCTCGCGTTGATCGTCGACTGAAGCAACGGTCCGAGCACTAGCACGGGGTTGATCACCACGAGGTCGACCCCTCTCTCCTTCGCCTCCTCCCAAGCAGCCTGTTCCGCCACCGCCTTGCCGTAGCAATACCAGTTCTGCGAGGTTCAAATATAGGATCTATGTCAATCATGGGCAATTAGTACGTGTGGGCAAATGCTGGATATGTGGATGGTAACGAGCATTATAACTAATCAAATATGACCTTGGTGCTCTTGCAAAATTCGAGGTCGCTCCAACAAGACTCGTCCACCACGACCTCCGGACCCCGGTTGGGGTCCATGGTAACTGCACCGATGGAGGAGGTGAACACCACTCGCCGGACCTTGGCCTCCGCCGCCGCGACGATCACGTTTTTTGTCCCGATCACTGCCGGCTCCACCATTTGTTCCTTCGAATTCGAACGACAAACAGATTGAGACCACCGAGACGTTCTGAGTGCAGTGACAACATCTATATATGGTCGCGCGTGACGTTTAATGTGGGATTTTATGAAAATGCAACTAACGTGCGGAGATGAATCAATTATCAAATACATGTCTGATGGTCGACGTCACCATGATCGTAGCGTGAGAAAGATGCCGGTATCTCTTTTAAGTGGGGGCCACCTAACACATCATAGCGAGGTAAGCCAATCAAGCACCGGCACGTATTAGGTTTGATGTCGCTTTCGATGTTTGGTCCGGCGTCCATATGGTTTTGGTTGGTGGGAGGAGATAAAAAACCAGAAGAAAGAGGACTCATGGTCAAAATCTTTACTCTATTCTATCTCCTCCCTCTGATGATACCTCCCTAAATCGACCCGAATGATGGTCGGAAGATCTTTCAAGGCATGCACACTCGTCAGATGCAACATGGGATGAAAAGGGTCGTCTACAATTGCCAAAAAGAAAAGCCAGTTTCACGTGAATTCATCAGTTCAAGATCACAGGATTCGCGTAATCAGTTCCAAAACGTAGTCCCTGTGAACTGGAACGTGTCTCGGCCATCTGTCCCTCGAAAAGACCGAACGAAATGCCATGCGTCGAAAGCTTAGAAACCCCCAGTCCAACCCTGCCCAGGACCGGAAGTAGATTTAGCTAAGAGGGGACGGTGAAGAGATGGTTGGTTGGGGACTCACAGGATCATCGGTGACCGGAGAGGCGGTGTGGAAGACGCCGTCGCACCCCATGATGGCTTCCCTCAAGCTCTCGTAGTCCAGCAGATCACCCTTGTGCAGCGTCAGTCTCTCGCTGGCTCCTTCCAGCTCTCTCAGATGCGCATTCTTCGGATCGTCTGTACACAACCACACGGATTATCTCCCCGAAAAAAAAGTCTTATCTCACATATCAACCGCATCGAACTCGCGTTGTTTGTTCATCATCTACCTGGGTTCCTGAAGGTTCCACGCACCGCATAGCCTCTGTCGAGGAGCAGCTTGACCATCCAAGAGGCGATGAAGCCGCCCGCGCCGGTGACGCAGATGGTCTGGCCGGAACCGGGGAGGGTGTCGACGGGCATGGTGGGTGTTCCGGCGAGGGGAGGGCGGGGCTCCGGGGAAAGAAGGGAGACGCTTCCTTTTGAGGGGTGGTTGGAGAGGGGAGAGATGAGGAGAGGCTGTCTTGTCTGGCATGCACAGGAAAGGCAGGACTTGTGGGGGATGGCCTGGTTCGAAGTTGCCCAGCACTTTATCTATTTATAAGGGAAAAAACAGTGCTTACCAAGACTCACCTACCGCATGAAACGACACGCACCCCAATAAGAACTCTCATGACGAGAGAGAGAGCTTTTAGGGTGCGCATGAATATCATTCTGTGCCCGGGAACTATTTCTGAACAGAAATAATTTTTTTTTATTCTGTGCCCTG